AAGGGCCCAAAGGGACGATGAATGGGGATTGGAAGCATTGGAGGAGGCAATTCGAACAGGAGAAGGATAGCAGGAAGGGTAGCCTAAGCTGGAGTCAGCCTAGGCCGCACCCATTCCGCACGAAACACAAGGAGAGCACTGTGCTCGAAAGCCCTGCGCAAACAGGCGGTCTGGGGCGAGGAAAAGGATCAGAAAGAGTATGGAAGGGGGCTAGTGCCCCAGGAACTTATAGGGATAAGAGACTGTAGAATAGCTAACGGCCTCAAGTCCACGGATAATGGTCTGTCATAGCTCTAGGGCTCGGTATGGACAATAAACTTGATTAAATAATAATAAATAATATCCATTCCGGCTGTGGTTGTGGCTGCGGCTCGACCACCGGCGCAGCTTCTGCGTTCATATCTTCCCTGCCACGACGTGGAATAAGTATAATGCACGTGCTGACTATGGTGGCTATGATCCCCAGCAAGATAAATATGCCAAGTATCCAGGCCACCTTTCTGTTGAAGCAGCCCCTTCTTTTCTTAGGAGAATGGGGAGAGTCAAATGGTTGATGTGCATGTTGGGACGAGGCTTGGCCGTGCTGGATATCACCGAGCTCGGGGTTTAGCTCTGATGGTGGTGTTGATATTGGCGTAGGAGAGCTTGAGCGCGATGACACGGCTTTGTAAGAGGGAGGAGGAGGGCTTGATGATAGCGTGTATGGAGGGGGAGAACCTGGTTGATTGAGTTTGCCATTGAGCTTTGCCATTTTTCTTCTTTTGTCTCGGAAAGCATACCTGCATCCCATATGACAGGGTCCCATCCCGAATTTTCGTCTTGACGGCCCGTATAGACCATTTTGCTTTTCTGGACGAACTTGTTTGGATGAAACGTTCAAAGGTTGACTTTGACGCATACAAATATCTGCTAGGCAACCTCTCTAGGCATCCTATGACGCAGTCTTGATGGTTAGATTGAGATGGTGTCCGAGATTGTGCCTAAGGTATCGCAACAGAAAAATATGATTAGGATAATTCGTCTCCATCTTGTGGGGGTATAGGATTATGATCGACGGGTAACGATAAAGGTAGGGATCAGGTTGCTATTTTCATTCGAGTTTGTCTTTTTTTTTCCCTATCTAGCCTCTTACTCACCTTCGAGGGAATTCGAAACATACGTTTGATTGTCACTTGTTGATAAGAAATGCTGTTTGTCTGCGCTCCATACGTATTTAATCGACCCAACACTAGTAATTAATTGGCTTGGTATCATAAAAGTAGGAACGTAAACAATAAAAAAGCAAGTCCCAGATCCATAAGTCGTAGAGCCAGCCTCGCAAGTTTGATCCTCATTTTAAACACCTGCATTGTCATTTGGAACACTGACAGTTATGGTAGTAAGAATCACCGCTCCTAAAACAATTATTGCAACAACTATTATGACTACATTTTTGCTGCAACAGCGGTTGCTGAAGTCTACTTTGTATTTGTATTGATATTGGGGTTGCGGTCGTTCTTAGTATTACTGTTGGATGGCATGCTGAGTTTGTAATTGGCTTTCGCTCATTTTCTTACTGTACATTTTGAAATGCATACCTAGATCCATTTGTTGTAGATTATGACCTTCGCCACTTTCCAAAGCTGGTTCTTTTTGATGAGCGAAGAACATCTCCATAGTTCGTTGGATGGGAGTAAGCGGACATTCATAGGGCTCATACAGAATAGATACAAGTGATCAACTAGCTAGATATGGAACCAGGTACCGCAACGGGGCACCGAAACGAAACCAGCGAGTCGAAAATAGAGAGATGAGGACTTGGATTAAAACAAGTAAGAAAAGCTCACTGTATTGCTTACGAAAGCCAGAGGTGACTGATAAACTGACTTGATCAATATTTGACTCTCCTGGGAATTGTATGCTCCACTAGTATAATAACACAACAACGAGGATGATAGCTAAATAGCGAGTGGTTCCAAAGCATTATGGAAGCAGAAGTCGATTGCAGAGACTACAGTAGTGCAAACCTCATTTCCGCCAATCTTAAACGACCAGTGTCAAGCATATTCAGTCAATGCCCACACTCCGACCCTAATCCCCGCAAGGAGCAGTAACAGCACGAAGTTGCGAAGAATTGCTCATAGTTATATTACCGTCGCGGTTGAAGTTGGTCATGATGTTGGACGGGGTCCGGTGATGATAAGTCAGTGTCTGGTTACATTTGTTATTTGGGCTTTCTTTCTTCCTCCTTGTCGTCTCTTGTCTCTCCTTCTAGCTCTAGATTTAGTAACAGCGTACCTGAATCCACACGGGTAGCAGTTTCGCACACTCCCCGTTCAGGGTCTGGCTCTTTTTTATCGTCGGTCATGGTGTAAAAAACTAGATTCGAGAATAATTACGATTTTTGGAAGGGAAAACCGTGTACACCAGACACCCAAGGCATCTAATGATGCAATTCTGATAGCTAGATAGAATATAGGAACTCGTAGCATGGCAAAAAGATGATAGCTGGAAAAGTCGAAAGAACATCATGTATAGTGCAAATAGAAGGTACACAAAAAGTCCCTACACTGACATCTGGGACTAGATAGAACACTGTGAACTCAACAATAGGAGCATGGGGCCCGCGATCCCAAATGATATCAGCGCAGTGATAATCCAGAAAGAAACATAGCAGCTCCTGGGACGTTGAGATTGGTCTTTCTCGGGGTTTAACCACGCTGGCGCTTCGGAGAGTGGCAGTAATATATATGGGCGGATGTTCAAGCACCTGATTAGCTCGATAAATAGCGACCGTAGTCACTTGAAATCTTGCAGATCTCATGGTATCAAAGCCATAAGAATAATAAAAACAACAACACCGGAGTTGAAGCAAATCCCAGCAACAGCATCCATTTTAAGATTTCCAATACTTGGTGACATATACCACCACGCCGACGATAAAAACGGCAAATGCTCCGAAGAGAATTGTAAAGAAGACACACATGGCTACACCTGTGGTGTTGCTGTAGCAGCGACGTCTTCGGTGGTCCAAAGATTTAACTCGGGGCTGCGCTGGTCTTTTCGGGAGGATTGGCGTTATTGGTTTTACTGTTGGTATTGACAATAATGCTCGCGATGCATATGAAAGAGTAACAACTGGTTAGTTAGTTTATTAGTTAATGTTTTTCTAGTCGTATCTGTGAATGCTGAGGACATGCCTGAATTTGTATCTGAACCCGAGCCATCAGTATCGCCCCATTCCGGGCCTCGCGTTTCTACGTCGGTCATGGTGTTAGTTATCAGAAATGTTTTTTGATATGAGGAAGAGAAAATACTGCATCTTGTCTTCGTGATGTAATGCTGATGGCAAGATGAAAAATTTACTGAAAACTCTGATTAGGGCTAGCTGAATGAATTTGATTAACATCCATCAAAGTAAGTCTTAGGTATGTCGACAAAAAAAGTAGTCCTAGCAGCAGCAATATCCCCTGCCTCCTGCCCTAACTCTAGTCCCGCCATATTCATCGCAACCATATCCTTACTATCCCCATTGAGCGTGGCACGAACAAATTAACAGGCCAGTCACTGCTACCATAATTACCGTGGCGATTTCTCCCGAATATGCCCACAATAGGAGGCTGGGGACTTTCCTGTGGCAACAGAAGTAACAGTCTGGACATTGTGGTTTATCAAACGGGGGTATCCGAGCTGTCGGGGAGAGTGGCCGCTGGGGTATATCTGGTTGGGTTGATTTTAGACATTTCCCTTACTGTATGAGGATAATCAAAACGTACCTATTTCAGGGATTTTCATACCCCGTTCGGGACCGCATTTGCAGGTCATGGTCTCTGTGCCCTGCTTTCTCGAAGAGCAGTAGGGGGTAAAGTCGAAGTGATGGAAATGTTGAGATTCAGACTTTTATGCAATCCTGATGCTTAGATTGGTTATGACTTAATCTCATTTGGAAGTGATGAATCTGATACTATTGTGAACATAGAGCCATACAGGCAGTTCCAGCCACAGTAAGAGCAACAAAGCAGTACATAAGAAGCCCTGCATTGATACAAAACTAGATCTAAGAGCAATTATCACCTTTTTATTCTCCTCCGATTGATTGGATATACGCCATCACCGAGTCCCCAATCTTGAGGATGGCGCTGGGGATAATGAAAAAAAGCTCGCAAGAGACAAGCAGAGAGGCTATGGACAGCATCACAGAGGCCATCACCAGTGTCATTTTTCCAATCTCGGCCAGTTCGTTGTTGAACATTCCCCAAAGCCTTCCAGAGAAGTAGGACCGTGGAAGTTGGTTCTGGTTTGGTTGTTTTTCGAGGTTCGTCGTGACCGGATAGGGCGTTTTGGAGTCGTTTTGCTCGGAGCCATGATGAAGCGGGTTTGTGTACGCCATTGCGCTGTTTGTTTGGAATGATGAATTCCAAGATAAATGTTGGACTCTCGAAGGCATATATATATGTGATGCAATGTTAATAATTGGATTGATAGCGGGGTTATACTAGGGCTGAACGAGGGATTAACCGACTGGTTACTATAACTTAAAAATTTTTAACAGAGCTTGGCAATCAAAGAAAAGTCCAGACACTCTAACGCAGAGTGGTAATATTCGCTCTTCTCCATCTTTGATTCCATAATCATCGTTCTACGACCAACTGCCACGGGCTCTTCCAGCGAAATATATCATCAGTCCTAGTGCTATTGCACCAGTCACGGCAATTGTAATTCAAGGACCAGTTTTGCGGCTGCGGCTGCGTTACCGGGTCCTGTTAGTCTCGTTGGTCATGGTTCGACGATGAAGGATTCACAGTGCCAATTCCTGTTTCATTTGTTAGTATAATGTCTTGTCATATTTTTCGAAGATATATACCTGAATCCTCATCGCTTGTATTGTCAAACTCGCCCTGTTCGAGGTCTGACTCGCTCCGATGATCATTATGGCCTACATTGCCCATGTTTACTATTGGCGCCAGCAGTATAGCGATAAATTTATGCTATTGAAGTGAAGGTGTAAGTTGTTCAGATGCGAGATAGGCACCCATTGGAAGGATCTGTCACGAAACTAAGGCCAAACTACTAGGCAGGCCACCTTTTCAAATGCTCAAAGATTCTACGACTCAAAATAGGCCAATACGCCAGCTAAGCATTGGAATAATGAGAGATCCGAGAAAACACCATACGGAGAAAGGAAAAGCATCCACAGTGAATTAGAGTAGTAGTAGTGGTGGTGGTGGTAGTAGTAGCATTTAGCTGCAGCTCCGTCTAGAGCATAAATCTCAAAAAGAAATCAAATACACATATAAAGCCAAATTAGGAGACACAAGAATGGAAGGTACCCAAGAAAAGAGTAGGAAGACATAAATTGTTAAAATATTGGTCAAGAAGTCGTCCAAGGTTTCGAGGATGCACTCCACACAAAAGAAGGACTCCATTGATTCATCTTGGTCTTCATTCTTCTCCCAGTAAGGATGGTCGTATTTTCGGTCCAGTTCCAATACGGATTGAGAGAGTAGTACTGCTTTGTATGACGGGAGAGAGTCTGAAGTCGAGAGTAGTATCGTACTTTCCCATTTCGATGTCTTTCATAGGAGGGTATGCGTAGGTCATATCATCGTACTAACAAACACTATCACAATAAATGATATAAACCAACACCCAAGCTCCGAAGGCTTCACATTCCAGAACCCATCTGGATCATACTCAATCAAGCGTTCCCAACGGGACTGGGTCTTATTACGTTGCTCCTGTTGCTCCTGTTGCTCTAGTTTCTGCGCCAGCTGCTGCTGTTGCTGTTCTAGGCTTGACAGGTATGCGGACAGATCGGGGGTGGGTGTGTTGAGCTCGGACTCGGACTCAAAGTCACCTCGTTCGAGGTCCTTGTCTGAGTCTGAACAGCGCTTGTAGGTGAAGCCCATTTTGCTTGTTTGTCTGTTTGCGCTTGGGGAAGACAGCGTAGACGGTTGTAAAGTATAAAATAATTAAAAAATTAAAAATTAAAACTTCATATCTATGTGACGAAACCCTGATGGCTACATTACTTGTACTGAGAATTCAGGCCACCTCCCGGTAGATTGTATACTAAAAAAAATCACATACAATCCGAAGTAACTACTTTTCCATATCAACCATCACCCTTGGAGCTTTTATAATGATTGAGGGTGGGAGTAGAATACGCGTAGAAAAGGTGAACACGGTTAGATCGAAAATTCAGCGCTATGTAGGACTCAGGAAACTAATAAGCTACAATGAGACCTGTCCATCAATACAATAAACCACAGTAATAGCACTTAGGTCCCAGGCATCCCGGCCACGATTCGAGCCGCCGTTGAAGTCATCGTCGCAGTATCAGTCCCAGTTCCAGCACTGCCCCAGTCTTGAAACACAACTCAGGCCCAAAAGGAAAGTACCAAGAAGCACCACTATAAACCCCACTGCGATGGAATTTAACCGGGGGCTACCACTGGGACTGTGTCTTATCCTGTTATTCGTACCATTGTAGCTCATGTATCTGCTCTAGCTGCTGCTGATGTTCTTCCTGGAGTTCTTGGATCCGTGCCTCATATTGCTGTAGTTGCTTAAATTGATCCTCTAGCTGCTGCTGGAGTTGTTGGTTCTGCATCTCATACTGATATTGCTCCTCTTGCTGTTGCTGTTGCTCTTCCTGGAGTTGTTAGATCTGCGCCTCATATTGTTGTAGTTGCTCAATTTGCTGCTCTTGGTCATCTAGTTTTGAGGAGAAGGTGTTGAGCTCGGACTGGATCAAACCCATTTTGGTTGTTTCTTGCTTTGATTGCCGTTTTCTGGTGAGAGATGGGGATGGGTATTGAACAGAAACAAGGCGCAGAGAAAAGTCCTGATAACTAGGCATCGACATGACAAAGTCTTTATGACTAGACTGATAATACTAAAAATCCAAGCCACCGACTTGAGAAGACGAACATATGTATACGAACAACACGATCACAAATGCAACATATGACTCCGAAATAGCAACACCTCAGTAATTCGTTTTAAGAAAATCTCAGACCTCCAATACAGCACGATTGTCAGTTACCCTGACTCCAAACCACCCCTATTAACCACTTCTTAATCAATCCGCATTCCTAACCGCCTCGACCCAAACAACACCCAAAATCACCAGCAAAACGAACGCCAGAACAAACCCCGCCACATCCCAGAAACTACACTCCAAGACTTTATTGGGGTAGTAGTGTATTTGGTATACCGCTGCTTGTGGTTGTGTTTTTGATTGTGATTGAGACTCAGACTGGGATTCATTCTGTTGTTCTGGCCGTTGTTGTTCCTGCTGGTCAGGTGCGGGAGATGAAAATGTAGATGAAGACGGTGTATAAATAGGGGTGCTGAACTCGGATTCCGAATCGCTCTCGCACTGGCTCCCGCGTTCGAATTCGATCTCGACGTCGCCTTGTTCGAGGTCGAGGTCTTTGTCTTCGTGGGAGCAGGGTTCGTAGGGCATTTTTCTGGTTGAGCGAATATCGTGAGGTTTGTCGATGCTACATGTATTTGGATTCTATAGGTTCAAAGGGAGACAAAAAGAAAAATTAGGCCACATATCGTCATGATGCAATATTGATCACTATATCGAAATAGGGCTACTATACCCGTATCACGGAAACAAAAAGAAACAAAACGATAACAATTATCCCTCCTAACACCAAACCCACCCAATCCCTAAGTAAACAAAATCACCCCCCAAATAATCCATTCCACAACCGATCCAGCATGGATACATACTCCAGCTCATCAACCACTACTCCCTCATCCTCCTCCATCCACATATTCCCACAGGCCAACTCATCCGGAAACTCCCCCTCATCCCCATCCCCATCGCCATCAATATCAACATCCCCATCCAGATCCTCCCCCGTAATATCACTCCAAGCCTCCCCATCCGTAATAACCGCAACCCTCGTCGCCTGCGGGATCCGCATCAACTCCGAAAGACTAGCTTCACAAGTACCCGCTTCCCCGAAGCAAGCAACCTCGATGCCTGACTTTGTTGTCATCGCTTTAGGCGCCGTATCCACATCGCCACCGCCATCAGTCAGGGGGTAAGAGTAAGGATACGGATACGGATCATCTATATCATCCTCCACGGCTACATACCCCTGGTAATCACTGAGACGACGATAGGGACTAGGATCGTCGACATGCCGGATACTATTCACGACCTCCGTGCAGCCGTAAATCAATGTGATGATGGCGAGCGTGCACACCAGGATGCCGATTATGAAACCCAGCGCGCCGAAGACGGCTTTTGCGATGGTAGATACTTCGGTTGAGGTTGGGAGGCGGAGGTTTTGTTGGAATTGGATCCAAGAACGGCGGCGGGGGTTGGGTTTGGACATGAATTCGGGGTTGTTGGCGTTGGGGGCGGTTGATGGGTGGGTGTAGAGGGGGGTTGTGGAGGGGGTGTCGTCTCCGTCTTCGTCGTTGGAGTTAGTTTTGGATGGAATCCAATGATGGGGTTTTGGGGGGTGGGGAGGGGGGGTACCTTGGTCACTGTAGAGGCTGCGGTATTCGCCCCGTTCGGGGTCTTCGTTTTGAGTGCCGTAGACCATTTTCAGTGATCGATTGCTTGTCGCGTAAATGAAAACAGAAATGTGTGCTGATGTTCGGGATAAAGGCACTTTTACAATGAGGAGACAGGCACCAGTGATGCAATCCTGACAAGTGCTATACTTCCAACGTCCGACCCCGGCTTCATACGCCGGTACCAAGAAAGTGTGTTGAGAACATAAACATTACTCGTTGCTGTCATAGTTATCGACTTTGGTATGTAAGTACACCCGACAAAAAACCAAAACGCCAGACACCTTGCATCCAAAACCTTCCAATATCCTTCCATGACCTTTGAAAACAATAACACGTCAGTTCGGGGTATTTCATCGACCAAAATGCAAGCAGTAAAATAAACAAGTCGATGTGTAGTAGAACCGTGCGCCGCGAAGGATCATAACATATAAATCGATAGTAGACGAAAGAGAAAGAAAAAAAATTAACTTCGGAAACTGTACATGCGGACTTCGCAGTCCTCGCTTCCGGTGGCGAATCGACTATCACCAAGTCCGATGCAGGTGATCGGCCCCGAATGGCCGGTGAAAGTGCGCTCGCACTTTCCAGTTCTGGGATCCCAGATCTTCACCATCCGATCCTCCGCTCCAGTCACAATCCGGAGCGTATCAGCACCCAGGGCCCAAACTCCCTCCAGATGGCCGAAGAACGTGCGCAGGCACCGACCTGTAGTGGTCTCCCACAGCCGAATTGTAGAGTCCAATGCGCTGGTAATCATGTAGCGCGGTGGTGCTGGACGACCATTGTCGAAGGACGGTCCAAAGGCAGATGACTCGTTCGGCTCAAGTCCTAGAGTAGCCTGGAGCGACGCCGCATCGGAGTCACCAGAAGTCGTGCTCACGTTGTCGTTTTCGCATTCCGCATCATGCTCCTCAAACTCAAACTCCCGAGGAAGAGGGACAACCTGTTGCACTTGACCAACGTGGCCATGGAAGACACGGATGCAATTCTTGGTATCCAAGTCCCAGAGCCGGACTGTACAGTCATCCGAAGCCGAAAACACGGTGCGCGACTTGGTGTCGACCCGGACTGCATTGACCCAGTCCGAATGTCCACGCAGGAGACAGGTTGACTTGTCCTCAAAGTTCCAAATCTTAATCGTCTTGTCAACGGAAGCAGAGGCGAGGATGGTGGAATCGAAGTGTAGACCAATGACACCACCACGGTGACCAGTGTAGGTGGAGATGCACTCGCCAGTGCGCCAGTTCCACACCTTCAAGCTCCGGTCCATGCTGCCACTGATCAACTTGGTGTCGTCAAATTGCAGACAGCGAATACCGGACTCATGTCCCCGGAGAGTTTGAAGTTCCTCGCCGGTCTCGGTATCCCAAATCTTGATCGTCGCGTCATACGATCCGGTCGCCAGTATGTTATCCTCAAACTGCAAACACATGATGCCGTTGGTGTGTCCACGGAACGTCTTAATCGAGCATCGTCCATACTTCCAGTTCGTCCCAACCTTGAACCGATCCTTGTACACATCTTTCCACGGCCTGTATTTGGTCTTATAGTAGTCCTCTGCATTCTCCGTACCGGAGGACAACGAAGTGCAATGACGCTTGACCATTGCCGTTTCATCTTCGCTTGATTCGGGCTTTCGTTTCGTGCCCGCGCATTCTGACGCAGCCGGGGATTCTTCACGGTTTTCGGTGTCCTGCGCAGCCGTGAGAGTCGGGGATGGTCCGCTGACGTCCCATGTTGTGGCAGTGGCGCGCATTTCGATTTCGCGCTTGGACTCCCGGAGTCGTTTGCGCTCGAGCAAGGGCAGACCCCAACCGCATTTCTTGCATTTGCGATGGATATGTTGTTCGCACATGCGATGCCAAACCACATCGTCGTCAGCTAGCGCGCGCCAACGTCGCGACACCTGGGCCGCCTTGCAGAGAGAGGTCGTGTCGAGGTAGCAAAGAATTTTGAATGCAATCTCCGGCGGAAGGGCGGTCATAAAATCGATTCGAATCAGGTCACGGACGGTGGCGGATATGAACGACAGTTGCGGGAAACAGCATTGGGACATGATCCCTTGGAGCATGAGTTTTCGATGCTTGGCAGGGGCGGCTGAAAAGAGCGACCAGACATGTGCGATGCCTTGTTGGTCGCTCTGAGGGAGCGTTTCTAGATCCTACATTGAGTCAGCAAAATTTTCTCCCATCACGGTATTTTGGCAGCTAGAACGGGAGAGGGGAGGAGGGGGGACGTACGTGCTGTAATTTGTCCATTGAGGGTTCGTCAGCCTGTCGCCGGCACTTGAGATCTGGGCGGTGGCGATAGCAATATTTGGAATTGGCTTTGTAGGAATCGGACTGTTCACCGGCGCGAGAACCTAGAGGAGCGTACTGTTCGGGGATGTGTTTGGCAAGAAACGGAGCAACATTTTTGTTGGCGAGCTTCGCAGGTGTCGTCGGTGTTGCCCTGCTGCTGTAGTGGGGCGTGGACTGGCTGGAGTCGGAGTCATCCCCATCCGACTCTCTAACCATGTCGGAGGGACCAAAGATGGACTTGGAGGGCGACTCGCGTGAGAGTTCCATGGTTATATTCTCCTTTTGGTCGCGAATAACGTGCGATTCAGCTTGTACCACGATAGTGTAGTGTCGTTGCAGAGTAGTTCGTTCAGGCGGTGCCAACTCGATGCGACACAAGGTCCGCCCCGAACTCACAGGGTATATGAGTCGTCGGCAAATGGAAGAACGAGTGCAGTATAGCGCAAACACAGACAAGTAGAATATCGAAAGAGCGCAGAAAGAGGCCGATATCAAGGTAGTAATAGGTAAAGAGAGGACCGTGGCGGGCAGAGACAGGCGCAGATCACCGAGGTCGCCGATAACAATCAGTATGGAGTATTATATGGGGGTCTCAAGCAAGACATCAACAGGGGGGCGATAGGAGAATTTAAATATGGACCAGCCACAGGGAGAAAATAGAGAGAAGAAGGAATGCTGCAGAGAATAATAAATCACGACATTGACAGTACTCAAGATGGCTCTAAAGTCTCCAAGAATCACGCAAGTCCATGGCGGCAACTCGTGATTTCCACACTAAACCTATTCAGGAATATCACGTGATTCTCCAATCTCTCTTTTTTTTTTTCTTTCTCTGGAGGATCGACGGATTCCGTATAGAGTATGGAGGATTCGTGCAGAGACCCGTTCTGCGGTGTCTAGCGGTGTGAATTATCCGGGGCTTTGTTTCAGTGTAAAAAGTACCTGTACAAGTACCTGTACAACGGATATCCGCAGACGGCGGCCTAGTTATCTACCACCCGTAGAGCTTCTCTACCACCACACCACCACTACTCCCTCTGCCTCTGCCACTCTATCACTACAATCACTATTATCACTAACACGAGCTAGAGCTACAGCTATTATTCTATTTCAAAGTATTTTACCCTCTCATTGAAGAACTGTCAAGGTCCCGCCCATCACGTCATCTGCTATTACGCCAGCAAGGTCCGTTGCAGTGAGTCTGTCTCCCATTCTGTCTATTTCTGGTTATCCCCTATTCGTGATCTATCACTGGAAAGCAATCAGCCCAAGAAATGGCGTCATAAAACATTGTCGCACGATTCGCCGCAAGTGACAATGTCGGAATGCTGATATCTCTGCATCCAGAACACAGACAGACCCACGATGAAGTGACCCCCGATCCCTGTATCCCGTCTATATTATAAGGTTGCGACTATTAGCAGATCACTTCGGAACCATTTCATTGTTCTAATCCTGCCCAACCTTGCCTCATAATTGCGAGCGCAGCTGGCGCAACGCCCCTCCACAATGGCATCATCCTCGCAGTCCTCCTCGGCTCCCAGTGATGGCAATGCATCCACGACAGGGATCACCCATCCCCAGACTGACCAAATGCCTCAATTGGATACTCTCATTTCTCACCTCGTTGCCGCAAAGAGGTCCCTGTCCTCCATCAATCATGTCGCGCGGGCTAATGAAATCGTCACCTCCGCCCGCTCAGCCCTGGAAGAGAGTGTGGTGGTTTCTGCCCGAACGGGTTTCCTGCGTCGTGGATTAAATAACCAGTTGCGGCTTTTATACAATGTTCGTACGGAGGTGGAGGAGATATCCCTGCGCGGTCGGACGGAATTCGCCAGTGTGCTCAAGAGCTTGGATGCCGCCGATGTAAGATTACGGAAGACCCTGGATCTGTTACGAGAGACTATTGTCCATGCGTCGTTTCGACCAGAGGGGGAAGAACCCAGGAGTCTTCGTGATTTCGTAGACGAGCGCGGGGTCGAAGAGCTTAATGCCGCGTTGAAAAGTTCCATCGATACAACCAATACCGCACAGGCGGAATTGGATTCCTCCAACGCCGCATTCGACAATGAGCTGGGGTCCATCAAGCAAGCATTGGGCCATTATCGGGCTGCCACCAAGATGGCATCCTCACGGTCCTCTCCATCGGCCTCTGCATCATCCTCCGACTCCAACTCCAGTCTACCATCGCCCTCATCATTACCACCAATGCTGTATTCATTAGAAATGCATGCGCAGGAAATGGCCAACTTGCTCGAATCCTTGGTGGAGCACTTCGACCTCTGCGTCATGGCCGTCAAGCATACAGAGGGTGGTGGGGCCGCTGCACAATCCATCACCGGCGACATGCCAACTGGAGTTCCTGTCCGAGAGGGTCTTAATGCCAACCTAAATGTACCAATGGATCCTTTGAGCGAGTCGCATTATCGCGAGATGGTGAATGTGCTAATCAAAGATGCAGCCGAGGCGGAAGACGTGGTTATGGAGATCCAAGACCGAATTGGAGATATGGAATCCGTTCTGGAGAACCTTCTCACCCAACGCGATGTTTTGCTGGCAGTCTATCAAGCCACGACTAACGTCTACGAGCATCTGTCCTCTCTTGCCTCGTCTCGTCTACCAAGCTACATAGCCCAAGCACACAACTTCACGCACGTATGGAATGACGAGAACGAACGCATCAACGGCGGCCTAGCTGACCTGTCCGACCTCCACTCCCTCTACGATGGGTTCCTAGACGCCTACGACGGACTCCTCCTAGAAGTCGCCCGTCGGAAACACGTCCGAGCGCGCGTCGAAAAAGTCCTCCGGGAAACCCAACACAAGCTCGACCATCTCTACGAAGAAGACGTCAACGCACGTGAAACCTTCCGCGTAGAGCAAGGCGACTATCTTCCGTCAGACATATGGCCTGGCCTAAGCCGCGAGCCCATGCATGTTGAATTCCGACGCATTTCCGGTGGGAATCTCAAGGATGCTTTTCACGACCAGGAGGGGGTTGGCACGGACGAGACTAAGGAAGGAGCGCAGTCTGCGTCGGGAGATGATGCAGATGGGGAAGTTATCCCTAACATCCCGCGACCAGTCGTTGAACAGGCTCTTGTGCGGCTTAAGGCGAGAGCGAAGCATATCCCTTCGTCCGTATGATGGTCGGTCTGACATCATCTATCCTACAACCCTGTCAACGACTGCGTTGTATAGATATATGGCTCACATGATGAACTCAACGGGCACAGCCCACACCGAACATCCATTCTCACTGGGAACTCAAGGTATCGTCCGCAGACGCATACTCTGCGTCGCGCCGCGTCGTGTCAACAGATGTAGGCGCTGCGGATACCGTGAGGTCTAGTGTAACAGGACTGGAATGAAGATCAAAAGAGAGCTCTGATGGCCGCAGTATCTTGGTGCGATTTCTTTAGTTTTCAGATTTTTCGACATTTAGAATGAATAGCATTTGCAATGGACATATATCGCGCTAAGTGCCTGTTCACGATATATATCTTCGCATGTATGTACTTGATTTCTTGAGCAACCATAACTTTCTGGATGCCATTGAGCACATATTGGAATCTTAGTATACAAACACCGCGTCATTCACGAATCAAGTCGACATCTCCCATCAACCCCCCCCCCCCCCCCCTCCAAAACATCCAACGACCCCCAAAACTACACACCCAACCCCTCCACCAACTCCCCCAACGCCCGCCCAAACCCATCAATGACACTCTCCATAGCCCCCGCCGACAAAACACCATCATCAAAACAAGCCCTCACCAAAACCCCCCCAGGAAGAATAATACACTGCACCATCAGCCCATACCAAGTGAACTCTCCCATCGCCGCCACATCCACCCTCGGCCCCGAGACAATGCGCCCGGGGAACTCAGCCGGCGTGGTCTCGGCCGGCAGCGGCTGGATTATGAGTAAGTGGCCGATTTTATTGCATGTGTCGCGGACGTGTTCGTCGATACTGTGGATGTGGTCTATGCCGTCGTGTTCGAAGGGAGTCATGGCTGTTGCTTGGGTCTGGATGCGGGATAGGAAGTTGGGGGTGGGTTCGTTGGGTTGTATTGAGATTCGGATTGGTACGTGTGTTTGGGTGGGCGCGGGTAGGTGGTCGATGCCAGGGAGGGCGACGTTTCGACCGGATAGGAGGGAGGCGAAGAGCACGTCGTTGGCGGGGGTGGAGTGGTTCGACAGCATGAGTGCCCATGCGCCGCGGACGAGCGTTAACAGCGTGAGTCCATGCCGCTCCAACGACGGTTCAACGGACGGCGGGAGCGGGATGTGACGCTGGGAGCCGCAGCTGGCGTTTGGCTTGTAGTCCGGGGACGGCAGGGCGGGAAACGCGGACGCTGTGCAGTTGGAGAGGTAGGAGCGCCAGAACGTATGGGAGTCTTGTCTCTGGGCCTGGCTCTCGGCCACGCGGGCTAGGAAGGATGCGAAGGAAACGGGCTGCATGGGCACCTGGATGCCTTGGTACGCTGTGTAGACTGCACTGAAGATGTGGCCTAACGTGATGGTATCGAACAGAGCGTGGTGGATGGTCACGATCATATGACCGTTAGGCGACGATTTGTCCCCCGGGGTCAGCGCCCAGTGAGCCAGTCGCTTTCCTAGGGCAGGTAGGTGCTCTGCATCCGCCGTTTTATAGTCTGTTTGTGACTGCCAGGCTAGGTCCTCTCGGACGACAACTTGCACAAGCTCTCCCGACTCAGTCCGGACGAATCGTGTGCGCAGGATGGGAAAACGCTGGTAGACATGGTTCCACGCCTGTTGCAAACGAGGGACATCCACATCCTCAGCGAGCTCGACCACCTCCCGGGCCAGCTGGGATTTCTTGCCCGATAGCGAATGCAAAAACATCTCCTTTTGGAGGGGAGTGCAAGGGTATATGTCTTGCACTTTGCTGCTGTCCACTCCACATTGCTTCGCTGCGGAAGCAACCACGTCCTCAACACTGCCGTGAGCAGCGATCAATTCGAAAGCCCTGGATGACATTTTGGAATACCGTGAGCAGAACTGGCTGAATCGACTTTATGGTTGAGATTCCTTGATGTTGTGAGCGGCAGACATTCCAGGGGCACCTGGCACCCATATATGGTGGCAGGATTGTTTGTACGACGGTGTGAAACCGGTGCGTTGCACAAGGCCAGGCCACAGAATGTTTGCTCCTGGCGCCTCCCCAGTCACGTCCATTCCGGCTACAAAACCAACAAACGTAGCCAGTGAGCGCCCAGCTTACTCCACAACGAACATATTGTGTTTTGGGCTAAGGTGGCTAGCTGAACCATGCTAGATGTACCGTGAGACAGTCTAGCGGTAAAAGGACTGGGATGAGATTCAATTTTCAAAGAGAGCTCCGATTTGTCTGCAGTATCTTGGATGCTGTTTCTTCAATGCAAGGAATTTCGATATCGGTAGAATTTGCAATGGATATGTATTGCTGAGTGTTCGTTGTATACATATGTGTAGCTCATACATCACAATGTATATATCCACCAGACTTCCCACCTCTAGGCATATATCCGAACGTACTCAAACGGAATGCCTGCTCCTCTTGCAGCTATATAGAATGTTCTAGATAGATGCTTTCTTTATGCGATTATGTATCCGTAAATATGGGTATGTCGCCCGCCTGTATTCTAGTTCCCCACATCAATCGATCGTCCTTCCTTTCTATCGTACATCTATCATTTAGCCTCTAGCATCGTTCTTTCGTACACCCCGTTTCTTTTTTTCTATACCACCTACAACACTAACGCCCCATTCAAACCCAACATCCTCAAACTTTCCCCCACAACAACCCCATACTCCTCCCCAGTAAGCAACTTCCATCCCTGCACCCCAACATCCCAAATATTAAGATCCCTCCGCCGCAATCCAAACTCAAATGTTCTCGTCTCACCCGGCCCAAGCATAACCTTATCAAATCCCCGCAACTGTCTAACTGGCTGTCCCTCGCCCGGAATACTCATATACAGCTGTCCAACTTCTGCGGCCGGTACGTCCCCGGTATTCGTAACGTCGGCTGTCACGGTGGCTACTGTGTCCCAAAGATCAGCGTGGCCGCCGGGGATTATAGGGCCCGTGGGGAAGGGGGAGAGGGTTGATGGGTCGATGGTGTTTGAGATTTTGAGGTTGGTGTAGTTGAACGTTGTATATGTGAGTCCGAAACCGAACTCGAAGCGTGAGGTGATATTGTTCTCGTCGAATGCGCGGTAGTCGATGAATACGCCTTCGGTGAAGTTATCCTGCGGGAAATATTTATCCCAGTTCCCAAGGTCCTGGGGTGCGAGAAGCGCGCGTAGTCGAACTCATTCCGGGCAATTGTGTACGGTAGCTTACCGCTGGGACTTACGTCGCCGTAGAGGAAGGATCTTTGTGATGGCGGCGCCGGAGTCCTGGCCGGGCAGATGTGCGATGATCACGGAGGTGACGTTGGGATTGTCGATCCACTGGTCCACGACACGGATTCCGGGGCATTGTGGATGGCTACGATGGTGTTTGGGCACTGGGACGCGATATTGGTTACCAATGCGTTTCAGTAGTCATCGCGGAGACTCGGGCGGTCGACACCTTCCGAGGAGAAAGTGTTAATGAAGACTAGACATGCGTCTGCTGCGCCTGGAACGGTGCTGTTTGCGTTTGGTATAACGACGTCCCAGAATAATTGCGTTGCGTCCTGGCGGGCCCGTGTTTCTAGGGTTTGTAAGGGGCTGTCGATATAGAAGGGTATTATTGCGCCGGAGCCGCCACCGCCCATTAACGTTCCGTTGACGATTGGGGAGAAGAGGACTTGGAATTTCCCTTTGTAGGGTCCGAAACCGCAGGTAACGGAGTTGTAATTGTGCGACTAGAAGCCTAGGGTCCAGTCGTTGAAGCCGTTGGACGGATTGTTTCGTTCGGGCATTTTGGCGTCGTAGCCGTAGACGGCGAGCATGCGGGGTTTTGTTAGGGGGAGTGCTTTGTCGATGCTCTTCACTAGTACGTGGCCTTCAATTGTGCCCTGCAAGAGGGTATCTGCGTCGTCAGGGTTCCGGGCGTCGATCATGGCGTGCGGGCTGTGTAGATCAGGTGGAAGACCCAAGCCAACGAGGGGAACGCTGGAGTCATCCTGATTGCTGTAGTACCAAGCGGCAATGATTCTGGTGGCCATATTTTCAAGCTACGATTCAGGAACGGAGCCGTTGCGGACTGCTTCGAGGACGTGCGGGCCCCAATATGGGGTTGCGAGGGGCATGGTCATGTCCATGCCGGCTCGGGCACTTGCCATGCCTGTTTTCTGGCCTTTGAAGTCGCTCATTACGAAGCCTTGAAAGCCGAGCTCGGTTTTGAGGAGACCGTTCATGACTTTGCGGTTTTTGCAGGCGTAGCTGTTGTTTACGCGTTGGTAGGAGCACACTACGTATCTTATTAGTCTCTTGGGGGTATATACTGGCTGTTCCGGCGTGAACAGCATCCGCAAAGGGCCACATGTACACCTCATGCATGGTCTTATCATCAATGTTGGACGAGGATGGCTCAATCGAGTGGTTGGTGACTGGGTCTCTTTTCTTAAACGGATATTCCTCTTGCTCGTTTGCAATGAAGTGCTGACGGAGGTTAGCTCATACATCAATAGCCGAAGGAGTGTCGATCTACCTTGGTGCATGAAACCACACCACCATCCTGAGTCCCCTCCACAGACTGCACCACCAATATACCACTGAGATACGGGTCCGCACCGAATCCCTCCCAATTCCGTTCCCCCCGAGCAATCCTACCCAATGGACCGAGCACCGCGGGACCCAAACTCAGTGTGGCGCCTGCTCTTTTGAATTCGCCGGCCATTGCATAAGCTCGATCGTAGGCGAGTGATTTATTCCAGCTATAGATGTCAGCAGATGTACAGACACTATCCAGGAGTGAAGTGAGAAAATACCTCGCACCAACATGCACACCAGCCGGATAACCACTAACCCCCTCCGCCCCTCTAGCACCAGCCGGGCCATCCTGCACACACATCCCCGGAAACCCCACACGATCTATAGCGGGAACATTACCACTGCACCCCGTGGTCTTGCTCCCATAGCCTCCAGTGATGTTAACCTTTTCTTCCAGCGACATCTGCGAGACCATTGCCTGGGCTTTGGAGAGTGCTTCATCCCAGCCTCCGATGCCGGACATTTCGGGGGAAGGATAGACCGGGGGACTTTGGCCGTAGAAGGAGGTGTCGCTTTTGACGACTTTCGCATTTTGCAAGATTGCGGGATTGACCAAAGAAAGAGCGGCTAGGGCAGCCACCGCCCCTTTGACGTTTGGCATGGTTTAAGGTGATATAAAAATGAGAGAGGAGTAATCAAACCAGCGAAAATGGCTTGTTGGCCGTTCTTGGACAGAAATGAAGCCCAACTTTTTACTTCATGCTCGGCCATCTTGTACAGAAATGCAAAGTACAGCATTCATGGGACAAAGCGTCCAAGACACCTCTTAAGCATCCAAGTTACGTCGTTGCAGTCTGGTCCTGAGAGTTAATAGCTGTGACAACGCTTGGCATCCAACCCAACAGATGTCAACCATTCGATGGAGCGATACCGAATAAGGAAAGCGCACGACCCGAGAGGCTTGCCGGCTGTCACAACCCCATATTTCGATCAAATCCCGGGCTTGGCAACCCCAATCTCGGCAAACAAGATTGGATCAGCAGGGCCACTTACTTGCATACTGACAGAACTTCGGGTTAATCGAGGTCTACCTCACAAGAACGGGGTTTAGAGGTTGTGATATGGTAGGCATGGAGCACAGGTGGTGCTGTTCCCGCAATCGAGTGCGATTGGGGAATCGGCGAAAAGATTCAAGCGGCCCAAGCCGGGCTTAGCGTGAGGACTGAAGTAACGGAAAGACCGAGAAAGTACATGTCAAAGTATTCATATGCATTTGATGTGTGAGTATCTATGTCATCACCTCATGTAAGCGCCATCATAAACCGTACCGAAACTTTTATCTACCATAACCCAAACCCATTCCCAGATACAGATATATAGAAAATGCAAGTCGATTACTTCTTCCTCCGCGACGAAGCAGAAACCATCTTCTTCTTCATGTGCTTCGGCATCTTCTTCTCTCTCTGCGCCCGCTTCTCCTCCTTGACCTTTTGCTTGTGCTCGCGTTTTGTGTCCTTATCCAGGAAGCGCTTTCCGCGGGGCGTTTTCTCTTCGTCTTCGTACTCATCCCCTGACTCGGCGTCAGAACCGCCCGACATGGAGACGCCGCCCTCGGATTCCGAATCGGACTCGTCTTCGCCTTCCTTGGGTCGGTGCTTGGCTAAGAGGTCACGGTAGACGAGGTCTGATCCCTCGCCTGCGCGGACCTTCTCGACATCGCGCTCAATGTCGTACACCTGTTCAAGTGTTTGAGGGATATATTGTTGACGGAAGACGGCGGCGTCAACTTCTGCTTCTGCGGTTTGCTCGTTCTCATCTGTTTGGTTCTCGCGCGCTTCGTAAAGTTTCTCAATCGCCTCGAACATCTCCTCGTTCGTCTCTGCGATTGTTGCGGGGCCTTCAGGCGAGACGATGAATTTAAAGACTGTTTGTTCGGGTAGCGGGTCGACGCCCTTTCTGCGGAAGAAGTCGCTGATGTTCTTGATATCCATGCGCAGGAATTCCAAGCTGCGCGGGTGGTCGTGCTCAACGGATTGACTGACGTCGATGATGTAGAGTTTCTCCTTGTGGTAGAGAATATTGTACTCGCTCAGATCGGCGTGGACTAAGTGGCAGGTCTGGTACATCACGCGCATGTAGCCCAGCAACTCCATGTAGTGCGTACGCCAGCGTGTCTCCGGCTCGGGGACGTCGAATTCAACGTCCTTGAGACGGGGTGCTGGCCGACCCTTGGAGGTACCGATGAAGCCCATGACAAGGACATGCAGGCGGAGTTGGATTGGTTCTGGGCTGGGGATGCCAGCGCCATATATACGGCGGAGGTTGCGCATTTCCTTCTCTGCCCAGACCTTCACCATTGACCGGTTGTTGCTCTTGTTGTATCCGGAGCGGAAGCGGAATTCACCACTCACGTACCTGTCTCTGTCCTTGAAGACGAGGATGCTGGTTTTGTAGACTTTAATTGCGCGGTGGATGGTTGGAGGTTCTTCGTCTTCGTCGGTCTCCGGATGGAAGATGGAATGGTAGACGTTGGCTTCTTTACCCGTCGATAAGCAGCCGTGGATCTCTGAGACGATGTTGCGGTTGATCATCTGGAGGAGAATCATCCGTGTGCGCGGGTCCAGCACCTGCTCAGATGTCGCTCTGTCGGCCCTGTCGCCGCCGCGGTCACCACGAACAGCCATCCCCGATTGCATATCATCAAGCTTGATCTTCCCAGTATGACGAGTCAAGGTGTTAATCTGGTCATCGACGGAGGCATATGTATTCACCGTGGGCTTCTGCGTGTTGGTCTTGGGGTACGTCCATTTCGGCGCATTAGGGTCTGCGGCGAGTTCGTTCACTTTGCGCTGTCGGTTGTAGCCTTTCGTCAGGTCACCGTTGTTCGACGATATGAATTCCTCCTCGTTCATTTCCTCCTCAAAAATGTCATCGTAGTACTCGTCGTCTTCCTCGCCTTCCTCTGGTTGTGCCGGATCTTGCCCCGCCAGCGCGGGGACGCTGCCATCGGCGTTCATGTAGCCTTGGTTAGGGACGTAGGTATGGGAGGGCGCCAGACCATCGGCCGGCCCTGCTGTCGAATCGGCGGATGTCATCTTATCAAACCTCCGCGACGAATTTAATTGACAATCGACAAAAAGCGCAAAGAGAGATTGCTGCTGCGACGATTTTTTTTTTGAGTGCGGACCTTATGGACTCTCACCGCCCGGCAGGACCCCGCGGCCTGAGGACTCGCCGCCTTCTAACGCGTAGCGCGTACCGTATTAGGTTCTTCTCCAAGGCCAGAAAGCATCAACTCACGGCGGCTACACACCTATAACCTGCCTTGTTGGTGTCGATACGGGAGAGGCTCTCATACTCGATTGCGACGTCGCGTGATGCTTTGGTGGTTATAAGTGTCGATTTCGCGTCGCGTGCCTCGTCAAGATGTACGTTAAGCAAATTATTATTCAGGGCTTTAAGAGGTGAGTGCGCATTATCTTTTCTGATTTGAGCTATGGCTGATATTGAGCGCCTCTTAGCTACAAGGACCAAACGGTCATCGAGCCTTTTTCGCCCAAGCACAATGTGATCGTTGGTCGCAATGGTTCTGGCAAAAGTAATTTCTTCGCGGCCATCCGTTTCGTCCTCAGCGATGCCTACACACACCTCGGGAGAGAGGAGCGACAGGCCCTTCTACACGTGCGTCTACTATCCTAGGTGAATATATTGCAGGTGGCTGACCTCGAACAGGAAGGATCTGGATCCGCCGTGATGTCGGCCTATGTCGAAATTATCTTCGACAATTCCGACGACCGATTCCCGACGAGTAAACCGGAAGTCGTCCTGCGTCGCACAATCGGTTTGAAGAAAGATGAATACACACTGGACCGGAAAAACGCCACCAAGTCCGATGTCATGAACCTCCTCGAATCCGCCGGTTTCTCGCGATCGAACCCGTACTATATCGTTCCCCAGGGTCGTGTTACCGCGTTGACGAACATGAAAGATTCGGAACGATTGAATCTGCTTAAGGAAGTGGCGGGAACACAGGTCTACGAAGCGCGCCGTGGAGAATCCCTGAAGATCATGAACGAGACCAACAGCAAGCGGGCGAAGATCGACGAGCTTCTGGATTTCATCAACGAACGACTTGGCGAGTTGGAGGAAGAAAAGGATGAATTGCGGAATTTCCAAGAACGGGATCGTGAGAGGAGATGCTTGGAGTACACCATTTACTCGCGCGAGCAGCAGGAGATTGCGGGTGTCTTGGACAGTCTCGAAGAGCAGCGGCAAACCGGTGTCGAGGATACGGATCTGAACCGTGACCGTTTTATCCAGGGAGAGAAGGAAATGGCACAAATCGACGCAGAGATCGCAGAATGCAAGCAACAAATCGAGTTCCTCAAAGTTGACAAGGCTCAGCTTGAAGATGAACGCCGTGAAGCTTCGAAGGCCCTCGCCCAAGTTGAACTCCAAGCAAAGTCACTCGCCGACAACCAGGCTGCTGCGCAGTCCCAGAAAACACGCCATGACCAGGATCTGAATTCCGTCCAAACCGCGATCAAGGAACGTGAATCGGAACTCCAAGAACTCCTTCCCCAGTTCAACACGGCAAAAGACCAGGAAGATGATATCAAGTCGCAGCTTACTGATGCGGAGACTTTGCGCCAACGGTTATATGCGAAGCAGGGACGGAATTCGCGGTTCAAGAACAAGTCGGAGCGGGACAAGTGGCTGCAGACTGAAATTAAAGACAACCATACCTCCATCTCCATGGTCCAAGGTGTCATGGCCCAGACTCAGGAGGATATCAAGGACCTTGAGAATGAGATTGCTTTGTTGGAGCCGGAGAATGAACGTTTGCGCCAGCAAATCGATGGCAGAGGAGATACCATCCAGTCTGTGGACCAGCAAGTCCAGAGTGCAAAGGATGAGCGAGACCGGTTGATGGACCAAAGAAAAGAGTTCTGGAGAGAAGAAGCCAAACTCGATTCGATATTGACGAACGCCTCGCATGAAGTCGAACGAGCCGAACGCAACCTCTCTCACATGATGGATCACAACACCAGCCGTGGTATTGCAGCCGTGCGCCGGATCAAACGTCAATACAACTTGGAAGGTGTCTACGGGACGCTGGCCGATCTTTTCGAGGTGAACGAAAGATACCGGACGGCAGTTGAAGTCACCGCTGGCCAGAGTCTGTTCCACTACGTCGTCGACACGGACGAAACCGCTACCAAGGTTTTGGAGATTCTACAGAATGAAAAGGCAGGAAGAGTAACATTCATGCCTTTGAACCGTCTAAGGTCCAAGCCTATCAACATGCCTCGGGCCAGTGATACGATTCCCATGATTGAGAAAATGCAGTATGACTCTGCATATGAGAAGGCGTTTATGCATGTGTTTGGAAAGACGATCATCTGTCCCAACCTGCAAGTTGCGTCGCAGTATGCTCGAAGCCACGGTGTTAATGCTATTACCCCAGAGGGTGACCGTTCAGACAAGCGAGGTGCTCTTACGGGTGGTTTCCACGACTCTCGCTCCTCTCGTCTCGACGCTGTGAAGCATCTCACAAAATGGAGGGACGAGTTCGAGGGCAAGAAGACCCGCGGCACAGAGATCCGGCGAGAACTTGAGAAGCTCGACCAGGTCATCACTCGGGCCGTTGGTGAATTGCAGAAGCTGGAACAACAGAAACACCAAGTGCAGAACAGCAGCGGTCCCCTACGGCACGAACTGAGGAGCAAGCGTGAATTGCTTCAAAAGCAACAGGATAACCTCGATGCCAAGCGACGAGCTCTCCGGAACATCGAGGCAAACTATGCTTCTCTGTCAGATCAGGTCAATGCGTTTGAGGCGGAACTGAAGTCGCCGTTCCAGAAGGCGCTTACCAGTGAGGAGGAAGAGACCTTGGAGACGCTCAGTGCCACTGTCCAAGATCTCCGTAAACAGTATCAAGAGCTTACGGGTGGCCGCAGTGAGCTGGAGGCACGGAAGTCTGTTCTCGAAGTTGAACTTCGGGAGAATCTGCACCCGCGCCTCGACCAGCTGCTCAGCCAGGGTCTTGATATGGCTGATGACGACAACGGGGGTAACCTGAAGGAAACTCAGCGCGAAATGAAGCGCATTGGCAAGAACCTGGAGAAGATTGGTGACCGTCTGCGACAAGTGGACGAGTCCATCGAGAAATCCAACTCGCGAGTGTCTGAATTGCAGCAACGCAACGCCGAAACACGGCGAGAATTGGAAGACCTTGCCAAGTCGATTGAGAAGCACCAGCGCCGGATGGAAAAGAGCATGCAGAAGAAGGCTGCCTTGACCAAGCAGGCCGCTGAATGTGCAGCCAACATCCGTGACCTGGGTGTTCTTCCCGACGAGGCCTTCACCAAGTACAAGAACACCGACTCCAACACCGTCGTCAAGAAACTGCACAAGGCCAACGAAGCGCTGAAGAAGTACTCTCACGTTAACAAGAAGGCCTTTGAGCAATACAACAGCTTCACGAAACAGCGGGAAACCCTCACCGCTCGTCGCGAGGAACTCGACGCGTCGCAGGCATCCATCGAAGAGCTTATCCAGGTGCTTGACCAGCGCAAGGACGAAGCCATCGAGCGGACGTTCAAGCAGGTCTCGCGCGAGTTCCACAACGTTTTTGAGAAACTGGTTCCCGCGGGTCGTGGCCGGTTGATCATTCAACGGAAGACTGACCGTGCTGTTCGGGCGGGCGAGGAGATTGACTCGGATGACGAGGATGCGCGGCAAAGCGTGGAGAACTATGTTGGTGTGGGTATCAGTGTCAGCTTCAACAGTAAGCATGATGACCAGCAGCGCATTCAGCAGCTCAGTGGTGGACAGAAGAGTAAGCCATCCCCCATATATAACCCTACTCCTAAAAACAAGACACTAACATTACTAGGTCTATGCGCCCTCGCCCTAGTTTTCGCCATTCAAGCCTGCGACCCAGCACCCTTCTACCTCTTCGACGAAATCGACGCCAACCTTGATGCACAGTACCGAACGGCCGTCGCACAGATGCTCAAGTCCATCTCTGACTCGACTAACGGCCAGTTCATCTGCACAACTTTCCGTCCGGAGATGCTGCACGTGGCCGAGAAGTGCTACGGTGTTAGCTTCCGGCAGAAGGCTAGTACGATTGATGTGGTCTCGAGGGAGGAAGCGCTGAAGTTTGTTGAGGAGCAGAGGGTGTAACGTATGGAACTTTGATGTTGTTCTTCTTTTCGGTTTAGGGATGTAATGACAGGCGTATGGTGGTCTTAAATATTACTTTCAGTCAACCCGCTATTCACTGTGCCATGGTTATGATATGAACGATACTCCATCATTATCATGTATTGCTGGTAAATTTAATGCTTCTATTATCAAATCATCTATTATGATTTTCTGTTTTATATTTATTTATTTCATTTCATTTTATTTTAATTTTTGCAGCTGACAGCTAATATACCCGATTTGTACTAGTGCCATCAAGGTAACTACTATGTATGTAGCTACCTACGGACGACATCTCGACAACACTACTGCCAGGTACCGACTGTTACCCTCTCTGTCCTCGCTACTAAGCTCTTGATTAATCGATTACCACTTTGCGTCCTCGTCTGCAAGTACCACGAAGCCCATCTTCCGACCCGACGCGCCTTATGAACGTGGAAGATATCGAGAGTTGGCTGCAGCAGATATCAGACTACCTCACCCGTGGACAGTGTTGACAGAGGCTATCAATCTTGGGAATCATATACTATGTTCACCACTTCATCTCCCGCGCTGTCTATGGCCACAGCGTCTGACAGCGGACTGTCTGACGCTGCATTGTCCGATTCTGCGCCCTCTGTTTATGCTCTCTAATTATGCCCCCATCCGAGGTTGCTCTATCTGAGGCTGCGCCATCTATAGCGCCAACTGCAATCTCAAGGAAATCATCACCGAAAAGCACTCCTGCACAGATCTTGAAGGAATTTCCCTACTTTACCCCATCGATTCATGCCGATGCCATGGACAGTTTTCCGGGAAACGTGTTACCAGTTCTCGCAAGACTTACTGGGAGCTTTTGATGGCATGCCATTCCGATTGAATTCCACAAAGCGATTGTGAACACTAGTCCGGTGGAGGGATCCTTTATACCGGCGGACGCGTGGGTTATCGACCATGGGATTTCCGGTCAAGATCTCGTGAAATTCTGGGATTTCGTGAGTCAGGTCAGACGGGATGCAGTGAAGTGTTGGGATCGCGCCAAGGATGAGATAAACTGGGCAGAATCAGTCACTCAAAATTGCTACGCTTGGAAACCAGTGATAGCTCCCTCATCACGAGATTGGATGTGCAACCACAGAATATTGACCAACGAATGATTCCCAAGGCCCTGGACGACGTATGCACCCCGAAACGTGCTGGTTATTGCTTCGCATTTAACGAGGATAACGCGAGCGTTGCAGACACCCTTCTGCAACTCGAAAAGCGACAACGGCACCCCAAGAAGAGAACGGGGATTTTAACCACACCATGCGCTACCAGGATTCCTCTTCTTTGCGGAAGTTAAGTGAAACCCCAAAATGGGGACGATGTAGAAGCGTTTGTGCAGTTGTTCATTTTCCAACCATCAATCCTAAAGTACCGGGAGTTATCAGTGGAGCATCCCCCACCGATCCCAATACTCACATGCATGCTCGTTAAATCATCGTTGAGGGGTAAATTAACCACAACCGATAGACAAAAGAGGAAAAAGAAAGGATTGTCTCGAGGCTAACAGCGTGTATATATAGCATATTCCCTCTTCATCCTTATACGATAGCGACATTTTTACGTTTCTACGGTGTATGTTATGTTCAGTATCAATTCCTCTCATCTATGCCACGAATGGCATATGGCAGGAAGACACACATAATATCGTACACCAGTGTTTGGTTGAAAGTATTGTGATTTCATTACTCGTTATGGAACACTGCAGGTAATCACGATAGCTTACTCTGTCCACTCCTCTAGAATATGGCCCGGAACATCCCTCACAAGAATATGAACATGCTCCAAAGACCTCACACTCTGCAGCGCACTCCAATTCTTAAACCAAATAACCCGCCTCTCAGCACCCTCAATCCCCTCTCCCTCCAACCTCCCCACAAACACCCTCTTAACAAATTCCTCAATCAAAACCCTCGACTCCTCAGTCAAATCCCCACCATTCTCTTTCACCGGAACCGGAGTCCTCAGCCAAACAAGCAAATGCACAATCCCCGGCGCCAACCCATACGGCCAGTCATTGCGGAGGATCTTGTAGTCCGAGGGATCGGCAAAAGGGATCGGGTTCGCGAACGGCAGGACGGGGCGGCCGCTGTCGGCGGCGCCTGAGGCAGCATTGGCCACTGCGGAGGTGGAAGAGGAAGGGTCCGGGAGGTGCCATTTTAGGCGGACCTGGCAGATGTAGTTGGTTATGGTGCCGTACTGGGCTTTGGTGCTGCTGGACCAGGAAAGGTATCGGAGGAGGTCGGAGGGTTTCCGCTTGAGGGCGCCGAGGTCGTTTTTGGCTGCGGGGAGTCAACCACTGTTTACTTGGAGATTGAAGGGCAGTTAATATGGCAGTGGTGGCATACCGATTATCGCAGAGAGATCTTCCCAGTCGTGCGGGACGAATTCCTCGTCGGTCATGGAGAGGATCTGCCGGTCGGATTCGGTGAGGGTGAAGGGAGTAGTCATTTTGAGTAGAGAATCTTAATGTACGAGTAGAATCAACCTGAACTGTCTATGTTTATGTATACTGCAGAAAAATACCCTTTTGAGCATAGTTTTCCAGGGCCGAAGTAGCAACTGATTCCGCGCTTATTTTGCCGGCGGTTTGCAGATTCGGCTTTTGTTCCCCAACATTTTGTCTGCGGTCACTCACTCTCCTTTTCCTCCTCAACCTCCCTCTTTTTCCTCTTCTCTTTCTCTTTTCCTCTTCGTATCTCTTGTTCCTATTGTCGCGAAGAGTCTTCATTATGGGGTATTTTCATACAATTCTGCCATTCGCAAAACAACTACTAACACGGGTCCGACTTCGCAGTGCCTTTTCCACCGAAAACATTAACGGGGTCTACATCCCCTCGGCCCTTTTGATCCTGGGAACTTTCCTTGTGAAACAGGAATGGCTTCCCTTCGCCGTGGCCATTGCCGCTGTTCTGGGTGGTGTCAAGCTCATGGGTGGTAGCAGTACGTGGCGTTTACCCAGAGTTCATGTGAATGCGAACATGAGAGTACACGGATACTAACACATCGCAGAGCCCAGAAAGGTCCTCATCGCCGACCAATTCCAAGACTTCATCCTCAAGGAAAAGAACGACATCTCCCACAATGTCACCGTCTACCGTTTCTCCCTTCCCCGTCCCACCGATATCCTGGGTCTCCCCATCGGCCAGCACATCTCCCTCGCCGCCACCATCGAAGGCCAGCCCAAGGAAGTCGTGCGCTCCTACACCCCCATCTCCTCCGATGAGGATGCCGGTTACTTCGACCTCCTGATTAAGGCCTACCCGCAGGGTAACATCTCCAAGTACCTGACGGACCTGCAGGTCGGACAGACCATGAAGGTGCGCGGTCCCAAGGGTGCCATGGTCTACACTCCCAACATGTGCCGTCACATTGGTATGATCGCTGGTGGTACTGGTATTACTCCTATGCTTCAGATTATCAAGGCTATCATCCGCAACCGCCCGCGCAACGGTGGTAACGACACCACCAAGGTGGACTTGATCTTTGCCAACGTGAACCCTGAGGATATTCTGCTTAAGGACCAGCTCGACCAGCTTGAGAAGGAGGATGATGGTTTCAATGTGTACTATGTGCTTAACAACCCGCCGGCCTCGTGGAACGGTGGTGTTGGTTTCGTCACTCCTGACATGATCAAGGTAAGCTCTTCCCTTCGCCTGTTCTATTGCGCATCAGTTCTAACGAGTTATAGGAGCGCCTCCCTGCCCCCGCCAGCGACGTCAAGGTCCTCATGTGTGGTCCTCCTCCTATGATCAGCGCCATGAAGAAGGCTACCGAGTCTATCGGATACACCAAGGCTCGCCCTGTCAGCAAGCTCGAGGACCAGATCTTCTGCTTCTAAGCAGTTTCGATTTATTTTAAGATTTGGAGCGCTGTCCGTTCCGCATATTGAAGTTAGGATGAGGTGTTTGAACATTTCGCGAATTTTAAGATATGATCTGTTTATAGATAGACAAGAAGCAGGCTTCGATGAGCAATGAGACAAGAAATCCGTCGTTATCATTATCATCATCATTAGTTATCAGCTATTTAGGGTATTAGACTTCTTCGGGGTTAGGCTCATCCACCTCCACTATAGCCTCCGCCATCTCCAAGAACTTCTCTCGATACTCCTCCGGCGTCGTCGTAATAGTCATAGGCCCCTGTCTCCCAATTATATTAAACGTCTGCACCACCCCCGTCATAGCCTGCGCATGCAACTTATGCCTCGCCCAGAAGAAATCCAACAAGACGGCACGGTATTTCCACTGCCCATCAGCAGACGGCACACCCACCCTCCACCGATTCTTCCTCCCTACAACCCCGGGTGTCGAAGTCGCGGGATACCTGACAAGGAACAGCGAGTAATCGACCGCATTCGACTCCTGGAGGAACTTTGTGTCGATGCGCATAGTCCTTATCAGATCGGTGTAGTCCTCTGGCGAAAGACGGATCTTATCATCGAATCGATCACCCAGTTTCTCCATGGTTTTCTCATTCAACAACGGATCGGGCACCAGATCCCGCTCGGGATAGAAGTAGTCCACCGGCTTCAGGTCATACGTCTCCCACTGGTCTTTCGCAGGGTCATCGTTCTTCCCGCACAGCGTGTTCTCCATGATGATGTGGTGGACGGGGGTTGTTCGTAGTAGGCTACCGATCGTGACGTACGGCGCGAAAACGTAGTCCGTTATCCAGACGAGAAGGGAATCGGGGTTCGTGCACATGTGCGTGTAGTACGGCTGCAGCAGGTCGCGACGGAAGAACGAGTGCTCGAAGTGGCGGGGGAGGGATTTGATGAGGAACTTGGAGTTTGAGGTACTAAAGAACGTCTACCCCATTATACATTAGCATGATAACCAGCTGCAGAGGTTAGGGACAAGAGCACATACCGATCCAGAGAACCCCAAATCCCCCATCGACTTCACTCGATTCGCCGCTTCGAAACACGCCAGATACTCGTTCTCGTCGATCTGCCAGACATTATTGCGCAGTCGCTGGAAAAGTATGTCGGCATAGCGCAGGAGCTCGATGTAGTAGAGGCTGAAAAGGACCTGGATATGTCCGGTGGTTGTTCTTTTGAAGTCGTTGGGGTCGCGGAATAGAGCTGAGCGGATGGATTTGCTCAGCGCGGACTGGCGATGACTACCCATGGTCGCTGGGTGTCGAAGGGTGTAGAGTCTTCATTTTGAGGGGACGAGCATAAGCAGGACTCGTACATGTGCTGTCACCTTGTATTAAGGACAGGGGCTGGCTGCCTAGTGTGACGTCACTGTACGAATAGGGCTAGGGTATTATCTTGCACGTGTACTAAATCACATGACCTCACATGACTACTATACACCGCCCGGCAAAATATTGCATTGAGTCAACCAAAAAACCCCGAAAAAAAAGAGAGGAAATTGGGTTCTTTTCTCGCTTGTGGTTCGTTTGCCTTGAATATTTTATGGGTCGTGCAGTGTTAAGCGGGGCTCGATATTTCGCTTTGCAGAGTGTTACTGTTTCCGCCCGGACTTGTTGCCCCTCCATCCCGACTTTTCTGCGCTCCAGTTATCGACTTTTTTTCTCCGCGCGCCCCTCCCCCTCCTTCTCTTTCGCATCCTCTCGACGAGCTTTCGGTACCTCCAAACCTACGCTCGCCATGGCTTCGAATGACCTTCCCATCTCCGTGGAGGGATTGTCCCTCCAGTCGACCTCCGAGACCTCCAAGTTCGCCGACTGCTTTCCGTCGTTGAACCCGGTTGATATCTATCGCGAACATATTGCGGAGAAGTTGAGCGAGGGAACTGGTATTGAGGCGGAGAAGATCTACTCTCGGTTGATGTGGACGAGTACCCTGGACAAGGGTGACTTGGTTCTGCCGGTACGCTTATACTGGAGGATATCGACATTGAGGGAGTAAAGCTAATGGTTGTATACTAGATCCCATCCCTCGGAATCAAGAAGAACCCCCAGGAACTTGGCAAGGAACTCGCCGAGAAGTTCCCCGAATCCGACCTCGTCCAGCCTCCCAGTGTTGCTGGTGTTCACCTCCAGTTTTTCTTCCGGCCGCAGCCGTTGATGCACACCGTCCTCCGCCGTATCCTCAAGGACCGCGCTACCTATGGTACCAACGGAAACCAGGGTCTGCGGGACCCCGCGGACCCCTCCAAGGGCCGGAAGAAGATCATCGTCGAGTTCTCGTCGCCCAACATCGCCAAGCCCTTCCATGCTGGCCACCTGCGGAGTACCATCATTGGTGGTTTCCTTGCCAACCTGCACACCGTCATGGGTTGGGATGTGGTTAAGATGAACTACCTCGGTGACTGGGGTAAGCAGTATGGTCTGCTCGCCAACGGGTTCAAGTACTTTGGTGATGAGGAAAAGCTCACCAAGGACCCTATCAACCACTTGTTCGATGTGTATGTCAAGGTCAACAACATTGTGTCTGAGCAGGATGGGCCGATCAAGGAGCTCAAGGAGCAGATCAAGGCCAAGAAGGAGAAGAGTGAGGACGTGTCTGCTCAGGAGGCTGAGCTGCAGAAGCTGGTCGATGCCAGCGAGGACGAGAAGGCCCGTCGGTACTTCAAGAGCATGGAGGACGGCGAGCCAGAGGCTCTCGCCCTCTGGAAGCGATTCCGTGAGCTCAGTATTGAGAAGTACAAGTCGACCTACGCCCGTCTGAACATCGACTTTGACGTCTACTCGGGAGAGTCCCAGGTCAAGAACGAGAGCATGGCCTCTGCCCACAACACTATGGAGAAGAGCGGCGTCGCCCAAAAGTCGGACGGTGCCGTCATTGTCGACTTCACCAAGCACGGCGCCAAGAAGCTTGGCAAGGCTATCATTGTCCGCAAGGACGGTACTCCTCTATACCTGACCCGTGATATCGGTGCTATCGTCGAGCGTGACGAGGAGTTCCACTTCGACAAGATGATCTACGTCATTGCCGCCCAGCAGGACCTTCACGCAGCTCAGCTGTTCAAGATCACTGAGCTCATGGGCCACAAGGACTTGGCTAGCCGCTGCCAGCACGTCAACTTCGGTATGGTCCGTGGTATGAGCACCCGTAAGGGTACCGTCAAGTTCTTGGATGACATCCTGGGCGATGTCCGTGACAAGATGCACGAGGTCATGAAGAAGAACCCCGAGAAGTACGAACAGATTGAGAACCCCGAGGCCACCGCCGATATCCTGGGTATCACCTCCGTCATGGTCCAGGACATGAGCGGAAAGCGGTATGCCCTATCCCCCTCACATCCATCCCCATTAACCCGTACTAATAACGCACAGTATCAACGGCTACGACTTCAACCTCGACGCCATGACCTCCTTCGAAGGCGACACAGGCCCGTACCTGCAATACGCCCACGCCCGCCTCCGCTCCATCACCCGCAAAGCCAACCTCGACCCCTCTCAACTCGGCGACTCCAACATCGACCTCCTCACCGAGCCTCACGCCATCGACCTCGTCCGCTACCTCGCCCAATGGCCCGACGTCCTCCTACAAACCACCCGCACCCTCGAACCCACCACCATCCTCACCTACCTGTTCAAGATGACGCACATGCTCAGCTCGAGCTACGATGTGCTCAAGGTTGTGGGTAGTGAGGAGGATGTGAAGAAGGCGCGGATGACGCTTTATGAGGCTGCGCGCCAGGTGTTGTATAATGGTATGCGGATTGTGGGGTTGAGTCCTGTTGATCGGTATGTTCATTTTTTTTTTTCCCTTTTATGACTGATTTGGTTGGGTGATGGTGATGCTGACTTGTGCAGGATGTAAACGTGAAACGTGTGAACGTGTCAACTGAAAAAGCGAAAAGTATGATTTCCTTTAAATACCAATGTTCTATAGTGATTTAGGATAGATGAATGAACGCCTTTCTTCTGTTACCTCGTTGCCTAAGCTGGTACTGAATTCCGGGAGTACATCTACTCAGTCCAGTAATTTCTGTGTTGGACGAGAATGATAATAATATACAGCCCAAGCCATATATAAACAACCCAACCCCTTCAAATATATACAAAAAAAAAAAAAAAAAAAACTAAACATCAACCCTACTAACAACATACGGCAAAACCCTCACCTCCCCAACCAACCCATTCTCCTCATTCTCCGGCAACGCCCCGGTACTACTCAACATCGGCTCCGACCCAGCAATTTGTATTCTATCATACAAACTGCGAATATAATTCCACATCACCGTCGGCACGACAATCTCAACCTCATTCATCCCTTTCACCAAATACGATCCGATATCGGCCGTGGGATTGCTGAAGTCAAGACTTGGGAGGCGTTGGTCGTTTATGGAGACTTGGAGACCTTGGGGAACGCGCGGGAGGGAGATATATGCCCCGGTTGTTTCGTTACTGGATGGCCAGGTGAATGTTGTCGTGTAGTACCCCACGCCAGAGGTATTACGTAGACCCTGGATATCGAGCCAGGAGGGGAGATGCGTTCCCTGGAGGTTATGCGTGGTGTTATGTTTCACGGCGGGAATGCTCGCGTTCGTGAAGTTGGATGGTGCTTCCCAGTGTTCGGCTGTTAGGGTCCAGTTGCTCAGCTTGAAAGGAGTCGCCCTGCTTCTGGGAAGAGAATGTCTTTTGCCATTTGAGAGTTTGACTGTCGCGGTGCTCGACTGGGTGGATGGGGCGACGTGTAGGGCTAGCCCGTTGGTCTTTGTGTAGTTGTATCCCAGGATGTTAGATGGGAGCTGCACGGCGTGCGCGGAGGGTGTATCAATCTCAGATGCTAGCTCGTTGCTAAATGCCAAAACAACCGTCTGGTTCGAAGCCAAGCGCAGCGGAATGGACAAACTACCATTCTGCACCTGGTACTGCAGCACCGGCGCACGCTTGCCGCTCCAGCTATCGAAGAAATATGGCGTCTTTGTCGTTTGCACGGTGATAGTCCCCGAAGAAGCGCTGTTGGCTGTCGAGAAGATGAATACGTAGTCGGTGGTATTATCTGTCCTGAAGACTGGGTACCAGGTGCCGTTTGTTTGGACACAGACACGAGGGGCGAGGTTCAGGTCTGTCAGCTTCTGTGCGATTTCGTGGGTGCCGACGGTGTATACGTTCTTCGTGTTTTTGAGCGTTTGCAAGGCTGGAGAGACAGCTTTCCCGTCGGCGGACTTGCTGGAAGCGTAGTATCCTGGTAGACCGCCGCTGAGGATTATGGGTAGGCCATCCTGTGCGAATTTCTGGAGCTGTTTGACGGCGTCCAATGTGACGTTCTGGTAGCTGGTGACGACCATTGCCTTGTAAGCTGGTGATTCAGGAGCGAGTATGCCATTGGCCACACGCGCATTTGTCATGTTGAAGTTTTCCGGCGATAGATACGTGTATGTATATCCAGCGTTAATCAGATCGTCGTCAGAGTACACAGTACCCACCTGCGGATCCGTAACAGACGCTTTGTTGAAGAAGGCGACGTCAGTCCGCGGTTGTCCATGGTGCAGAATGTATTGGTTTCGACTGGCGTACGCAATAGCCTCGGGGTAGCTGTGCAGCCACGCAGGCTGCTTGTCGTTGTAAGATTCAGAGAAGAGCATGAAGAACGCAGTATATCCCGGCCACGTCGTATCAAAGTAGTTGCCAGTGTACGTCTGACCATGCAAGACGACCTGATTCACACCTCCAGCAAAAGCACTGTTAATTTGCCACAGCAAGTGGGAAACGGTGAGTTTGAAGGCCTTTCGTAGATCACCACCCATCTCGTTCGAGATAACCTGTTTCTGGGCAACGTTGGCGACTCCAGCGAACTGGCGATAGCCATCGATGTTGTCGTTGAATGCCAGACTCTCGCACTCGGGTGCGTTGACGTATTCTATGCTTGATTCCATGTCCAGTGGCAGGTTGTACGATACTTGCCCTGAGAATTCTAAGCCCAGACCCTCGGCCCAAGACGTAAGAGTCTTCAGGTATGATTGATAACCCTGAGCCAAGGCTTCCCGGTAATCATTCACAAATCCCTTTCCTGAGTCCTCCGAATCGAGAACACACGCCAGATCTCCAGGGTAGGATGGCTGCACGCCAGGGTTGTTGTTGCCGAATTGAACCAAGGGGAGGTATTTCTGCAGGTCATATCCATTCGCTTCCCGGAAATGCTGGGGCAAAGAGGGGGACCAGGAGATGTTTGACTTGATTTCAAGGCTGTCCTCCCAAGCGTACTTTCCAACCTCTGACAAAAGCTCCTTGGTCTCTGTATCATTAAGGATATGCTTCTCCCAGAAATCAATGGTCGTCTGTGCACCGCGAGCGCTGAAGTGATCCACGGTATACGAGCCGTTGTCGAAGATGGTTCCCGTGGTGTTGGTTTGAATGTCTAGGTTCTTTGCAAGATCCTGGTATTGGTAGTATGCGAAAAGACGATAATCGCCAGTGGCGTTGAAGCGCAAGTTCACGATTCCATCGTGGACCTTATTCGTCTGATCCGTAAGGGAATCGCTTCGGAGCACTAGACGTGTAGAGTTCGTCGATGGAGTGCTAAACGTAGCGCTGGCCGGATTCTGGATAATCGATGAGGACAAAACCTCTGCCGAAACGAGGGCAACTAGCTCACCCGTACCCCATCCTGGAATAATGTCATTGTAGGATCCATTCGCAGGGACACTGGCATTAAACGGTGCCTATCCACTGTCAGTACTCATACCTCACAGCACGCATGAAAATACCCACCAAATCCCAATGCAACCCCTCATCCGTAGTAACAGCCGGAACACCCTGTCCCTGATTCGGCCCTAGCCCAAAATCAAACACCATGCCCGCATCCGTCACAGCCTTCAACGAAGCCTTAAACATGCGGTTAAACGCCGGCGTCCCAAACCCATACGTCGCCCAATCAGCTCCCTCCGGCGGCGGTGCCAGCGATCCTCCATAATTATACAGCGGCAGTAACTGCACGCCTCCGGCTCCAATTGACCCAGCTGATTCGATGTCGCTCTGTACGGTACTGATATCGACGCTCGCATCGGGGAGCCAGTATCGGAATTTCACGCGCGCGTCGCTGGCTGGGTCCTCAAACGAGCCGTAGTAATTCCGGCCTAAGACTGCTGGGACCAGCAGCAGGGTCTCGAGCCATGTGAGAGTGCGCATCTCTGTCAACACAAGGAGTGAAAAATGAGTTTGGCCATTTTCACGTCAGAAATAAACTCGCACATGGCGTTCGCGCGGTTTTAAAAGGATCAGATAAAATGAAATTGACGAAATCAGGGTTGACTATCCCTGACCTGAATAGGAAAGTGGCCATCGATCAGTGGGGAATCCCCGGTTTCTGGCACGTGCGTTTCGTCAGCCCGGAATTTCCGAGGGTTTCAATATGCACCGGTTGAGTATATTTAGACCGGAGGGCTGTTCTTCAGCGTGTCCTCGGGGTATTGTTTACCGAATGCGGATTCAATTCCTCCTCAGATTTAAGATAGAAAATATGAATGCATTCAATTGCATACTCTGCGCAGCAAGGCAAGGCCAAGTCGGAATGTCCGAACAGTCGTCGTCACAACTCGATGACGATCTTCTGGCATTGGACCGACGATATACCGAGAGCAGCCCTCGTATGAATAGGCACCACTATACACGACATGGAGACCAAAACAGAAGAGTAATCTTATTGTTTACTCTCTACAGATCACTGCCGAGCCCTGGCGCGTTCCTGCGTCCTGACTCAGCGGATGTCGGAACCGTTGTGACTTCCGAGCAGAGATCTTCAACCTCACGGAGTGTCAGATATTTGATCTTCTAGAATTCTGCTGGGCGAGAAATGCCTTAGATCAATACGTTTATAGCATTGAGACAAACTCTGAAGTGTAGTTCATGTCATTAACAATAACTATCCCGCAAGGTATACATTGAAGAATGTCCGGTTTTTCTCTGGAAAGGAGGCCATCAGTATCCACTTGTTCTCGTTTCTGAATTGTATCTCACAATCCCAAGGGTGTGGAAGATGACGCCCGGCTGGGATTGTTGCATACAGGCTCCCGGAAGGAGCTGAGCTGTGCCTGAGCTGTGCCTGAGTATCGTCTGAGTCTGATATCATGTCGAACCGCCTTTGCGGTAACACATTTTTAGGTTTCCTTCTTGTCTGAGTTATTGTAACTGTGCAATCCATTGTCAATCTATGCTCCCTGCATAAACGACACTGACAGACCGCCGTCACTGGATCAATGAGGTCAGAATCCCCTGTCTCGGGCGATGGCTACTGTCGCAACTAATAGTTGTCGGAACACTGAGAGATTAACGCCGCTGAGGGCGTGGATATCTGGATATGGCTCCATAGTCAACATTGATTTCTATTTAGGAGGAGTTCAGCACATACTCACTTGCCTGCATAAGTCCGTCTCCGCGCGGTCACCGGATGGATCAACTAAATCCACAGAGCAGTTGGTCCTGATTGGTATATCAACTAGCTTAGAAATATGACGCTATACTTCTTGTCAGTAAAAACGGTCATAGTGCCGGCAAAGAACAGACTCACACAATCCAATCAGCGTGGGCTTGGGCCTTCTCATCAATGCTTATCGTGGTAGGTAAAGCATCATATCTCGTTATGGCTTGTAGCGTGTAACGAGAATGCCGGTTTTCTATGACCTCGTGTATTTTCTGGCTGATGGCTGAAAAGCCGTACTTGTTCCTGACTGGAATTTACCAGAAACAGGTAGTGTCTCCTCCGTGCATAGCCTCTGATTCTCTTATCGCATTCTTTCGGTAACACTTCGCGCTGCGCGTATGTTGGGATTCATTTGCAATTGATGTGAAATGTGAGATCACGGCATTCATGTATAGCAACGGAAGGGGGACTGAAACAGCTGGGTCGTCCTTATCGGGATTAATCTGGTTGCGGTGTCAAGGCCATTTTGTACACATTTTCCAGTGTACAGCATGGGACAGATCATGCTCTCTGTCGTAAAGTGTCGCCTCAGAAGCCGACGCAGTTAGCCGCTGGGCCCCATCAGAAGGATACCATTTGGTATCATACTCGGAGCTAATTTATCACATAGAGCCATGCATACCCTTTTTTTTTTTTTTTTTTTTTGTTGTTGTTTGTCGGAAAACTTTGGTTATCAGCTCGTTGTATTGTAGCTACTGGAAGACGGATATGTGGTGAGCTCGAACGCAGAGGGATTAGGGAGGCGGCAATACTAGTTAGGCTCATTGTAGCTTCGTGCGGGCTGTGTATTAAGACTCGAATTCGTACAAGGGGGCAGGGGTGGTAGACCATGGAAAGAATAGGCCATGCGGTGGGCGTTCTCCTGGGCAGCGGTGAGGTGTGCAGTGGCTCTCGAAGACTCTTCAACCTGTCGCTAAAGGTAATCGGAGGTATTCACATGTGATTTGCGCGTCCCCTGCATTGTACGTCTCGTGTCTGCTTGAGACGACACTGAGGTGGGTTGAGGTGGGTTGCCCACGTTGAAATGATACAACACCACAATCAATATCATAACCAGGGATATAATCCGAAGTCTTCACGACCAAACTTCTAATGCTCAAAACACCAGAATTGGAGGCATGTTTGGTAATGGGTATATTCGGAAGGACTATGTATGTTATGTGCTTTGGATTGGTCGACATAGCGTTCGCTAAACCCGTCTTTGGCGGACCATGCAAATGGTTCTAGGTACAATGCATGTCTGCAGTAACCACTGTCCGTGTTTGTTAATTCAACCAAATTTCGCGGGGTTTCTCCAACATGACATGAGAGTGTCGGAGGATGTGTTGCCTGTATATGCTCAGCGATGACGGAGAGCTCCGATAAATTGATAGAGATGAATTCACGGTCATGGCTGTGATGAGGTCGTTGACTAGTTGATGAGACGCACTCTGTACCAACGCATATTAATTTATGATTCTGTTTGTCCATCTGTAAGAGCGGACGTTGAGTCGGCACTGTGGTTAGCAGGGACTCCGTGCAGAGTCCAATCCTCAATAGTTGCCATATTCTATATCGTAGCCATATAGTAGAGATCTACCGCACTGAATGATAGCCAAGTTGATTTGCTCTTCTGGTCATGAAAGCAACCGTTGGCTTTGATGAAGTCGAAGTCGTTCGAGAAGGTCATCTCTACTCCAAAAACTTCTAGGGTATTGGGCCATTCACTGCATCGGATATCCACCAGCAAATATCAGAATCAAGCCCTTCTTGTGATGGTATTAGCAGAATATGTACATTCACAAACACCTCCAAATCTACTCCGAGAAGAAGAAAAGGTTGACAGAAGCAAAACAGACAACACTCAGTATACCCAGACAAGAACCGATCAAGACCGAAAAAATAAACTGTACAAACAAGGCTATATATAACACGACGCATCCGGCCTTGACAAAGAGGCATCAAAGAAAATACAGGCAAATCAAGAAGAAGAAACAGATCAACCAGCACCCGTAATCATAAATGCAACCATACCAACCCACACGCCAACAAACAGCGCCGTCAAAATACCAGCACCAGCCTTATCACCCGTAGTAATCTCCTTGAACGACTGGCCGCTGTTATCACCGCCACCGCTCGAACCAGCATCCGGGTTACTCTTACTGTCACCACCAGTGTCAGAGGTGACGGGGCCCTTGTCACTGGACCCGATGATCAGATTGGACATGAACACATTCGTAGCGATGATCTGCTCTTCCATTCCGTTCCATCCGTCCCACTTGTGCTGGTACCATCTCACACCGCAGGTGTTGTTACCCATACCAACGCACGAGTCGGCCGCGGCTTCGGCGGATGCCTTGAGTTTCGGTTGGATCTTGTCCTTGGTAGATGGGATGAAAAGAGCGGTATAGGCGAGCCAGGAGGTAACAAGACCCTTGAATAGGATTTCGTTACTGTTGCACGCTTCCATCGGTTCGCAAGGTTCTTGCATAGTGTTGCCGCCGAGCTTCTTGGGGAAGAATGTGCTGAAGGTTGTTCCCAAGAAACCGTTGACCCGCTTCAACCATTTGTCGTCACTGGTCTATGTATCGCATCAGCATTTTGTTTAAAAATGGGGAGGAGAGGTCCCTTACATAGTTGTACATGTATGCAGAACCCATGATGAAGGTGCCATAATTGTAGGACCACTGGTTGTTACCGGGACTCTTGCAGTTGTCATCGATATCGACGGAATCAGCGATATGCCATGTGTCTTCGTTGAGCAAAGGAGTCGATCCCATCCAATCATAAATCTTCTCCGCCCAGTCGGCGTACGTCTGGTTATTCGTGTAGCGAGCAAGTCGGGCTGAGAGTTGGAACAAAACACCGTTCGAGATTGTGTTCTTCATCGCATAACCGGCTTGGTAGGTGAAAAGCTGCCACCGCAATCCACCATCGCACGACGACGTATCCCATCGGTCAATCTGCGTGTTGAAGACACCCTGCGCCAGAGACAACCACGAAAATCCATCTTTGACATCGGGGAATTGCAGCTCTGCCGCAAGCATCGCGGTCAGACCCCAGAAGCCCTGATCATCATTTCCCTACAATTATGTGTCAGAATATCGCCACGAGAAGTCGTCCAGGAGTTATTGCGCCTTACCAGGTAGGTACTGTAGTTAGACGGCATGTAATCTCCCCCGTCACCAGACTGATGCTCCAATCCCTGACTGGTCTCGGAATTGTACGTCGTGTCGCCGGTGTACTTCCAATATTGCAGCGCGGCCATGAATAGGGCTGAACCTTCCCACCATTTCTCGGGGAATGCACCAGGATTCTGACCGGTCTCGTTACCGGCATACCACATGAACATTCCATGTGCGGCCTGTCCGGCGGCGCTTTTGATGGAATCTGTTGCGATAGTAAAATATCAGCTTTCCGCTACAATCGCATAGCACAGAAAGGAAAGGCGACTAACCATCATCGTCAATGCTCAGGTCGAGGGCATGCGATATCCCCGCCTGGAGGAATGCACCCCATATCGTTAACCAATAAAACCAATTCATAATCTTCCGGAGTCCAGATCTATAGCGCGATGCCAAGATCAGAGCAATACATCAACGAAGAATGTACTGCTGCAGGGTACACGATATGCGATGCAGTTTTAAGATGTCATTCAAAAGCGTGTCGGAGAGTTGGAGAGAAAATGCGCGAGGTTACAGCTGCGGAGCCGCCCCTTATCCCTGACACGCCCGACGTTCACTCACTTGCCGTTTTCGGTCACAGAACATGGTGCACGTGATTGTACAAAAATAGGAAGATGTCATCATTGGCGGATATGGGGGCTATCCATTGGTCGAGGTGGAAACAAGCACCAGGAACCAAAAGGCTTATTGGCTGTTGGCAAGGTCCCACCAGGCTGACGCGGACTAAGCGGGCCCAAAAGGGCGCGATCGTCGACCCTGTCCGGATTATTCTCGGTCCGGTCAGCCGCAACCGGGGTTCTCGTTCCGCAAACGGTAACTGGGTATACGAGTCAGGTGATGTCAGGTGATGGTCAGGTGTCGAATCCACAGAAAATTCTTTAAATCCCGAGGCAAAGTGGCGCCGTGAAGAGCCTCCGGGTAATCGTCGTTCTAGATCGATACGTTTTATTTTGCCTTTGGAACAGTGGAGCCCTGGTTTACATGACAAATGTGGCGATCTCAAAACATGCTGCTTCGCCTCCTGTCAATACTCGAATTCACTGTCAAACTGTGGAATATCTTTAGATAACAGCAGAGATCTTAGGATCTCATATGTGTTTAGATCGATCAGTGAAGATCTCCGAGCTCGTGTGCTGTCAGATATCGCCGTCAGGAACCAAATGGCTGTATTCTATACAACTATACAACTGAACACGCACTCAACAGTATATGGATCAACCTTGGTTTATCTTTCTAAGCTTACTACTAAATACTCCAATAGGATCAACCATATATTTCCAGGTGACTTTAGTGGCCGAATCTTTTTCGACCTCTCCGCATGACACCCCAGGCCGAGATACTAATTATCATGGTACACCCATTGTCACCATATCTAGCTTGTTTCTTCTTCAATAACACGCTAGCCAGTAGTACGGTAACCCTCCAGCAATAAGAAAACCCCAAGTCAGATATCAGATATTGATTGTGGGGCTCCGCACGAACGGTGGGGCCTCGAGCTATGCGCTTCCAATAGAGCATGCACAATGCATCCATATGATATGAAGGATCACACTGAGGCGGCATAATATTGACAATCCTATTATCTAGAATGCAAATGGATCGCAGGATCTGTGTCAGAGACAAACCCAGAGCAAAAATACCAAATAAACTTCAAGCTTATCGCATATTGCTTTTTTTTTATGCTGACAGCTGAGATCCAATGCAACCCAACTGCCCCTCCAAGCGTTTCCATTCCATAATAGCATTCATGTCCAGGAATCGGCGACTATTTAAGTCCACTCACCCCGAAGAATTTCGGCGACCAAAGGTCCCCGGTCACTCCCCGAAGTAGATACTCCATATGAACGGCGATTACCAAACTATTTAGACAGGGGGTCAGACTTAGAGAAATTCGAAACCATTGGCAAGCAAGAAAATGGACAACGACCTCGAGAACAACAACAAGTTCCTCCTCAACGAGACGGTGAGCTCTCTCGCATTCAGAGACATAACCGTCTCCGTCAACGACCGAGATCTCATCAAAGGCATCAGCGGGGATGTCCAAGCCGGTAAGCCACCCAAGCTCATAATCTAGGCAATTGCTGACCCTCCAGGCCAACTGGTCGCCCTAATGGGTCCCTCAGGAAGCGGCAAAACGACTCTCCTAAACGTCCTAGCCCGCCGTGCTGCCCACAAAAACACCACTGGCGACTCCTACGTGAACAACACCAAGGTCGACGATACCACATTTAACCAGCTCGCCTCCTATGTCGAACAGGAAGATGCGCTCATCGGCTCGTTGAACGTCTGGGAGACGCTGCAGTTTGCGGCGGACCTTGCTCTACCACGTTCCGTGACCAAGGGTCAGAGAAAGCAGCGGATTAAGATGCTGCTCAACGCGTTTGGGATTCAGAACCAGGCGAAAACTTTGATTGGGACGCCTATAAGGAAGGGTATCTCGGGTGGGCAGAAACGACGTGTTAGTGTTGCGAGTCAGTTGATGACTTGTCCGAAGATTTTGTTCTTGGATGAACCGACCAGTGGACTGGATTCGACGGCTAGTTATGAGGTTATCTCGTATGTGCGAGAGCTGGCGAAGGCGAATAACGTATGCTCACTTCAGCCAAGGACTCTTGGGACAAGCTGACCAGTATAGCTCATCATCATCGCGAGTATCCATCAACCGTCCACCAGCACCTTCCAGCTTTTTGATACATTGCTGCTTCTGTCCGGAGGACGAACGTGCTATTTCGGTCCGATAAAACAAATCGAGCCCTATTTGGCCGGCATCGGTTATCCGTTGGACATGTACACCAACCCGGCCGAGTTTCTGCTCGACCTCGTCAGCTCCGATTTTGCTGGGAGTTCCAACACGGACGAAAATCGTGTGGAGAAGATACAGGATGCTTGGTTGCGGAAGACAGAGTTGAGCAGTATCGAATCGTTCCAGCCGTCTGAGAAGGGGAAGTCGATCGTGAATGCCGGTGACCGTCCGGGAATTGCATGGATCACGCTGTCTCTTCTGCATCGCGCGTTCATCAAAAGTTATCGCGATGTGGTGGCGTACGGAATTCGCATTGTGATGTACCTGGGTACGTATCCTACATTACACCTCAATATATTAGAGCTAACGAGACAGGTCTGGCGATTATGATGGGCACCGTCTGGTTGCGACTGGATACATCCCAGGAGCATATCCAACCATTCACCAATGCTATCGTGAGTAGCTCGAATCCGACTAGCTGCTACAAACTTGCTAAGTGATCAGTTTTTCGGATCCGCTTTCATGAGCTTCATGGCCGTCGCATACGTTCCCGCCTTCCTCGAAGACCGCGTAACATTCGTCAAAGAACGCGCCAACGGTCTCTACGGTGCAACGCCATTCATCCTAGCCAACTTCATAATCGGTCTCCCATTTCTCTGTATGCCTATTCCACCCATCTTCACTATAACTCCACTAACAAAGATGCAGTCATAATAGCAATCCTCTTCTCCATCGTCGCCTACTGGCTCTCCAACTTCATCCCCACCGCAACCGCCTTCTTCACCTGGGTCCTCTGGCTCTTCCTCGACCTCCTCGCCGCCGAATCCCTCGTCGTTTTCGTAACAGCCCTCCTCCCCAACTTTGTCCTCTCGCTCGCAGTCGTCGCCTTCGCAAACGGTCTCTGGATGAGCGTCGGTGGGTTCCTCGTCCCCATCACAATTCTCAATCCGTTCTGGCATTATGTCTTCCATTACATTGACTACCAGGCGTATGTGTTCCAGGGGATGATGGTGAATGAGTTCGGAAGGAGGAATTATAGTTGTGGGGATGGGTGTCGGTGTATGTATAGTACGGATTTGGAGGATCAGTGTTTGATTCGGGGGACTGGGGTGTTGGAGCAGTATGGATATGGGACGGGGAATATGGGGAAGTGGGTTGGGATTTTGGTGGGGATTATTGCGGGATATCGGATTTTGGGGTGGTTGGCGCTGGTGTGGAGGCGTTAAGTATGAGGGTGCGTGGCGATGGATATAGAAGTGAGAGGAGAGATAGATAGATTTACACTACTTAATATTTAGTAATAAAGACTTTCATTTCTGGCGAAGATGATGTACACGATAGGGCTAGGTCCCTGCCAGAGCCGGAGCCGGAGTGAACGCGATGAATGTACACATCCCGCAAATATCAAATCGAAGAAATATATTGTCGAACATATGGCAATAAATATCCAATGGAGTAAATTCCCTACTGCTCTAGGGGTCTATATTCAGAATATAAATCATAGCACACCTGTCAGGCCATAGCCAACTGCGCGGTATCAAAAGAACAAGTCAACTTGGCTTTAAACAATCATTAGACATCTACTATATGCCTACAATATATGATACTGAATCCGGAAAAACATCTCACTGGCTAGCCCTGGATTTCAGTTACCTTTCGAGTGTGCTATGTGTGTAAGTGATGGGAATATAGTACCACACTCGAAGAATCACGTGGTGGACACCCCATAATTTGCCTGCCCTAGAGTCACACCATTGACTCTCGCTATCCCGATTATCAGTTTCTCTTGCGATACGACTACAATTTTTACAACTGTCTTGCAGGACTTTTTGACTTTCTGTGTGTTGAGACTGTTCAACCCTCGTGCTGAGTTCAGGATTCAGGAGTTGCGTGCTGCTGGTTTACTTGGACGATTATATGTAACTATTATCTACTTGTTTTCATATTAGCTTCAGATGGACACCAAGTATGCAGGAGCGTTGTCGTATAGTGTATATTCTCAGGCACCTCTTTTTTCAAACACATGAGCCACTTAAGGGGTATAGTCTTCATCCGGGGACGGCCTGTAGCTCAACGGAGAGCGCTTGCGTCTAGAGGCCCATGAGGACCGGGCTTGACTCCCGGCTGCCCGTAATCTTCTTCTTGTTTTTGTCCTTTTTTTTTTTTTCTTCCTCTTCTTCTTTCTATCCTTCCGTATAAGTACTTGTAGTTCTGACATTGTATACTTGTTACCTATCTGGGCGATGCACTGCGGGCGGTGATTGGCTGGTGCGAGAGACTAGCCTATTTAGGTAAGGTGGTATACGAAGACACCTCAGGCAGTGACAATCACTTCCAGTCCAGTATTTTGCATGCGAAAAGCGCCGCAAACCTTGTACGATGAATGTATGGTATTAAATTTCTTATGCCGAAAGTTGCAAGACAAGAGGTTTTGAATGATATCATGGCCCAGTACGTACTTTACATCCAATTCCAAGGTCTTGTAAGACCCAGCGGAGCTTTCAAAAGCCCTTAATCACAGCCAATTTACTTGACGTCAAAGCAAATGACACATCGAGTTAAATATTTACATCTTGAAGTCAGGTCTTGCAATTCGCCGTGTTGTAGGGTTAGTTGAAGTCGCATGCTGGTTCTTGTGGATGGCCATCCTCGCGTAAGTCAAAACCCGCCCTGCCCCGTTCCTCTTCTTTTCTCGTCTAAACGACACCAGGACTTGTCTACTTCTTCAATTTTAACAAGAAGAGGCCAGCAGTATCTGATGCATTCAGCGAGTTAAGTAGTCCCGTCCCGGACGAAATCGAAGCTTCATTCCAGCTGTCAGTCTCTCTGATTTACTGTTCAACATGAATTGTGCGCTATCAGGTGAACGGCCATCATATATTCTGAAGTTCGGCTCAATTGCCTTGTCCAGGCGCTTATTATCGAGAGATTCAATCTAAAACTAATTGGCGAGGTTGACTGGCCCAACAGCTGTTGGACCAAGCCATGATTGCTTGCGTTAACAGACTTTCCTGAGATCTCAATGCTCCACGCACGTTATTATCAGGCAAGGATGAAGATGACTGTGTTCACGGCTCTGTGGTGATTGTCACCTAATGCAGGTTGACTCTTTTCATGGTCTCGAAGTCCCTGCTAATAATGTGGATTAAGCATGGGCAGAAAGTGTTGCCGAATTGTGTTGCACATGGCTGGTTACTGTTCGTGGAAATATGTGAATGAATATCCAGACATTTTACGGGATATTCAAAGTACTGGATTTGGAGAAACAGGAACGGAGATTTTCGGAACCCGGCTATTGCATGATATATGCTAACCCGAGAAACCCATCAATTCGTTTTCTTAAGTGCATAATACGCATTATCGCTTGGCCCTAGGGAAAGTGTACCAACCACGTGGGAGACCAGCATCTGGCATAATTTAGCCATGTATCAATCGAAAGTATTTGTATCAATCTTGCTAATGTACTATTACTGTGGTTGCAGACGAATTAAACAAAATGAATTTCCGTATATTATTTGTGTGCGATTATTAGTCTAGTCGAGGGTAAGCTAATGCAGGCTTGAGGTCATCGGGCCCATGAAGTTGGGTGTAAAAGACGATGTAGTTCGTGGGGTCTTCAGAAACCGCAAAGCTCCACTAGTCCCCTCCGTAGCCCTGAATTAATCAAGTGACCTGTCGAATTGGGTTGCGGGAATGCAGGGAATGAACGTGGAATGAACAGCTTATCGGAATGTATCAGGTTTCGGGAGACGATCGTTCAGTATGGGTCACGTCCAGCTCGGACCTAGTTTCCATTATGTATGAGCAACAGAGCTAGTAGTAGTTCGAACCTGACCCTTATCCGAATGGTCGGGATGCATGCTGGTACTGAACTGTCTTTCTTTACTAACCAACAACAGACACCGATATACCAACTATACTAATATGACTCACTGTACCTGTACTACTCCGGGTATAAGTGACGTATGGTCTTCAAGTTACTCCATACAATTCAGGTAATTGAAACCAATCGCATGCTGGTAGTAAAGATATGACATGTCCAACGGTACCTAACTTTATTACAGATCCCCACCCTGCCAAATAGCAAACAGAGACAAGCAGGGAATCCATAACTAGCGCTGCAAGATGCATCCAAAGTCGTCATGATGCACATTGACCGGCGTTCTGCATACCGCGCTGGAGTGTGAGCTGTAGGATGATGTCGTCTGTCAGCGAGGGGAGCTTGACGGAAAGTCAGCGAAGAGTGGTTGCAGGGGATAGTGCAAGGATGAGTATGCACATGTAAAGCACTCGTAGTTAAAGCACTCGTAGTACTGTGGTGTCTGTATAGCTAGTACGGAGTACCTAAATATCACATGGTGGAGGAATATTTGCAGTCAGTCAGTCATGTACGGAGCACGATGTACGACTGAGTACATGTTCCGTAGTCTGTAGGAACGGAACTGTGGAAGTAATATAGATGGACCAATGGCTAAACAATCCGGAGTGCATCTCCATTATTCCGCGACAAGATCTAAGCAGGAAATGGACCCAATTCGGTATCGGAGTCGAGTGAGCCATTTCTGCAGTGGAGATGCGGTATTATGATTGGGCCGCGATGAGGTTGGGCATCAGTGAGAGAATAAGAAGGGGTATAATACGGAGTAGTTATATCAGAAAAGAATAAGAGGGGCTGGTGGTATAAGAAGAAGAATCGAAGCTGTGATTGAATACAGAGCGATAGGATGGATACTCAAGACTGGAATATGGACAAGGTTAGTATGGATGGACCCAGTGCCAACACACTATCCGAATCTCATGTCGTGCATTTAATGAATAGAGCCCCTCATCGGGCATAGCAGGAGGGAAAAAGTGGGAGAGAAAAGGTGTAGAAGAAAAAGAAAAAAGTAAAGAATTATTACTGTTTGAACTGCTCTTCGAATGTGTATCATTTGTGGTCAGTGACAAACCCCTCTCTGCTGTCTTATATCCACTGCCGCTTTCTCTCTCCTCTCTCTTTTCTTCTCTCTATCTCCTCTTTTCATCTCTTCTTCTTTCCTTCTTTCTTTCGCTCTCTGTCTCTTTATTCATCTCTCGCTTATATTACTGCATCGGTTTAATTACATACTGCCGCCATCCGATTGTGGCATCAAAATTCAGCCTAACCTGAGTGGATGGACGGTCGATTCGCTGGCCTCCCAATGGAGTAGTAGATATCCACTGAGTGGTCACTTCTTCTACTTTCTATTCTTTGATCTTTCTCTGCATATCTATCATCTCTCGTCAAATCGGGCGTGTGGACAGCTGGACCGACTGGATAAAAAACATCCTCCCCCTCCCTCCGGCGCATCTGAGTCCACCACGTAGTCCCGGTCCCTGTCAGCGCACAAACACATACCTCCCCCCCCCCCTACAGCTACAGATCACATTTTTTTTAAAGACTTAAGAACCGGCCATGTCCGGCAAAGCGCCTCTGGTCGCGTTCTGTGAGGAATACGACGAGGACAATCACTTGGTCCTGCCCGAAACACGTCAGGTCGCCAACAACAAAAAGACCGCCGCTCCTCCGCCGCCTCCTCTTCCTTCCCCTCCTCCTGCGGTGTCTGTTCCTCAACCACCACCTCTTCCTCCCCAACAGCCACCGCAACAGAGCCAAAAATACCAGCAGAAGCAGCAAAAGGCTCATCGCTACAGGCCCTCTCATCCTCTCGACGGCGCGAGCGACTCTGGCTATTCTAGTCGCACCGTCACCAGTTCTCAGTCGTTCCCGTCGGGCGCCAACGTCTTCACCGAGCCGCCCAGTCTTCCCACGATAAATACCACTAATAACCCTCCTGCTCCTCCCCCTCCCACCACTACTACCACCACCAAAAGGAAGAAGAGTACCAAGGGTCGCGACAAAATGCAGGCCAATCCGTCGTATCCTCCTCCGGGGCCTTACCATGGTTCTTCTTCCCACAATCGGTCGTCCTCCACTTCCCGACCCAAGGAAAATAACAACACCCACTTCCGTCACTATCCCGGTACTTGCTGGGAATGTGAAAATGGCATCTATCATTCTGCCGGTCCTTCTGGTCCTTCGACTCCTCTCGAATATCCGTATTATATGTCGCAGCAGCCACCGGCTTTGCCAGATTTCCAGCAGCACCAAACTCCTCCACCGCCACCACCGCCTATGCCTGCTGCGCAGCACCCCTCATCATACGCTGCTCTACCACCACCGATCGCTCCAGATGTCCATGTTTCTAGTAGTCGACCTTCCGCCCGTCCGAATCGCTCCAATTCATATCACGCCAATGGCCGACCGTTGAGTTTCCACGGAATGATGCCCGGGGCAGGGAACGGCACCAGTGGCAGTAATGGTCCCAGCAACTACTACAACATGAACCGCTTTGAACATGGCCCCCCGCTGTCTGCTTCAGCATACGCGAATTCGCCTTCCTTTGGTCCTGCCAACTACGGCCCCCAGCCACCATACTATTCTCTGGCAGACTACGGTCCTCCGCCCGCTGAGCACGGTCGGGAACGTTCCATGTCTACCACACGGGAGTACCCGAGGGACCGTCGCTCATCCGTGTACGGCCCGCCCATGGTCGACTATGACCCGCCAACCCCAACCTACGACGATGGGGAACCCCTCGACCGTCTTGCTTCGCGGGACACTCGTGCTCCGATGTCCCCACAATCGCCTGTTTACGAACCTGATGAGGATTTCTACCGCATGCCCCCGCCCCCGATCAAGAAGACCTCCCCACAGATTATCCAGAAACGCCCCGATCCGCCACGGAAATCCGTCACTACCACCGCCGTCCCACATGGCCGTCGGGGATCGACTTTCGACATGACTGACATGGATGCTGGGCTACCCGGTGACTACACGCCGCCTCGCACGCCACGCTACCGACGCTCTCGGGAGAACCTCATCCCGGAGCGTAGCCGTAGCTTGCGGTCCACCCGCAACTATCGGGACTCCTCTGCTCGTCCGTCTCGCATGGCTGTCGAGGGTGCTCGACGTCGTCGGGAGGTCGTATATGACTATGACTCTGAGTTTGACGATATCGAGGCGGACGAAGCTGCTAGCGACCTCGTGGACAAGCAACGCGAAGCCGAAGAATACCAAGCATCCAAGTCCAAGGGCCACAAAGCCGTATCCGTTCCTCTGACGGAAGACGCCTTGTACAAAACCAAGGCATCCCGGGCAGAGAGCGACAGCGGAAGCCAGAAGAGCCGTTCGAACAGCAGCCGTGCCAGCGATGCCCGCACGCACAGCGGAAGCAACGCAGGCACTAACAACGTCAACACCATCAAAGAGGATGAAGACAAGAACCTTGTCATGACCATGAATGGTGTCACCATGAGCTTCACCCAGGAGTCCATGAACAGCAAGAAGATCAATCTGCGGACCAACAACACTGGTGCTCTTGAACTCAGCGTCGAGGGCAAGCGGCCCAAGAAGTACCTGACCTCGGGAGGGTCTGACTACACCGGAGCCGTTGCTCGGCGGGAGATTGAGCCCCCTGCCCCTGTCCCTCGACAGATTCGTGATAGACCTGATAGACCCCGATCCGAACGGCACCATAGCCGACGCTCTAGTCGGTCTACCTACGGTAGTGGGCGGTTCTTGGCTTAGGCCTTTTCTGTCGCCTATTTTTTCGTTATTTCTTTTCTTTCTACTTGTTAAAAAGGGTTATAGGAGGGGAATCAAAAAACAAAATTCTGCAAAGAAAAAAGTTTTGTGATTTTGGGTCGGGCTTCGTCTTTCGAACAAAAGAAGCAAAAGCGTCTGCGATACAATTCCTTTTCCTTATTTTTACCAAAAGGAAAAAGGCGCTGTGAAGAGGGTTTGTTCTTTTTATGTTTACGTTGTTTGATTTCGGGTTTCAAGGGCGGGTTATTATATGACTCTGACCGATCGCGTCCATTACGGTGACATGATTGTATGATTCTGATGACCTGCATGACTGTCTAATTCTGTTCTGTCTGTTTTTTTAGGCCATTTTCTGCCATTTATTCTGCTTATGTTCGGTGTTTTTTTCATGTGTGATGCCCTGTCAAGCGTGCTGTGTACAATGTTCATGATTATGATTCTGTTACGATGCCTGGGTAGAATCGGAGGAAAGGGAGATATACCCTGTCTGTTATCTGTCGTTGGCTTGTTTGTCTTTTATACATTTTGGTTTGCGTTTCTCTGGTTTTGGTTCTAGCAATCCATGTATTTGTTTCGTTGCTTGCTTCCCCTCGCTGTTGCCGTAGCTTGCTTCTTTTCTGCCGCTTGATTTATCGCTCGCTGTTTGGTTTTCTGCTTCACGATTGGCATGATTGATTGTACGACCTGCTTTTTGCTTTTGACTTTGTGTTCTGTTTCAGCGATGTTTCGGTAGATTTGCACCCTTGACTGTATCATTGCGTTGCGCTGAGAGTTTGACTGTTTGACGTTGTGCCAATACCCTGTTTATATGCTAGAGTAACGAATGAGTTCAACATCTTCATTTCATATATTATTCTGGCGTACTTTGTAGAATATTGTACCATGGTGAAACCCTAACTAGTTAGTTATTAACTAGTTAACTTAACGTAATCTATCACCGAGCTGGCCATATCACCGAGCTGGCCAGCTAAAATATCCATACAAAATGCTATTTTTCAAACCATCATATCTCAACGTCCTTGTAGACGCAGATTAAACCATTTGATTCCTAATATTCTTGACATTACTATAATAATTATTATCAATTTGAAGCCATTTCCTAAGCTAGTTATCAAGATAGTATAAATTACAATGTAATATAGGCGTAAGAGCTGAAGGTGGGTATTAAAAAAGGAGTACAGGTATAATTCGTTTAAAAATTGGCTCACTGGTAGTTTTACTCACTGATAATCTGTTTCTAATGTCAGAAGCTAAGATAGTAAATGGATGTTGAGATATGATGGTTTGAAATATGGCATTTTGTATGGATATTTTAGCTGGCCAGCTCGGTGATTTGGCCAGGTCGGTGATAGATTACGTTAGAAAAGCCGCTGACTCAGCGAGTTGCCCACGCAACGCCGATCGCCAAACAAGGCGTCACCCCAGCCTCCCATTTATGCCAACCACCGCATTTTCGCCGGTCGGGCGTGCTATCTGCCTATCTGCACCTTTCCCTTTCCCTTTTTCTTCTTTTTTCCCAGCACAATTGTATCACTGACGCCACGACAGAGCACATTGCTGTCATTCATTTCAATAAGCGAACCACGGTACCTGACAATTGGCATTCTACTGGTAAGATAACTATCCGAGATACCCACTAGAATGCACCACGTTCCTGACACATACCAGATCTCCAAGTCTGGAGCTCCGCGCTCTTGACAGCAACCAACCATGGCCCCCGTCCAACAAGTCTGGGACTTCCCCGGCATCCCGGGCGACATCTTCCTCGACCACAAACCCTCACACTCGCCCTCACCATCGCCATCACCAGACACCTTCCTCGCCAAACGAGACATCGATACCTCTTCAACCGACAATGGAAAATCCCTCGTCGCCCGCTCCGACAAAACTCACACCCCCGGCAAAGGCACCGTCGACCCGCACCACATCAACATGCAGGGCCTCCTCGCTCTATTTGCGATTCTGGGGGCTGCCTTCGTCATAGCGGGTATCTGGTTCTTCTTCTGGGCGAAGAACGGCGGGTTCCAGTGGCGCAAGGGTGATTGGGAGGAGTACAAATCTACTGTTCTACGACGGAAGGGTCCTGACGGAAAGACGTTGAGTAATGCTACCAAGAGCACGAAGCTGGGTGGCGGAAGTGTCGTGGGCAAGGGATATAGTGACTGGGAAGGAAATGGTGATGGGTACACGGAGAGTGGACTGGGATATGCGGATACAGCGACAAATCTAACCAAGAAGACCGGAAAGGATAGGAAGCAGCGGTTGAAGGATATCGCGAAGAGGCGGTTTATGCGGAAGCGTGCTGATGAGCAGTCGTGGAATGGGGAGGAGTATGAAGATGAGGATGTTCGCGCTTATCGGAATGAGAAGGCGGCTAGGGTTGGTGGGATTAACCGTGAGGCTGAGGGGACGTATCACGGGAGTGATTATGATACTTCTGCTCCGCCGACACAGTATAATCAGAGTGAGATGAGTGAAGTTCGGGACTATGCTTTTCCTCCGGCGACTGCGCCACGACACAAGAGTCAGCGCCAGTCTCGCAATTTCTCATTCACTCCTGGTACCGAGAGCCATGTTACCGGTGACACGTCCTACCATCCACGAGACACTGGCAACCGTCGTGCCCGCGAACCTTCAGCCCGTCGCCACAACCGCCGTCGTGAACGTCGCCGCAACCCACCTCCGCCAGCCTCCTCGTCCTCCTCGTCCCGCCCGGATAGCCATTACCCACGCAAACAGCGCCGCAGCAACGGCGGTGGCCACTACACTGAATCATCTCTCGGCTCGCGATCGGAATTCAACTCGAACCTGTACTCTGAGGACGAGAGTGGGACTAGGAGCTACAGCCATCAGATTCCGGGATTGAGTAAGGGGTATCGGCGTGACGGAGGACGAGGCAGACGGAGGGATAGTTTGAGTGAGAGTGATGGGGAGGAGACGAGATATTCTTAGTTATGGTTATGGTCACTTATGATTTATTTCTTTATGGGCGTGTGAATAATGATTCCATTTGTTTTGTTCTTGTTTCGATTTCTTTGGGTTAGTACGGCATGGGATGGGATGGGATTTATGAGTTTTACGATGGATATGATATGGATAACTATGGGAAACAGATTGATGGCATAGTTTTCGTGATTTGGTCCTAATAGAAATGAAACAGATGAAACTGCAACAACCTGTTATTGCCCAACAAACAGTACAGAGTGCATTTCCCAACTAATCGGATACATTGATGGAATCCTGGATAAGATCAGATCCGATAAGATCAAAACGAAAAAGAAAGTGGATCCCAATCTAAGGTGGAGACATCCGAACTTTATCTAGCGAGAAGGAGAATGAAGGTTGAAGTATACATAGTGTGAACCCGTAATCGGACTTGGGACGACTTCGCGCGAGACTTATGAAGCATGCAACGCCGGAGTGTAGGACTTGGGTGTATACAGACTAACAGCCGTCTCGGCTCCGAATACCGTATCGCGAAGGATAGATATATAGTCTTACGAGGGTGCTCCTAATTGAGTAAGGAACGAATTTTGGTTCTCTATCTATGAGCTTAATAGACTATTTATATCTCGGCGCCTCGGGCCCTCGCCAGGGCTCGTACCGATGTATGCCTGATCTGTCAGGTCGACACATCCGCAACGTATTCCATCCATTACTTTGCACCAATGCTAATTCACCTGAGCTCTCGGCCTCCATGGCACACTGACCACTCATATAGTTTCTTTTCGAATCAACAACCCACTCGCTGAAGGACAACCCATGCCTTCAAAATGGATGTTGTCGGGATGGTGGTTCTCTCTTTAGAACCAGTCTTCCCTTGTCATCACATAACTGCATGCTAACGCTCGTTGAAGCGGCGATATGGTTCATTTGACTGACGCGGGTAGTGTCCTGCTCAGAACTAGGTATCATATTCTCCTCAAGGCTATGGTACAACAGAGGTAACACAGATGACTTCCACACACTAAACCGAGCGATGTGGTTGATGACGATAACGGCAATTAAGAAGATGATCGCGGCGGCTATAAGAATGGCAGGCAGAGATATCCAGCTCCAGTCCACATCAACGTATGCCTCAGAGTGGAACACTATACCATTGACAGCGACAGTATTATTCTGGTCACGACCGAATTTGGTGAGCGAGGCCGCGATTCTGGCCATGATGGTCTCCAGGCCAAGCGTCATAACCTGCTGCACTCCATCTGAATTGACGAGTGGACCTCCGTTAGTATCCCAGTTAAGTTGTCCCGAAGATTTGTCTGGATTGTAGGTGTGGTTGCTGTTCCCGACCAGCCCGTTCAGTAACCCCCCGAAGTATGTGACTGGTCAAAATTGAACGTCCGACTATTCCCCCTGAGATACCGTCCAGGATGTCGCCTTTGAATGTGTAATTGCCATGGGCAGTCGCATTTTTATTTGGTTTCCAAGCTGGGTACCATATTCATCCAGCGGGACCAAAGAGACGACTGTGCAGGCTTCGTCTGATTTTCACCTTTCATCTCTGACTGTGAATTTTCATTGCCGCTGGATCCATATAGTAGAGCAGTGTGGAATGGTATTGGTGATTTGTGCTCATGCTGTTCATGAAAAGTAGTGGCCGGCTGCTCCTTTTCAATCGCAGCTTTGTTCATCAGTCCTTTAGACTCTTCTGTAGATACCGGAGTGTTATATGACGAGTCTACGGAGTGCGTAAATTCTCCAGATAGAGTCTCTAATTCATGCTGGTGTCCGGGGACAGAGTATAGACTTCTGGGTGCCATCAAGGATGCGATTTAGCACCAGGCGCACAACAGAATGGTTCAAAAAAGGTCAAAAAAGGTCAAAAAAAAAAAAAAAAAAAAAAAAAAAAAAGGTCATTCATTCAAGATTGTGGTAACGTGTGTGTATGAGTTTTCGGGAACGTATAAAGGATGTACTGGAGTAGTACGGAGTACTTGGTCGAAGGATTTAGTCTTCCTAATTTAATATCCCAACTCACTTGAATTGCTTATTGCAAACTCGTTCACGAAGACGGATCTCAGCCTTCCTGTTGAAACACTACTAGGTAGAACAAAAGAAGAAGACAAAAGAAAAAGGCAAAAAAAGTCAAAGCTTGTAACACTGAGATCCTTCTCTACTAGAGTACTATCTCAAGAAGTTTTCATTTGCATCTGAACAATTGCTTCTCATATGGTGCTGGCTCTGTATAGATCAAAAGCGGAGAATCGACGGATTGCGCTTATTGGTGAATTGGATCGGCCGACATATCACACGGCTTTGGCCATACACAGAAGTCAACACATTCAAACCGAACATTCGAGAGTCGGAAGAGACAGCATAAACAATCCTCGAAGTCAGAAACATTCAATCCTACTGTCCAATTCTGTCTGAATTCGAAAACCTCACCATGGACAACTTCTGGGACGCATTGTTCGCCTCGTTTCCACCCTCTCCCGAATGGGCTCCATTCTGGAGCAGTCTGTTCGAAGATGCACTGTCAGCCTCCCTCATCTGGCTTGTAGCCCAGATCGGTCCCATAAGAACTTCTGCGTTTCAATTAATATGTTATTCCTTAATTCAAGTGTGTCGATTCGTCTTTGCGATTATATCTGGCTTCCAAGATGGTTGGCCGAGGCTATCTGGGACCGAGTGTTTTGGCCGGACGATTGTCGTTTCGTCGTTTGTAGTGGCTATCTATACCGCTTATTATGAACAAGGTCAATCTTGTACGTTATCTGGCTTCATTGAAAGTTCTCTGCTAACGCATTATAGGGAGGGGGCACAGGGCTGGCAGAAATGAGAAATCTTGTTGGCAATGAAGTCACAATCAATTAGTTGAATAGATAAAGTAGAAATGGACACACACATGGGGCCATCTATGGCAGATCAGCAGATCATTGAATGTGTCCGGACGCGAGAGGATAGAGGTCTAGAGGATGCTCCGTAGGCATATCAGTGTTTTTCCTTCAATTTTGTAGTTAGGATGCCAAGCCCTCCTAATACGGAAGGTAGCAAAAGCGGTGACAAACTGACCTGCAAAATTTCACCGCCCGACAGATTTTCCTCCCGAAAACTTTCAGGACCAGAACGAAGAACTAACCAACATCAGAAGATTAATCCAAAACCACATTGCACCATGAAACGAAAGCTCGATGCGAACGATGTCCCGTCGCCGGATACTGCCGGCAAGACTGAAACCCATGATTCCGACGATGCCAGTTTTGAAAGTCTCAACCTCGACCCAAGACTGCGCCAAGCCCTGACCAAAGAGAAATTCTCGAAGCCGACTCTTGTTCAGGCAAAGGCCATTCCGTTGGCGCTTCAGGGGAAGGATATTCTGGGTGAGTGAGGGATATTGCATTGTGCTGGGGGGACTTGGAAATGCTAACGAATTCAGCTCGCGCAAAAACTGGTTCCGGCAAGACCGCGGCTTATGTCCTACCGATTCTGCAGACCATTCTTCAGAAGAAGGCTGTTAGTACTTCTCTTCATCTCTTTGAAACAGTTTGAGTACTAATGAACTACAGGCCGACCCCTCGTTGAAAGCGACATCCGGTCTCATCCTCGTCCCAACCCGAGAACTTTCCGAACAAGTCCAGAATGTCGTGACCACCTTCGCAGCCTTCTGCGGAAAGGAAGTTCGTTCCGTAAACCTCACACAGAAGATCTCCGACGCGGTTCAGCGTACAATGCTCGCCGATTGCCCGGATCTGATCGTGTCGACCCCCTCGCGTGTCCTGTCCAATATTGGAAATTCCGCTTTGTCACTCGACAATCTGAGCCACTTGGTTATTGACGAGGCGGATCTTGTACTTTCGTATGGATATGATGAGGATATTCAGGCGTTGTCAAAGGCGATCCCCCGTGGTGTGCAGACGTTCTTGATGAGTGCTACGCTTACTGCAGAGGTCGACACTTTGAAGGGTCTGTTCTGTCGGAGTCCTGTGACCTTGAAGCTTGAGGATAAAGATGAACAGGGCGCTGGTGTGAGCCAGTTTGTTGTCAAGTAAGGATCTTGCCAATTTAGTTTTGTCACGACCCATTGCTAATCCATCGCAGGTGCGCGGAGGACGAAAAATTCCTCTTGACCTACGTCATCTTCAAGCTGCAGCTGATCAAGGGCAAGATCATCGTTTTCGTCGGAGATATCGACCGGTGCTACCGTGTTAAGTTGTTCTTAGAGCAATTCGGTATCAAGTGCTGTGTGCTCAACTCAGAATTGCCCGTCAACTCCCGGATCCACGTCGTGCAGGAGTTCAACAAGGGTGTCTACGATATTATCATCGCTGCCGATGACCAAGAAGTGATGGGCGCTCGCAAGTCCAAGAAGTCTATTAAGGGAGAAGGCGACGAAGATAAGGCACAGTCGAGTGACGAGGACGAGAACGAAGGAGAGACCAAGCGCCGTAAACTGTCCGGCAAAGAAAAGGATTACGGTATCTCCCGCGGTATCGACTTCCAGAACGTCGCCTGCGTCCTTAACTTCGACCTGCCCACCACCTCCAAAGCCTACACCCACCGCATCGGCCGTACCGGAAGAGCAGGCAAGGCCGGAATGGCACTCTCCTTCGTCGTCCCATCAGACCAATTTGGCAAACACAAGCCCACATCCATCTCCACCGCAAAACACGATGAATCCGTCCTCGCGAAGATCGTCAAGCGTCAGTCCAAGCTCGGCCACGAAGTGAAACCCTACCACTTCGAAATGCAACAAGTCGAGGCATTCCGGTATCGTATGTCCGACGCCCTCCGCGCCGTGACCCGACTCGCCGTGCAAGAAGCTCGTGCTCGTGAAATCCGTCAAGAACTCATCAAGAGCGAGAAGCTCAAGCGCCACTTTGAAGAGAACCCAGAGGAATTGCGACAACTGCGCCATGACGGCGAGCTGCGTTCTGCACGTATCCAGCATCATCTCAAACATGTTCCGGATTACCTGATGCCTGCCAAGGGGAGAAAGGGTATCTCGAACGAGGATATTGGGTACGTTGGGCTGCGGAAGACGACCGACAACCGGATCCGGAAGGCTAGAGAGCGGAATCGCAAGGCTGGAAGGGGTAAGAAGCCTGGTGGGAGAGTTGATCCGTTGAAGACGTTTAATCGGGGGAGGAAATAAAAGTTTGTGTTCTTGATGATACCATTGTCTTTGTGGTCAAATGTAAATATAGATAGGTATAGTTCAATCAAAATATATAACGGTGTAATAACCAGAGAGCTCGGTTGGGAAAGCCTTGTGTAGGTAGCATGACATTCACTTCTGTGCATTACAATCCTACTTTGCTAATTTCCTTCGTCCTCATCTTCATCGTTTTAGGAGATTCTAAATACCAGCAAAAGATGACCTGCACTTTAAAGCAGCTCAGCAATATATATCCTGTCCAATCCGTACCCTCTAGCCCGAGGTTCTCAGAACGAGGGCTAAAGTTGCAGAGCAACAATCAACTTCAGGGTTTCCTAGGAGCGTTACAGTATCGTTTTTTTTTTTTTTTTTTTTTGTCTTCTTGGCCTCTGTTACAAGCTCTTCACATCATCCTTTATTCCAAACGGCAACGAAAGAGACGGTCCAAACCCTCAACAATCACTTTAGACTTTCACAATACACTTACCACTGAATGAGATGGCAAGAACTATCCAGGAAAAGCTGGTTAAACCAGAGAAGCAAGCAGAATTCCCGGCGCGGATTTCAGCGCCGAGATTAACGCCAATCACTAAATCGGCGGAGCAGATTGAGCGCACTCCAAACCAGCGACCCTTCTGCTCCCTCGGCAACAAGCAAGCAACCTCTAGACACCGACGATAAATCACCGGTTAACTCAGCCCTCATCATATTTCTCCAGGGGCGAACCTCGCTAGGCGATGGTACGAGTCTCGAGTGGGTAATGAATCATGTCGAGTTTCGGCCAACGTTTCGGGAACTAATCGCTTATGTGAAATGGTATAGAAAGGGCGTCAAGGGAGAGGTTGCCGTGGACTAATGGTAACTGTAGTTTTCTCTTAAGTCATTGGACAGACGGTACCATCAGACACACAGGCTCGAACAGCTTGATTGGGAGAATATGGCAAGGGCAAAGACACTTCCCGCGAGTATTTCACCGGATAATGAGTCAAGTCGCTTGACTATGGTAGCCGACTGTCTCTGGCAGAAGACCGCCACGAAATGTACTGGCTCCGTCTATATGGCGTACCTTGAGAATGGAACCGAGAGATACGGACTGGAGGCGGCTTGGGATAGAGAAAAGGCCAAATGATTAGACCATTCTCCGCCCATTATCAAGCAAGGAGGGGGGATATAGCAACCCCAATCTCTATCCCTCTCGAGGATCGTATTGAAAAAGACCTTACAAGTGACTCAGGTATGAATGGAAACAAGCGAATGTTGGAGGCTAGAGGAGCTGATTCACAGAGCGAAGCTCTAGCACAAAACAATTCATGATCTAAAGCGACACATTTTACTTTCAGAAAGGATGCCGGGGATATGATCTGAGTAAGGACTCCTTGCCTGACTTCGCTACCCGGAATACTCTGCACAGACCATCGCCCACCCAGGCCTCGTTCCTAGGGCCACCCAAGAAATCCACAGTTTACGACGCCAATTTTGAGCAAGTCCTCATGGGCCAGTTTCACACCGCCCAAGCCCGGGCATTTGTAGGATCTGTATATGATCCTGCCTATATTTGCTCCTAGGGTCGAAAGTCCCCGAAAATCAGTACGCCATGTTTCGAGCCATTTGTCCACCCTTTTCCCGTTCAGTGGATGCTGACGCAAACGTCGAAGAGGACGGACTGGAGGCAGTTTGGGGTAGAGCGAGGGTCATCATCAGACTCTGGAGAGAGTTCCAGCGTTACTTAGGGTCGTGGAAGACGAGATTTACATTTGAACCATTAATGGGAACTGCTGTGGCCCTGAATGTTCAAGCCGGTACGCGAGCTGTAGGAGCAAATCATGTCCATGGGGGCTGACCTGTAAGGGGCCACTCAGTCCAACACCAGCAGAGTGAAGCGTTGGGGACTGATAAAATCTCAAACGCAGTGATTGAGGTCATTGGGTATGTTTGTTATATTTTAATTCGTATACTTTGCAGTATATGCCTTCCGTGTTAACTATACGGAAACGTCATGGTGCCCAAAACCAAACACAGGCAGTAATTATCCTGTTTAGTATGTAAGGTACCAGGTCTTATATAATATCAGATAGATTATCTTTAGAATTGAGGAAGCAAACATCTGATAAACCACGTGATTGAAATCATACTACATGAACCCCGCAACAAGAACAAGGCTCTGATTGAAACTCGAAAACCTCACACAGTTGCAAGAGTAGCTTGGGCTTGGAATATACCGAGAAGAATTAAGATGCATCTTCCTATGGAGATATATGATCATGTAAGGCCTGTGCTAAGCGATCTTATGCTCGGCTCTAAACCTTGCACAGATCATCTTTCATGTTCAGAACAAGGAAAATGAGAGACACCTGTACCGGCAAGACGATGCTCGACATTATACTCTCCTCGATAGCGAAACCCGACGAGATTTGGAGGCACTGCGTCTTGTTAGCAAGGCTTTCTGTCGCAGCGCCTCATCTTGGCTATTCCGACGTGTTGTCGCGAGACATGGCTCCTCCTCAAATTCTCTAGCTCTGGAACAACTCGTGAAATTGTCAAACAGCTCATACGCCGCGTACGTATGCCATATTGATTTGGAGTTCGAAAATGCGACACGTTCTGCCGACACTGCCAATGCGTTGTATGTCGAGGATCTTGCAAGATTACTATCGTCTTGCCTGGTGAAATTTACCAACCTGAAGGCGCTCGAGTTTCATAAACCGCCCCCGCACCTTTGCCAGGAACGGAGGAGAATTTATATTGACACGGTTATTTCGCCGCTGCGTGATGTGCGGATCCCAAATTTGGCGGAACTTGAAGTGCACTTTTCCATCGCCCACGATTTTAGGCATTTCTTTCCTGCTAAAATAAGTCCTTCATGGATTCCTGTTAGCGATATTCTGCAGAATCTTCGGCATCTTGGGTTGTATGTGTGTGCAAATACAGATCAGCATGATCAAAGGGATGGGATGGAGCTGGTTATGCTAGAATATGCTGCCTTCCTAAATAGCACCCATGCACACCATTTGATCAGAATGGTTGAACTTGCCCCAAATCTCAAGTCCCTCGCGATCAACATTCCAAACATTCTGGATCTTGACAAGCTCGACTTTTCACCCTCTCTTCGTCTCCAGTCTCTCTGTTTGGGAGGTGTGTCCATCTCATCGCACAAACTTCTTTCGTTGATCGAACAGTCCAAAGAGACAATCAGATACATTAATTTTTCGCCGGTCAAGCTGAACTCTGGAACGTGGCAACAGGCACTAATGCAGCTGTGCACGCTACCGCGCTTGCTCGATTTCAGGACCAGCAGAAGTGGGTACTCATGGAGACATGGTCTGGCTTCCCAGCTACCACCCAATTCGTACTACTGTCTAAACATTGAAACCGTTAATCCGTTGGACCGGTGTGCACTGGGGAATTTACAACGTCAAGTAAACGCAAACAGGATTGTTGCGGGGTTTCCGCCCTTCACTGAATTGGATTATCAATACATCGATCAACTACCTCTAGAGACTGCCATGCAATATCTAGAACGTTATCGGCAAATTGATGCTCCTATGGCATGACTACCCTGCAGGCCCCAAGCCCCATCCAGCAGCCGTGAGAAAATTTTTCAAGACGTGGGCAATGGATGAAGCCTACAAAGTCAGTATCCAGGAAGTTTGCAAGTGACTATTTGGTGCTCTGTTCTAAAGTTTAATACCGGAGTTTACCGCTATTGCGCTCGCGATAACAAAGACTGTAGCGAGATGATGTAGAAATTGGAACATGGTTATAGCAAACAGAACACACGTTTGAATTTAGAGAATAATTGACGCTGAGATCTAGTGTACTTAGCATTTCGGAGAGAACCTAATACTTGTTCGAGCCCGCAGTCATAGCCCTAACATCCGCATCAAACCTCGTATATGAGAAATATATGATATGCTTTGCGATGCTGTCGTTAATCTTCGAAGTGTATAGCCATGGCCCTAAAAAGCCCTTGCGACCACCACATATACAATGATTCTTCTCTCCTCACATATTACATGGTATAGAGATGCCTCGTCGGAAGAGATATCATTTCCAGACAATCCGTCATTGTAGCCACGGTTCTCGATACAAACAGGGCCTTGTCGGAGAAAGATTAAAATCATTCACTTTCTGTGCAAGCGACCAACAACCAACAAAGAGGAATGTGAAATTCACTGCTGAAATGAATAATATTTTCAATGTAAAGAGTCTTGCTCGGCTCTTTCTTCTTTTGTATTTCTTTTACATTCAGTGAGTCGCAGTCCAAAAGAATAGGCTAGTCTTTTCCTTCTCTTCCTCGCCATTACCTTGTCCTTTTTTGAAACTATGTTTCTTCCCCAGATCTAGCAACATTTGTCAACTAGTTTCTACGAGCATACTACCACAATGCCTCACCAATGGGAACTGCGCTCTAGGAAGCCAAAGCAACTAACAGACGAAGGTCAAGCTGACGAGCAAGAAAGAAATCTTGACGGCTACAAGATTCCATATCTCAAGATCCCGGTGAATTATAGCGAGTTGAATGAACTGATTATTCGCGCGAACCTTTACGGCAAGACGATCCACGACATGATCCAGGAGGCCATGTTTTCAGGATCCAAGGTCTCAGATTTGCAGTATGTAATGTTTAGATCTGTTGCTGAGCCCTACATTCCCTCCACAAAGCTCGATACGCGCTTGTCTATATACGGTCTCGAGAGAGTCTGGGGCCTCACCAAGAAGATTGTCGGTAAATCCGCAAAATTCATGAACTTGATCATTATCGTGAGAGAGAACATCGATGTCAGCACGCTTAATGAGAGGATTGAGATATGGCCTGGAGCATTTAAGCCAATACGTGAGCTTCGCGAGCAGATATTCGGGATTGGAGGTACACGGACTCATCCACAAGAACACAGAGACGAGGAACAATCTGCAGAATCAGAGGCCAGAAAAAGAATTTGAACTGGCTGTAAAGCCGCTCGCCAGCCGCGAAGACGCCCTGCCAAAAGAAAGCACCAGGAGATGTCTAATTTCTCGGAGGCCAGTGAGTATCCACCAGACGCAGAGGACGAGTCTCCCGTGAATGCGGCTTTGATACTGTCTCTGCAATCCTTGACGTCTCTAGTCGAGGAGGCTAAAGTTCAATGGGTCCTGAATCATTTCGAATTCAACCCAACCTTCAAGTCTGTCGCATTCACGACAATGACAGACGGCGGTCTTCGACACATAAGCACTCACAAGATCGAAGATATTTTCAGAGGCCAAGAAAATGGTCAGAGCCAAGGCGCGGATTGCGATACAGAAGCAGGAAACGGCCGAAATGGTCGGCTGGCTGTCGGAAAACGGCACTCACCGGCCCCAGTTCAATAGGTAGTGAGTCAATCATTATGATGCTCAGTGAGTTCTTCACAAGTATTGACTATTTCAGCCGCCCGTCGTTTGCTGGGGATCGGGACGAGCTCTACGTACAGTTCACGAGATGGGGAGAGGATTATGGCAGATATCCGGGGGAGGGTCTTTTCACGGAGGAATCTTGCATGGTGACGAAGGGGTGTGGATCGTTTCGTATTGGCCGGACCGATGATTTGCAGATATTTGCGACAATCATTGTGGCGATAACCTTGGTTTTAAAAGGGTTCTAGAAAGCGTTCTGGGTAATTTTCTTAGGGAGCACGCGTGATATATAGGGCTATCGGTTACACAGGCAAGAAAAAACATGGCAATTGGGGTCGATGGAAAGGAATCTACGCTGTTTGCTATGATGCACTATGCATATACTGGTATCAGTTAAGTAGAATAAAATAAGCGAAGGTGAGTGAATGGTTGAGAAAACAAGTATAGGCAAGTCAAATACTGCAATTACACGTGATCTCCTTTGTTTTTTCTTTCCTACTTCTTCCCCTCCTTCTCTCCCTCCCTCTCTATTTCTCCATCAACAACTTCCCAAGAACAGAAGAATGAATTTTCGCACTCCAAGCGAAGTTTTTCGTATCCTCGGGGCCGTCGCCAACAGAAAGCAACGAGTTGAAGACCGCGAAAATATCCGGAACACGACTATCGAACTCTTGGAAAACACCTATTATTCAATTTTGAACACGATCACAACCACCTGAGCGAGTCTACAGCCCGTGCAATCTCCATTGACTGTCGGGATATTATATTGCAAACAGATGGAAGTCAGTCTTCCCCTTTCTTCAAGCCATGGAAGTTGCAAGAACTCAACGACTATCCTCTCGATTACGCGGATCGAACTACGCGTGAATGGACCGATTAAGACAAGATCTGGCTGGAAGATAAATTTGGAAGTTACGTAGAGCGTCCAGTGTACTCTGGAAGCGTGCTTGAAAGGATATTTTTCTACCATTTTAGCTTCTATCAACGACAGAGCCCCGAGGGAGAGAACCAGAGTCTCGAGACTTTGTGCCACAGGAAAATACCAGTTTCTATTCTCATTGAAAGCCCTTTTAACAAGAGCTAACTAATATATGTACTCGTTTCTAGATCTATTAAGCCCGCTGTTCTCCATTCCGACTTCATCGACCCGTGTCTCGGTCTGCCTCCGACAGCAAAGAACATAAATAAGCTCGCGATGGCGAATAGGTTCACCACCCTTGGTGAGACTTGGTATCCAGACAGCCTTCCTCATTTAACCATCAGTACTGCGCACGACATTGAGCCGGACGAGCGGCTCGTCCGTAATAAATTACTTTTTATCACCGGGATTATGATCACTAGGCTGGAGGTCGCCTATCTCAGTGAACATACCATTGTGCCTGTGTGTTAGGTCTTCCTGTATACCTTTTTCTTGATGAAGACTAAATAACTCGTCTGCGTTTATAGGTCATGATGATTTCCTCCTTTGGCTATAGAAAGGCTCGGATCTTGCAAGCTCATTTCGACCACGGGCGTCTCATTATCCTGAAGATCAAGCTGTACGATTCCTCAACGCTGGAACAATTCAACCAGAAAGTCGACCTCTTCATGCTCTATCTTTCTAGTGATTGTGTTGGTCATACGACGGTGGTAGATGCGGGTTGGATTACGGAGCGCCCAGAACAGCAAAAGTCGGGTGTTAATTTCAGGTTTGTGAATGGAAAATGGCGTACGGAGTTTTGGTGCTTCTTTTTCTCCTTTTCTTCTTCATTTGGTGCAACAATTCAGGGATCGTTTCAATCATCATCACAGTCGTCCACCTCCTTGCGGAGAAATTACATGCGCATGAGAGATATGCCGTTTTCTGTGAATTGAGTATAATATTAAGAATATGGTTCGATTGCATCTTATCATATACTGTAGAAATATATGGTTACGTACCGCCTCTAGATAGTAAGGAAAGGGAGCAAAAGACAATGTACTCCAGTGAATTGATGTCCCTAGTCACATTTCCTAGTCCCATGTGACCTAATTATATCACCTCTGTTTATCTTTCCTTCATTTTTACTCCTTTCCAATTGCTTCTATCAAAAACAGGTAAGATGTCTCTTCTACGAAAACTTCTTCCTAACATCGAGTTCGTCTCTCGCAAGAAGAAGCAACAAATCAAAGAGTATGAAACTGTCCGGATCGCAAGTATCGAGATCCTAGAAGATATCTGTTACTCGATCCTCGACTATGACCATGTCTACGTGGACGATTCAGCAGCCCGCGAGTTATCAATTGAATGCCAGGAAATTGAGTTGAAAGCCGATGGGAGTCAGTTTTCTACTTTTTTTCAGACCGTGGACAATCGCAGATTTGAATAGATTTCCTCTTGGCTACACTTGTCCTACCACAACTGAATGGATTGAAATGGATAAGAGACTACTCGCTAAATCGACTGAGATGTATGTTTAAAATCCGAAATGCGGCGTGTATGGCCTTAGCACCACAATCACATGTCACTTCAGCTTCTACGCGAGGAAAACGCCAGTCGGGAAAAGATCCAGTCTTCAAAGATTGAGTCTCCGAATAGGAAGGTTGGTTCTCACGGTGATGAGACAGGCTCTCAGTATCGGAATCCGCAAAATTTCCTCTTAGATCACAACTCGTTGTTTGACTTGCTTGCCAATACGCCAGAGGGGTATGCAGCACCACCCAGAATCCTGAAATGCTTACACTGATGATTACTAGAAACCACGCAGCCTTAATGTACTTCAGCGACCACGGCACGCCAATTGGATGGCGAAACCAGCACGGCTACGGCTGCCATACTTTTAAATGGTATCCCCTCTCCTCCTCCTCTCCTCCTCCCTGTGCCCACAAGTCTAACAACTGTACGCAGGGTAAACAAAAATGGCACATTCGTCTATATAAAATACCACTTCCTAGCAGACAAAGGCCAGAAACAATTCACCGCCGACGAAGCCCTCCAATTCGGCGGCCAAGACCCAGACTTCTCAAAGCGCGACCTCTGGCAAGCAATCGAGAAAGGCGAGCAGGTATCTTGGACGGCACATGTGCAGATTATGAAGCCGGAGGCGGATCCGCGGAAATTGGGGTTCGATCCGTTTGATGTTACGAAGGTTTGGCCGAAGAAGCAGTTTCCTGTGCGTACCCTCTTTCTTATTCCTAGGTATATAGAGGGTTGGGCTGATAAGTGACAGCTACATGAATTCGGCAAATTGCACCTGAACAAAAACCCCGGAAACTACCACCGGGACGTCGAATAAGCCGCCTTCTCACCAGGCAGCATGGTCCCCGGGATCGAAGACAGCCCAGACCCCCTCCTCCAATTCCGGATGTTCTTCTACCGCGATGCGCAGTAACACCGGATCGGCGTAAACCTGCACCAAGTTCCAGGTACCCCCTCCCTTACCACCCCCACTTTCAAAATAACATAGCATTGGCGCAGTCACTAACCAGTGTGACAAAACAGTAAACTGCCCATTTATGGCCAGTTCTTACTCCTCCCTAAACTTCGACGGGCCCCTCCGCATCGACGCAAACCATACCATAAACCCACAATACACACCAAACAGCTTCGCGAACAAATTCCGTCCCGACACAGCTGAATGTCCCTACGCGCTAGGCGACAAACACCGTCTCTCGCAAATCGCACTTCTACCACGAGGGTAAAGCATCTGAGTACCAGCAGCCGCGCGAGCTTTACAGACGAGTTATGGATGCGAAAGCCCGCGCAAGGTTGCATTCAAATACCGCGAGATTGTTGAGGTTGGTTGAGTATCAGGAGATTGTGGTGAAGTATTTGGTGCAGGTGTATTGTGTGGCGGAGGAGTATGAGAAGGGGGATTATGAGTTGTTGCCGGAGCCTGGGTTTGGGTTTGAGGAGGTGGAGAGAAGGGTTATGGGTGCTGCGGGGGTAGGGAAAGAGAAGAAGTTTTTGCCGACGGATGGGGAGGTGATTACGGGGACTTGTCTGAAGGAGCCGGTTTATACTGTTGTTGATGGGATGTAGAGTGGTATGTGGCTGTATATTGACTTTCCCTTAATTGGGTTTAATATCTGTAATATTGAATGTATTTTTGTCTATTTCATGTACAAACTACTCCATGAATATCTACGGAAGAAAACCTGTATACTCCTCCCCCAGCAACTCCCTAACCACATCCACCTTAAGCTCCTCAATCCCAAGCGAGAAATGCACCCACTTCCCCTTTCCTTCCCGTCTAAGCTGCTGCACCTGCTGCTGGACCGTCCTCGCGGTACGCATCGTCTCCCGATACCGCTCTAGCTCCTTTGCGTGTCGATACTTGACGCGTTCGACTTCCACGTCCCATGAAGTGTCACTGCCGCTGTCATCGTCATCGGTCTCTATTCCCCTTATACGGGACAATGATGCTGGAGGGGTTGGCGGCGCGTGAATGGAGGATGCTAGTGACCGGAATGCAGGCGGCTGATACTGCTGCTGCTGCTGCTGCTGCTGCTGCTGCTGCTGTAGCCATGTCGTTGTCGCCACAGGTGGCCTGTCGGCATCATGAGTATGAAGACCAAGAAGCTCAGCATAATCAATATGCGGCAACCACCCAGGTCCCAAACTAATCCACTCAATATCTCTCCATGCTCCGTTCCACTCCGGACCCGTCCGGTATACCTCGCCATCAGGACCGTGGCCGGTCCAACTTAGCGCCGGAATCCAGTCACCACAACCCTCGAGATCAAGCCATTTCAGGCAGTAAGTAGCATGCGATAGTTTGCGCAGGATACCGGCAGCCTCGGCCCAGTTGTTCTCCATGGCGGAATAAGTATCCATGCCTCCGTAGGAGAATATAAGAGATCGGTGTGTTGGGTGGCGAACGCGAGCATTTATCGCGTTGGGCGTAAGCGTTGGAACGGGCCAGTGGGCGAGTGATAGATGAGTGAGAATCGATAGACGGGAAAGAAGCTTCAGGAGGGATTTCCAGTTTGCGGCGGATGGATGCGGATGCGCTAGAGAGAGAAATCGGAGGTTCTCAAATCGACAGCCATGATCAAAGGATTTGGGTATAGATGACGCCTCTTCCTCCTCATACTCTTCTTCCCACGATGCCGGGACAGCTTTTTTCGATTTGCGCGGTAGGTCCACAGCGCCAGACGACGGGAACAGCTCATTATTCAACTCCTTAAACCCCATCCACCGTCCCAGCGCACCATCCAAATCCAACCGCGAGATACTATCCAACTCAGAACCTTGATAATCCTCATCACTCTTATCGACCGCAATCAACGGCTTCAACCCACGCACCAACCCCCTCAGAGGCTGATCCCTCCCGTAGACAGCGATATAACTCAACAACAACACCTTGACATGAGTAGGCAGCATAGCCAAAAATTGTCCATCGTATGCCACATGCCATGCCCAGTGCTGGGCCATGGCTTTGAGAGTCAGATGCAAAAGGCTATTTTTCGGGGGAAAGGTCGTCCCCGGGAGGCGTTCTAGTCGGTAGATGACTCGTTCCGTTTCTGCGGCGGTATTGATATCCTCCTGTTCGGAATCATTGCTGGTATTTTGGTTATTTCCCAGTAGCCAGCTCTCCGGTGGCGGGGGTCCCGGGGTTCTTCTCAATCGTCCGACACCGACGCGACGCGCATCTGGGCGGGGTCGCGGAGGCGGAGTCTCAGGGAGTTCGAGGAGATTTCGTAAGGAGGGGTGGACGGATCGAGGAGTGACGAAGCCGGAGGGATTGGTGCGATCATCAGAGCTGGATATTTGGGTGCGGCGGAGGTGGTGGATCAGGTCGTTGACGGATGGCTGGGCGCTCGACGACGATGATTGAAATCTGTCATTTCGAGGGCTGGAACTGAGGAGTGTGTGATGCGGAGTGTCGGCAGGCTTTGTGAAGAGGGGATTATGTCGTTTATGTCGTTTTTTGGGCATAGATGCTGGAGTGTTGAGGAGGTTGGTGGGAGAATGGGAGTTGCGGGGATGAGATGCCCGGAATTGCTAAGATACAGTAATTTGCCTCCGGCATAGCCACAACCACGGGAAACAGAATGAATAATAATATATACACATCTATGGATGTTATACAATGCTCTCGCTTGTTTAATAATACACTGTGGTTCAGAATCTCCTCAAATATCCCGAACCCATGAATCGTCCTTCATCTTGCCCTCACGCTTAGGACCTTCTTGCATCCAAGTCTCCACAAGACCTTCCTTAGGATCCTCGTCAGGCAGCCCTCTAGTCCGCCGGACGTCTAACACAAGATCTCTAATCTTCTTGGTGACTTCTCTGCGCAGCTCGACTGCTTCTTCGCCATACAGCAGTTCCTCGTTCAGAACACCGAGCGGAAGATCCCGAGCTGAGGGCGAGCTCTTTTCAACTTTCTCCCTGAGTTGATTCCATCGTCTTCTGTACTCGCCGAAAACGGTTTCCGTGTCGACCTTGTTTCCGAATGTGATGCTGATATTCTTTCCCGCCCGGGGCAGGAATCGAGGAAACTTGCGGCTTTCGTGCATAACCTGGTCCAATCCCTCCAACCAAATGGGCACAACATCCGGACACTCACTGGCTTCTAGGATAAGTCGTGCAACGCCCCACTTGAAATACCGCATCGTCTTATGCGGCGCCTGATGGATCTTGCCCTCGGGGAAGATATGAAGCCACGCATGCGAATTGCAAGAATAAGCGGAGGGCGCGAGATGCGAATCCTGGTCATTCGTCGTGTAGGCAGTAGGAAGGTCGGAGAATGGATCGACGCAGACATTCTGTATGCTCCAGTTCTGTCGTTCTGGCTTAGCGCGGTAGGCGTCAACCGGGAACGGTCCGTTGGACAGCAATCGAATTGCCTGGGTCACTGCAGGCTGCGAAAGGCCACCGAAGGGCGAGTGCACAAGTCGATGGGTAGGTAGCACTTGGCCCATTGTGAAGAACAGTGCCAACGGTCTGTACATGCCGTAATATATATCGTCAGCCAACTCTCGCATCACGAGATAAGAGAAGAGGAAAGGCTTTAGTCGTACCGGCCCTGGTAACAGATATCATGACTCCCAAAAGACCACCTCATGTTCGTCGCCGGGAATCGCAAATGGTATCGCATGGGCAAAACTCCCCACATAATCGGATCATCCATTCTATCGTGAGTTACCGGTCAGCGTCCATCCTTGTAGACATGCTTTTCGATCGACCGTCAACGTACGTACACGCTCGTGTGATTTGAAACTATCCGGCAGAACACTCAGTTAGCCATTATCCCGAACGTAGTCCGCATAGATGACCTACCAGTGAGCAACCCCCTCGACCTCTGCGCCGGATCCTTCCTCGACTCAATAATCTCCAAAAACGACTCCAACCCATTGACCTCGGGATGGCTCAATCCATATAAAAACCCGCGACACAACGCACTCACGCCGAGCATGGTAGTAGAGGACAGCAGCCTCCATGGCAGAGAAGGGCATTCTGCCGTTGTTGCTGCGCCGGAATCCCCATCGCTGGACATGGCGGCTGCTAGAGATATTCCATCAATAGATCAGTAGTAATACAGAAGAATAAGAAGGTACAAAGGAAAAAAGAATGAAGTTGAATCTCCGAATTTCTTTCTGCTCCCCGGATCGGCGGGCGTGGGATATACCGCGCTGTAATTGGCCCGCTGCGTCACGCCGCCTTTTTTTCTCCCGTTGACTGCGGTTAAGCGATAATCCCCGACTTCAATCTTTCTGCCTTCGTCACCGGTTGCCAATTCTCCGAAACAGCAGAGAACAATGTTCAAGCCTACATCGGCCCTCTTCTCGGGTCTTCTCTGGTAAGCCCGTTATGTCGCGACTTGGCTATCCCCCATAATGAATGAGCGCGCCAGTCCCGCACACTCCGCCGTCCATAGTAACAAAAGAAAACGAACGAGATACTAATCAGACTCTCGAATACAGGAAGACCCCATGGCGCATCTCGCAACCCCAGAAAGCCCGCCAGCGTAAGCGCTTACGCTCCGTCGACCGCGTTGTTGATACCCTCAGCGCCGCCCTGCAACGGAACGGACAGAGCACGAAGGCCGTTGAGCGGTGGTACGCTGAGATGCCCCGGGAGGAGGAGATGGTGTCTAAGGACAAGTACACCATCTTCGATAAGAAGGAGAAGACGTACCGGAAGGGACTTCACAGTATGTGTTTTGGTATTGTCATCTGTGTTGCGGGGAGATGCTAACGGAGTGTGCGCTAGAACTGCCCAAGTGGACACGAGTGAGCCAGCGAGTCAACCCTCCGGGTTTCTAAACGGGTTATCGGTTACTATCTTCGATTGTTGGGCGAAAAGCGGCTACTGTTGTCGCTACGAATGCATATAGAACTTCTTTGTACGATACATCACAAAACACACTGGCCAGGCTCTACGAAGAAGAGGGGATACTGGCTAGAAAAGATTACAGGAAGGATATCCGGAGTTATTGGCAGTCGGGAAATTAACTTATTCACAATGTTTTATTAACCCTGAGTCTTATCTCAATACACAATTCGACATCTCCAAAACGAACTTGATAGTGCTATTGTTAACTTGACAAATGTAGTAAAGATAGGACACAACAGAGAAACGTCCCGACATCCTATCGAAGTAGCATTGGTTGAACAAAAAATGGCGAGAACGATATAGCAGACATGAAAGCCATGGATATCTCGACCATTACTCCCATACATCTGTCCCCGTCCCAATAACCATACTCAGATTAACATAATAAAACAATGTCCGCACTCAGCCAGGTGAAATTTCTTTCTCGGAAGCCTTGGTTATAGCCTTTTGGCAAAGTCGACTCATACCTAAGGCAATTTCCTTCGCCCGCGTCCGGTTCACCCTGCCGTCATAGACCATCTTCCGAACCCGATAACCATGGCCGACCCGCTGCCAATCGCTCAGCGTCTCGTACCAGCCCGTACCACCCTCGTAGTATGCGTCTTTCTGGCGACTTGACATTCCGAATCCTTGTGGTGGTTTTCTAAGTATCCAGCTCGCCGGGTCGATCTGTCCGTCAGGGGGTTCGTCGACTGAGTCGTCGAATAGTTCCACAGCCCTGACCACGTCTCTCATCCCAGACGCCCTTCTCTGGCGATTGACCGCAAGTCTCCACGAGTCAATCCGGGGCGTATAAGCTTTCTTGTGGGGGACTATCGGATACTTCGGCTTGGCTTCCCAGCGCGGAGCTGGATACGGCACGTTGAATCTTGGATCTCCCAATTGCCGTTTTTTGTCAACCGGAACTCGTGAAACGGGATCAACAACCATCCACGTCTTTCTATTCAGCCAATGGTTGGCGAGTAGCGGGAAATGGAATGGCCTTCGTCCCGGGGTAAGTTGATCAAAGTGCCATTCAAGCTTTCGGTCCAGATTGTCCATCCATCTAATTTCCCAATTGTTCAATTTGTGCAGCGGAAGTGGGCGCCCTTTTGGTCTGGGCCGACGAAGTCTCTTCTCGGGACACTTTCCTTTTGCATGCTTTGTTCCTGATTTTACCTGCTTCTCCGGCAACTGAAGATCATCGCAGAAAGATGAAGACCAGTGTCTCCGAAGGACCGCATCTATAGAAGGAAATAGATATTGTGCTCCCTGTTGAGCCGGCATCATGCTCCCGTTGCACTCGTCTAAAGCGTCTAAAGGTACCCGCCCTGGAGGTTGACGTTGTCTGAGGCTCGAGATCCATTGGCTATTTTCGTCAGACAAGTGGCGCGCAATCTTTGCTCCTTGCGATCGATCCAATGACCCGAATGGTGCACTATTCTCAGAAGCATAACTTCGCAACAATTCAGATGCTGGAGTGCCTGGTGGTTCCTGAAAGCCGTGATAGTTATGCTTCACTTGGTTGGATGCCTGCAGTTGCATTCGAGCCGACCAAACTTGATATTTGCGGGAATACCGCATCTTGCGGAGTGTGGCGTTAGTCTTGCATGAGGTGCTCGAGGGTTGACGCTGCCATTGTGGATATAAATCGACCGTCAGTAGACATGGGAGAGAGACGCTCTGTGGTAACCTGTTCTCGCCTGTAGGTGCGTTCGCGAACGGGATGCTCCTCCTGTGAGTCCGACTTGGCGGTTGAAGAGACCAGAATGGCCTGGTCTGATCAACTGGTAAGCATGGACCGTTGACCAGTTTGTTGGGAAAGCTGTTGCGAAGGGCCTCGAAGGAGCGTCGTCCATCAATGGAATCTGTGGAAAGAAACTGGCGCCGGGATTTCTTCAATCTGTCCCTATATCCCTTCGTTCTCCCATGGTACGTGTGGGATGCGTAGTATTTCTGAGAAAATGGGAAAGCGTCTGCCATCGTGGTCCGTTGGCGGTCTTTCGAGATCCGTTTATGCCGTTCTGAGGGAGGACCACGGTTCCAAATCGTATCCGCGGCTGTGTGTTCCTTGCTCCTAAACCATTTCGGTACCCATCGCGGAGGACTCCTGTTCTGACGATACTCCTCATGCGCTGTTTGTCCCGGATCCCACCAAACCCAATGATAATCAGCCCTAGTCGTTTTCCAAGAAGTCCACTCGCAGATCTTCCTCCAACACTTCCGAAAAACGTTCTTGGCTGCCTCGTGTTGCTGTAACGGTACCCAACCATACCACGTCCTCGCGTACCGAGTGTCAACCTTCTTCCCCTTCTTGAGCACCTTATTCCGAGTAAACCGTCGAAAACACCGGCCTATCTTCCAGAACAGGACGCCAAGGACGAAGATGCAAACGGTACCAGCGAAGAGCTGTAGGAAAACCTTCCTGCTGATGTATTTCGTAACGGGGACGGGTGTTCCTGGTGTTTCTTTCGGGGGTCGAGGAGGCGAAGGGTAGTGGTAATATTGTCGTGGAAGGACCGGTGCCATCAGTTGAAGGATCATTTGTGTGGCCATATGGTCCTTCTGGTAACAATATGGGAGTAAGATTGTTCGTGTCTGCTCATAGTGTCGAGTTTTTTCTTTCTTATCTAGCGGGGGAAGCTTTTTTGCTTGGGGGAGTGTCCGCAGGGAAGGAGGAAGGCGTCGCTGTTGCCGTTCTTGTCATTGTCGGAGTAGCCGCAACCCTCGACCTCAGCTCGAATGCCGTCTTATCTCTTCTATCTGGGGGGACAAAAATCTTAGTAGCCGATATGTGAAACGATTCGGCATTCTTTGCTTCGAGAACTGTTTGAGTTTGGTCACCGCATCAATGAGCTATACAACGCTCAGAAAACATACTCAACGCCGCACTCGACAAATAAGAAACATCAATTATCCCATTGCTCAACAGAAGCGATTATTTCATCCTTTACTTGGCATTGACTTCATAATGCCGGATGTGACACGATGTACTATTGATCCATCATGATATAAGACCCTAACAGTCTCATCTACCAGAGAGCAGAGCACTTTGCCTTACCAGATTCCTCGAGTAATCTGCAATCATGGCACTTCAGAAGTCCAACTTTCCCGGTTTGGGGTCTGTGATGACTGCCATTTCAATATCAGTGGGTAACAACGATCGCATTTGCTAAGCTGAGCTGTTGGCTAACATACGGCTAACATACGGTACTTGCAGATAATATCATATGTCCTAGGACGGATCATCTACAATCTCTACCTCCATCCGCTCAGCAGATATCCAGGTCCAAGACTGGCGGCTATATCCAGCTTGTACTACATCTACTGGACGAACAACGGACAGCTGCATACCAAACTCAAAGACCTGTATGATCAATACGGCGACGTTGTCCGAATCGAGCCCTCCTCACTCGTATACAGGAGCGCACAACCATGGAAAGACATTTACGGGCACCGAAAATCTTTTGTCAAAGATGACAAGTTCTTCACCTCGAGTCCTAATGGTCCGAATATCCAAACAACTTTCGACGATGCAGGGCATGCGAGGCAGAGGCGTCTGTTATTGCACTCATTTCCCGAAAGGGCGTTAAGAGAGCAAGAGTCGATTATCCAGTCGTACATTGCCATGCTCATGCAAAGGCTCTATGAGGAAGTCGCGTCGTACTGTGAGGCGGTCGATATATCTAGATGGCTTACTTACACGACCTTTGATATCATTGGTGACCTGGCATTCGGGGAATCATTCGATTGTCTCCGTGATAGCGACTATCATCCGTGGTTAGCAATTCTTTTTGACAGTATCTGAGTCGCAACGTTCTGGTCTATCCACTGTTCGCATTCCTGATAGCCTGGATTATCCCTAAAAGTATGAAAGCAAAAAGTGATCAGTACTACCAAATGAGCAAGGACAAAGTGAACCGCCGTCTTGCGACCAAGACCAACAGACCGGATTTTACCTCGTGTATTCTAAGATATAACGACGAGCGAGGGATGACACGCGGAAATCGAATCGAATGCAACGCTTCTCATACTCGCTGGGAGCGAAACGACAAGCACCGCGCTCTCGGGATGTATCTATTATCTCCTAACCAACTCCGATGTATACCACCAGCTGGTGAATGGAATCAGAGAGACCTTCCGCTCACAAGACGACATCACCATCCTGTCTTCTGCAAAGATCCCGTATCTATACTGTGTTCTGGAGGAGACACTCCGTTTGTATTCACCAGTCCCGGGTATAATTCCCCAACGAGTTCCCAAGGGTGGTGCCATTATCGACGGCAATTTTGTCCCAGAAGGGGTACAAAGCCTCCAAAGCTCAATGTCGCTTCCTCATTAGCGTACTAACAAATCTCAGGTATCTGTGTCAGTAGCTTTTTACTCTGCCTTCCGAGCACGCTCCAACTTCACGGAAGCCGAATCCTTCATCCCGGAACGGTGGCTCGATAACGAAGATCCCAAATTCGCGTCCGACAATAGGGACGCATTCCAACCATTCTCCTACGGACCTCGGAACTGTCTTGGAAAGAAGTAAGTGAAACTCCGGCACCGTGGTTGTGCTCTGTTGCTGACCTGTCTAGCATGGCTTACGCCGAAATGCGCGTTATTCTGGCGAAACTTTTGTGGAACTTTGACATGGAACTTAGGGACGAGTGTCGTGATTGGTCGAATCAGCTTTCGTATAGTCTCTGGCAGAAGACGCCGCTGATGGCGACGTTGAACCCGGTGGAGTGCTGAGAACAGATTAATAAACTGTATAGAGGATGATTACAGACAAAGATACACGGTTGTTATTGGAGCGCACCTATCCGTCGCTCTTCACGTGTCTCTCTTTTGGTCTTCAATTAAAGAGGGTATGCGGGGCTAGCAGAAGAAATACAAGAAAGAGGAACCAGACCATATCAACGAAGAAAAAAAATAACAAAAAGAAAGGCCCCAATCGCGACTCGAACGCGAGACCTCTTCGACATCAGATTTGCTAACCCGAACGAAGAATCATACCACTAGACCATCGGGGCTAATTCGATTACGAAATCTGATGTGAAGATCGAATCTGCGATATACATGCTATTGTTGATGATTACCTCGTTCCATGGTAGCATATGGGAGTATCCATGGTAGCAATCCAGGGGTTTTTTCTTGTCTTTCTGTGTGTTTATTGTTCGAATCTTGGCCCATGTACATAGCAGATTCTAAAGCCGATTGTAATAGCATGGAGTCTCCCGTGTAAACGCACATTAGTTTGATTATTGTGGATCATGAACCGTGACCCACAGATAGATATACATATGTACTCGTAAACCATCTTTCCTCCCTTTCGACTAGCCTCAACAGGCTCATCAAGCCCCCATCGGTGGCGGCGGCGGCGGCATACCCTGCCCAGATAAAACCGGGCTCTCCGCCTACTCCCCTGGGCATGCTGGCGGAGTTCTCGTTCGCGGGCACGCACGCGTCGACTGTGATTCTGACTTGCCCGGCGTTGTTTTTTGCGCTGAGTTTGGGCTTCGAGGGTTTCGGGATCGGGGCGGGTGATGAGGTCTTTGAGCCAGGTGAACATTATTTTGTTGATTCGTCTTGTTGGTATTTATGCCCTATGGTCAGGTTATAGTAGTGGTTATTAGAATTGACGCGGGATGAGGATTTCAGGGTATTCAAAGATCGTAGGTGGAAGAATTAATATACTACTGTTTATGTTGATCTGCGGTGCGGGAAACGGTCCCAGAGAGTGTGTTCTTGGAATAACCATCTAACAAACATCACTCCTACTCATCCATGAGCCATTTCGCTACAGAATCTTTTTCGAACCCTTTCATGGAGCATTGAGTCTCTCACTGACCTCAATAGCCGGTTATCCGTGATATTCGGATTTGAAACGAACTCTTTCTATCCCCATCACCGGATTTGACGGCGATTCTAGGTTGCATGTTGGTTTAGGGCCAAATGAGGGTCATTGCCTCTTTACATGGAGCCCTGCACTACAAATTCTACTTATCATTGACTGACAACCGAGATATATTGATTCTGCATTAGTTCTTTCACGGTCTATCCCGCATAGTCGTGTGATAACATGGTATAACTATTGTAATTTCTCCATATTATTTATAAATCTCATCATATGCCTTAAGTTTAAAATTCCCCTTCAACAACCCAGCCACAGACTTGATCAGTTTCCCAGCTCGGAGACATTCTGGTAATAGAGGAAAATGGAAAGAGAAGGGAAAGAAAAAGAGAGAGCTTTTCTTTTTGTAAAGAAAAATCGCTATGGGAACCGGGCATCATTTGTTTGGCCGTGACTTGATGACATTCACCGAGATCCCAACATCCCAATATCCCCAATCTTTTTCTTTCTCTTTTTCTTTTTTGTCCTGCAAATAGCCACCTAAAGGTCAAGCGGCCATTTCTCTCCCCTAGTTCTCACCGGATTTCTCATAACTATGAAACGTTTCCCTGCATCTACGAGAGCTCGCCTTAGTATCCCAGGACGTCTTCCTTTTCATTCTCTCAGCAATAGTCCCTTCCAGCGTTTCAAGGCGCGTGTCAGTGCTCTCTGCTCCTGCTACTAGCCGGACAACGCTTGATTCAGTCGCTCGCGTTCATTTCAAGGGTTTGTATCTCTTGCTCTCGCCCCTCGTAAGAGTAGCTGTGCTTTGACGAAGCTGATGAAAATAAATTTACCAGCAGAAACGACACCAATATGTCAAGCCGTCGAGGAGCTAGAAGCGGACAGGGAGGTGGCCATGGAGAAGCTGGTCATGCCCAAGCCCATGAAGAGGGCCAGCATGTTGACTACCCCAGAGGTGAAGGGCAAAAGCGATACAGCAGGGACTCACCGCGCCGAACGTCATTTTACGGAGCATCTTCAGGCCGCAATCGTCGTCACGTAAAAGCTCGGAGCACCGGTACCAATGGCCGACTTCCCTCGTCAAGAGGATCTACGCAATCGAAAAGTCACGGCAATGTCAATGGAAAAGAAGGCTCACGCTTTAAAGCCGATTAGAAAAGCTTCATCCACTGCCTCCACAAATGACTTCCAGATGCTACTGGCCATGCATTCACAAGCTCGAGGAAAGAGATCGTCTTCAAACTCCAGGCCAGCGATACTCGGACGCCAACAGATTACACAGCAACCAGAGAATTTGCCAATAAGGGACCCCCCCTGCGCCTAAATGAAGTCTTGGATGTCATCGCAAACTTTTGCGTCTCTCAGGAAAAAGGGGAGGTTATCGCAATTGGACTGAAAGTAACGTCGGCAGATGCTGAAATCACAGTTGCAACGAAATCCGACGTACCTCAAGCCACCAAAAAGCATCTTCGGCAAATCTGGCAAGCCATGAAAAATATTGCGTGGGCGTGTCACCGTCAGCAACCACCGCAAAGCAGCGAGAACACTCCGCCGAAGACATCTATCAACGACACAGTCAGGGATCAACTTTTTGAATTTGCGAAATTATGCCTCTCCCATTCCTTCCAGAAATGGAGGAAGCGGATAAATTCTAAACTGCCACTCCTTCTCGCGATTTCGTACAGAGATCTGCCCAAATCAGATCCTTTCGTGAATATGCGTGAGCACATTCGTCGCCTTACTGAACTATATACTTCAAGCTACACTTACCCCAATACCTTGGGCTGCATGATGGGCGAAACGGATGACGAAAACTTTTTGCCCCCCCCCCAAAAAAAAAAAAAAAAAAAACTGAGCAGCCAATATCACGGGTGGCAAGGGCGGGACATCTGGAAATCGTTGAGCCACTTCTCAAGCATGGTGTTGACCCGAACTACCGCAACGCAACAGGTGGCAGTCCTCTCATTCTCGCCATTCAACGTGGTCATCCCGACTGGTTCGTTTTCTGCTTGCGAATGGTGCCGATCCGCTCTTGCACTCGGTATACAGGGCGTGCGGAGATCTTGAACGTGCTGCTTGAGCAGCAAGCTCTTGCAGCAGCGGCTAGACGAAACGACAGGATCAAAATCATCCCGATTCTTCTCGCCCGGGGCGCCGACATCAACTGCCAAGCTAGCCGCCTCCGCCCCTTATGTCGCGCCGTAAACAGCCGCAATCTGGATATGGTGAAATTTCTCCTTGAAAACGGCACTTATCCCAGCATTGTTGACTCGGATGGGGAAGGCCCTTTGTCGGAGGCTTCTGGAACGAACAACATCCGACTACTTCTGTTTCTTGTTGATCACGGCGTTGACATGAGTCGGTGCGGCGGTGCGACGTTGTGGTGGGCGGTGCGTAACTTCAACCAAGAGATGATTCGTTTCTTGCTAGACTCAGGGGCCCCTATGGCGTATCAGCGTGAGGGAATGTCTATCCTCAGTTGTGCTTATATCGAGGGCAATAAGGAGATAATTAAAATCCTACGCGAGAGTCGACACTGAAGGACTGTTCAGCGGTTTCTGGCAAGGCGCGTTAGGGCGAAGGGTTTATGCTTTTCTTTATGATGTTGCGTAATAGCATGACAAACTGTACGATTATTAGAATTAATAATAGGATACCCAAGTGTTGTTTATCTTCTGGAAATGCCAATAGGAACGATCTTACTCATCAAAAGTATCTCCAGTATGGAAAAACATATACCAAGGCAATATGCATGAGAGAAAACAATGAGTAAATTGCGTTGCGAGCCTTCTTGCTCAGTCTCATCCTGACTGCGTGCGTAATCAGAATGACAAAGCTGCAGTAGGCTATCATCCTTCATTTCTTCCCCGCTCCGACAGAGGTCTTGCTCAGTAGATGCCACACGACAAAGTAGCGCATTCGATCCTGCGTACTCTTTGGGATACCGGTCCAGGCGCATTGAATGATTCGGTCCGACCAAAATCATGTTGATATCGAGTAATGTACCGAGCTATGTGTATTTAGAAGCCAGGAAATTGTATTTCCAAAGCGTAAGTCCAGAGAGATCATGCGAGTCAGTTGTTTGAAAGCAACTTACGGCCCAATTTTGGACTACGGCGATTGATCATAGATACCGCAAGGAGCCAATAGACCAACGTGATTAATGACAAGAAGCGTAATACTCACAAGCCCCCCCTTTTGCAGTAATAACTCAATGCCCAGAATCATCCAGAGCTTCTGCAGGCAGTTACATTCCAGCCGAGTCTATAAGCAAAGAGATAACATGGCAACAAGTCATAACTTGATGTTTATTTTTTCTGACCGTGAGTGTGCTTGTTCAGCAAACGTAATAGTAGCAAGGACCGTTTCGGCCGTATCGAGAAACCGGAAACCAGGATATTCACCGCCACAATTTGGCGCTGGGGACCTCCATCAAGCCACATGTGGCTTGATACTGCATTCGCCGGGCCAACGAGGAGAGAGCTGCTGCTTGGCGTTATTATCAGTCGTTTTTTTTGCGCTGCATCACATTGCATTGCGTTGCGTGACAGGAGGAAGAGGCAAGGAAAAGATAGATTACAAATCCCGAAATAAACAGAGATAAGCACAGACAATTGGATGTACCGATATTTCATCATGTGGAGATTGGAAATAATCACATTCATGGCCATAGCAACGCTGCCGAACTTGGAGCATCTCCATTAAACAATGGTTCTAGACGATGTGGGGAGGGTGGCTACTAGCATGCCGATATAGGAGCATGGTGAGAGAATCCCAAACTAGCATGATTGATAGCATTGTGAGCTCGAAAGCTCGAGAAGAAGTAGGCCTCCCTGGAGATACGTCGCCATTGGTTCGAGGCTCGCAATTCCGCAAGGAACATACAGTCCCTGCACAATTGATTGGTTCAATGTTGATAATCCTAGATAGATTGACAGGAATCCTTTTCCCTGAACTCCGGACGAGCGGATATGCACGTCCTCTCATGTGGAGAACGCTTCAAAGAACGTAGCAGATCCGACTCTATGGAAGTCCCTGGAAACGGAAAAAGAGTGCGAAGCGTGTGTTGAGAAATCGCGCAATACAAGCCCTAAATGGAAGGAGAAACGAGGAACCAAGGCAGCAGTAATCGAGTCAGTACAAAGAACTGTGAAGATGTGATGGTGGAGATGATGTTGAATCTGCAGATCACTTGAGGCTGAAGTGGGTGCGGCGGTGGAGGGCTTTGTGGCTAGTGTAGTTAGTGTGGCTATTGTTATGTGGCGAAGTACATCGGTGTGGCTTTGTCGGTTATGCCGGCCCTTTTCGTCGCTGTTGTTCATTCCCCCCTGGCTCTTCTTACAGATACGCTAAGATATGCTAGGAATATGCTGGGAAGAGCGTTGAGCGGGTTTTGCGCCCTGGCTTTTGATTTCTAAGATTGCTCACTGTCTGACCGCCAAGGATGGATTGGATCTTCCAGACTCCAGTGCTAGACCCTCTACGAATGTGCAAGCATTGTGGCAGGGTCGCCATCTATCGTCACGCATGTTCGTTTCCAGGGTTTTTTTTTTTTTTTTTTTTTTTTTATGTATCTTGCAGGTTGTCTCCTTATTGTGGTAGCCTGGAGCTAACTGCCTGGGTTTGCTGCTCGATCGACGATAACTCGGCTGTTTGAGCAGGAGCCAAGTGGTTTGCGAGTGGCAGATCTCAAAGCGCAAAGCTCAATCGCCCTGCTAATGCATGATAGTTGGAAGCAGGGGCCATCGACGTGGATGTTCGAAGAGCTCATGGACCCCTTGGTCCCAGTCACATCGATCCCACACTATTCTGAAAGGAAAGCGGATTTAACCGTGAAGAGGCAAAGAACAGACCAATTTGGTAAGCGTTGGGGAAAACATTACAGCCTAAGGCTTCCGCATTCCCCGTTCACTTCTGGTTCGTCGGGTCGATATTGCCGATTATGTCCTTTGTAGCAATTGGCGATCTCGCTTATCTGCCTATGTGGAGATATCGTGCCATGTGGACCGATATTAAGGTTCCAAACTTCAAATGCCTGCCGTGATCTGATATCTCAATATGCATGGTTCCCTGGATTTCCTGGAACTCGATTCCTGCAATGGCTTCCAAATGCGGCTAATCCCATGCGACTCGCCGCGTTGACGCGTATGGAAAAAGAAAAACGGGACAGCAAACTCAAATCAGAATGCCAGTATTGCGTTCCAGCCACCGATGTCGCCTTGCTGATGTTGCTTCCTGTAACACGGTGCAGTCTTGTTGATATGCATCAAGCAACACTAGCGGCGTATTTCCGGCAGCACTAGAGGTCCTTTTACCAACCTTTATCTTGATCATTGAGAAGTTATTGATTTTTAGGGTGCTAGTGGTGGCAAAAGATTCATGTCCCATGCAGGTGTTTTCTTTGGTGATGAGTTGGAGCGCGGACGTACAGTTACAACGTTTGCATGGCATAAGAGATTAAGTTTGCATCCGAAAATATAAAGGCTCCCCAGATCCCGTCAATTTACTTCAAGCTTATCCCAAACTCAGATCTCCTGATACCATCTGCTATCATCTCTGTTACCACGTCCACTCTACGCCAATAGCTTCTGCTGGCTTTTTTTTTTTTTTTTTTTTTTTTTTTTTTTTTTTCTTTTCCTTCACTTTGATCCCCCAACACTCTTCATTCATTATACCTTCCTGGACAGTCAACTCAATTAGTCCTACGTCTTCATCGACATCGATAACCAAATACAAACAATCACAATGGTAGCAACAAACGGTGTCAACGGAAGCTCCAGCCATGAATACGGCATGACTTTCGAAATCACTCCACCAACCGCCGTCCGCCCCGGTGCTCCCTTCACCCTCCCCGTTATCGTGGCCATCCGATCAGGGAACCCAGGGAACGGCACTGAACAATTGGCTGCCAATGTGTCTTTGAAAAGCGAATCTGGCGCAACTGTCACAGGTCTAGGAGGCCCTCTTACTTCCAGCGTGCGCAGCCGCAACGGAAATACGACCAGCGGATACGCGAAGTTCAGCCCTCTTACTATCTCGCAGCAGCCTGGGCGGTACAAGTTGCGGGTTATGTTGGGAGCTGCTTCGCAGAACGGAGTTATGGCCAAGGAATTTATTGACTCGGGAGTTATTACTGTTGATGGGGGGGCATCAGCATCTCAGAGGCCTAGTATGTTATACAACTTTGGTATTCGGTTCAAAATGGCTTGGGTAACTAACGGAATTTTAGCTGCAGCACAGGTATCCAAACTCCGAAGCCTGACGGCGGAGAACATCGAGATAACAGACGCGGAAATTGCAGCGTGGCAGCAGGCTTGATTTGAATATCTTTTTCTTCTCTTTTCTGCTGTTGGATTTCAGAGCATTGGCGTTGGTTCTGTTCTGTCCAAGGTTTACCAAGAGCTGGATTCTTTGAAGACCGGAGTGCTTCCTTTGGAGATTTGGAGCTTGTCTAATTCTGGCTACGGGGGGTACTTTAAAGAGGAACGAGGATATACTGTGGGGTTCATGTTAATTTTGTGACTAGTCGTGATGAGCTATATATCTTTTTTTAGGAGTCTTGCGAGTTTTTATTATCAATGCAGTGCTTTGATGATCAATTGATTATTTCTATCTTATTGCTCTCTCTCTCTTTCTCGCAGGCTGTGCTATACAGCTACATGAACTACGCCTACTTTCTTCTTACAGAAAATACTTTCAACATTTCCCAATATTTAGAAAAGATAGCTTACAATACCCACCCACGATAGAACATATGCTTTCACAATGAGGGGGTGCTGAGCTCTCTCTTTTGCCATCTCCCGTCCAGCTTCGACTGAAGAAGTATTTCTGCAGCCAGTAGGACATGTATTTCTCAACGGACGTACTGATCAGCTCATGCACTTCAGATGCAATCGCCCCCGGACATAACTTCGTTTTGGTAATGCCGCCACTCTGTCAACGTGTTAACGTGTTGACTAGAGCTGCTGAAGAATTGTCCAGGTTTTTTTTTTTTTTTTATCTTATCTTATTTTATTTTATTTTATTATTGAAGGGTTGAAATTAGTTGGGTAGTGGCGTACTCCTGCAAGCACAGGGATATATATCACCGCTTAGCCCGAATGAATCGAAGACATTACTCCGAGATATGTCGCAACATATTTCCGACGCGGAAGAAAGTATTACGGAATTAATTCCAATTTCTGAAGTTACAAAGGTATAATCTACAAAGTAGGTTCTACAGGATGGATAGCCAGGGGAGAGATACAAGGCTTGTACGAATGTAGAAATATAGTAGTAACTCGTAATTCATGAATTGTTATGAACAGAGATTCATCAACTAGATACATAATCCGGCAATCATATCGACAAAGGAAATAATTGACGACCGATAAATGGTGGTAACACATGTCACCCCTCGGAAATGTCCGTATATGCAGGATACACGTTTGTGATGGTTATTGACCAGTAAGATCAATCGCGGGAAAAAAGAGCCGCATGCAGTGCATTGGACTGCTTTCGTTCGTCGCGTCAGGTATCAACAGTGTTGACGCGGGTGGATGTACAATTGTCATCCGAAATGTCAAACTCGACTTGATGAAAGCCTAATGCCAAGTGTTTGTAGAGAATATTCGTTTTTTCACGAAATATGCAGATGGTTTGTTTGTGCCACGTACTCAGGACGAGGACAGCACAGCACACGTTCAGCCCTCGTTTCCGTGGTGGTTGTGGTGACGGAGGCGCTCGACGCCACCACGAACGGTATCGCGCAGACTAAACCCGCCAAATAGCCAGTCATTTGAGTGACGACCATAGTGGTTCACGGTGCCATTGTAGCGGCGGTAGTCGTTGCTTGTCTTTCTGGTGTGCTTCCGAGAGTGAGAATCGGAGCGAGAAAGACTGCTGAAGGACGAGCGCGGAGACATGTGGACGGGACTGGCGGATCGTTGAGTCATTTTTGGGAGGTTGACCAGAGTAGTGCTGGTAGAGAGGTCGCTAGGAGCGGGAGATTTGGGACGTGTGAGGTGAGTGTGCTTTTTGTTTGTGTTGGAGGTGATTGAAGTAGTAGAATGGAGAGAGAGACCGCTTTCCGTGTTATTCTGTTGCTTGGATGATTGGGTTTTGTTCATAGCTTGGTAGAATGTAAGATAGTGAAAGAAAGCAAGGAAACAGTGGGATAAGCTAGGTATTTATGTTTCTCACGGATTCTCCTCGGGGATAGCCTTACACCCCGCCTATCAAAGCAAATCAGCCTATCAGCGTCCGTGCTCCTACGCTAAAATGCGTAGTGAGCCTGGGGCATGGAAGCCTAGACACCTTTCTAGCCAATAAAAGACCGCCAGCACGTGCAAGAGACCCGCAAGTGGAGTTGATTGTGCCGCTAGCGGTGAGACAGTGGAGAAAGACGCCCGTTCTGCCCTGTAGGGCAGACTCTCGGCCAATCAGGGTCAGTCTGCCTGCCAAAGAGCCTCAAATTCACCGCTGCCTGCTGTCCGTCCGCAGATTATGCAGATTAATGTGTGTTTGTATGGCAATGGGACAAGCATGTTTGTCTGTGTGTTCAGTCAAATTGGCAATCAAGTATGGTATAGTCTATATGGCTCACTCTGCTACTTGTTGTGAACTCTACAAACAAGTACTCATGACTGTACTCAGACTTGTACTCTTACTGTACGGAGTACTCTTGAGTAGCGAATGATACGTCACACTGTCCCGTCTGATAATCAGGATCGTCTGGATGAATTGTCCTTATTGGTCCATGCGACGGGATTTCCTTCTATCGTCATTCGAGAATCGGAACTGCTTTGCCGGTTGGCCCCCTGGGACCGGATTTTGATTCTTCCTCGAGATTGTCCGGAATTCCTCCGCGGAGTTCTCCTACATGGACTGTCTATTGTAGAGGATTTGTTTGTTGTGAGTAGAGAAGGATCTTGGTACTTGCATACTTACACGGAACATGAAACATGGGACCATTCCCCCAAATCCATGGCACAGTCAGATCCCCGCGTTTTTTTTTTTTTTTTTTTTTTTTTTTTGCCATGACTCCAACATGACTGCTTCTCCCGTAGGGCTGATGATCTCCATCTTATCTCATCACACAGGCAGCGAAATTTCTGACACACATTCTATCTTTAACTCTCCACTATTTCTATTTCGGTCGATTCTCAAACCACTAACAGATTTAGCCATCATGGACGTTCCAAATCAAGAAACCAACTCCGACTCTGTATGCCTCTCCCTCTCTTCTCTGCCACAAAGGCTGACCGGTGACAGCAGACAGACGAGCACGTACCCCGCCCCCCGACTGCGCTCAAGAGAAGAAAATAACGCTTGTTTTGCGAACGGCCTCTGTCCCCCGATAAGGGGACATATTGCAGGCTAATCCACTTATATTTCCCGCTGCCTGCGAGGCTTTTTCCTACGGGGAAGGCAAGAGTTGGTAAGTGCTCCACCCCGCTTTATCTGAACGAAGAAATAACCGTGTCTTTCAGAGAAATGTCAGGTCATACCAGCTAAGCACACACCTCCATGGCGCCTGGAATTCATCAACTCGAACCCGTCGCGGCAGATAATAAACCCCCCCCCCGTTCGATTTACGTAAGGATCGAAGTGCACTCTCCGACAAGTCAGGCCAGAATCTCCTGTGGGACATATTCTCTGGTACTGTGGGTACCATGTTTGGTACCTATTCTATCAGCTTTGTCTTTGAGACCCATCTACCTCCACCTCTCCCATTGCCACAGAAAGTCGCCGGGCTGGCATGCCGCATCACAGATAATTCCAATGACTTTGGACCGGAAGCGCCGATAGACCGTCTTGGTCAATTGAGGCTTGAACTAACTAGTTCCTGGAAGTGATTACCAATATCGAGAAGAAGATATAGGTTCGTTATTCGACGAGTTACGGTCATGGTTTGCCAATGCAGAAATATCAATCACGGAGCTACAGTACTGGGGTAATTTGGTGGCCATCGTATTGGAAAATCCTACTGACTTGGCATTGATGCCGTATAGGATTGGTGGATGCGGATGTTTCTACATGAACGAGGAGGAGTCATGTCGGCCGCGAGATCCTTTCTCTGTCTTTGGCAGTGACAGTCCTATTCTAGGCCAATCGGACAATGCAGAATATGCCGTTTTGCGACCACGGGTGATGCTAAGCTCTGGTCGCAGGAGTCAGAGCTGTACGTGTCGTCTGGTGTCCTAGTTCAGGACCGTACAGGGGATAAATACATGATTATTTCCAGCAATGACTTCCCTCCTGGAACTGCCGTGTACCAGCCCGACAATGACGGTCACAGAGTCGGAGAGGCCACAGCATATGTCCCCAACACAGCCCCTTGCACTGGTCAAACTTGACGACGGCATAGAATTTACCAACGAGTTATTCCAGAACACCGTCGTCCCGGATCTTTCAACTCGCCTCAAGAATCTTGCAAGAGGAAATTCCGTCTCTACTATGATATATTTTTAGACACCCCTTTCACAGGTTACATGGAGGGGCAACGAGGCTCTCTCTGTGAGATTCGCGTCCCCTACAGTGACCCATCTGAGCCGGAGCAATGGATAAAATGCAGATGGGACTACATGGGAAAGGGCTCACATCGACACATGGCAGATGGTATTCGTGGATCCCCTGCGGTCTTCTAAGGGGGCATTGTGGTTGGCTTCTTCTGGTACGATCCCAAGGCGGGGCATTTTGTCGACTGGGCACTGTCTGTTGTTCCTGATGAATTGATTGACCAGGAGCTTGGTTTAGTATAGGTGGTGGATTTGCTCTGTATATTTGTTGGCTGCGTTGAGTTAGGATTGCTTGGAATTACTGTTTGACCCTTTACCTCTCTATCGGAAATGCTAACCATGTCTTCTAGCTAGTTATTCGACTGTTCTGTGACTTGGGGCTTTACTTTCGCACCTATCTCTCGATTATAGCCTAAGACTAACCTGCTTTCGTAGCGATCTCGATTCAGTTCATTGAAGGTTGAGCAACAGGCTTGAGACCGTGCTGCCAATCCCGAGTATGATAGGATGAACCACCTACATTAATCAGTAAGTATTCAACCAGTCCATCGTAAGACCTCATGAACTTCAATGATCGGCAAGAATAATGCAGGTGAGACGTGGCGGATCTTGTTTTCCCAGCAATACGAGGTGCCCAATCCAGCGCGCAAATCACAGTACTTGGTTAGTTTTGGTTTGCGTTGGCTCGATCCGGGCAAGAGTATGATTAGATATGCCCAGAAACTCCTTTCTAATAATAATAGTCCATGGACCCTTGAGTTTAACCATCCTACGTCACCCCGTGATAGATCTGCTTGGCCAAGAAACTCAGCCATGTCTGCAATATACAGCGCCGTGTCCCTTCGTATTCAGATATGCGCCAAGCATACTTTTGTCATCTGAAGGTATGGGGAGGAGTATATAAACGTGAATTCTCAATGCGATTCTCTACTCAACTATACACCAAATCATCTCTTTCCGCCCTTTTGATGTATTCCAAATCCACCATATGCAATGCAAATGCAAACATGTCGTGGATGCGCACCCTCCTCCCGCTCTCTTTTGCTCTCAGCGCATATGCTACGAATTATGCCCGTGCCGACGGTAACATAACCTGGGGCTCCTGCGAAACCGAGATCGAAGCAGACGCTACCCTCCCCGTTCAGTGCGGCAACATTACCGTACCCCTGGACTACACGGACACAGAATCAGACGCAACGCTCGATGTCCAGATGCTCAAGGTGCCCACCGACAAAATACCGAAGAAGGGAAATATTATATTTAATTTTGGTGGGCCGGGGTTAGAGACGAGGGCTAGTTTGGCGCAGAGGGCTGAGTTGCTGCAAACGTACGGTCAAGTCCCAGGTCCCTTGGTGTGATGGGTTGCTGATGGATACTAGGTTGACTGGCGGGCACTATGATCTTATCGCAAACGATCCACGGTAAGTCTGCTCTGTACATGCACCGATATCGTATCTAACAAACCTACAGAGGAACAGCCAACACCCTCACCTTCTCCTGCTTCGAAAACGACACCATCCGTCTTTCCACCCTCGACCAAACCCGCTTCGAGGAATTCGCCGGTCCAGCGGATGAAATGGCGCTGGGTAGGCAGTGGGCCGGTGCATCATTGGTCACTCAGACTTGCTACGAACATGCGGAATCGAAGGAGAGGGGGGAGTTGATCGGGACGGCATTTACTGCGAGAGATATTATGCAGATTGTTGATGCGGTTGAGGAGGATAGGTTGTTGAGGTTTTGGGGTAAGTGCGTTCAGATGGTTTAATGTGTATGAGACTGATGGGGTTGTGTTCTCTAGGGTTGTCGTATGGAACGGTGCTGGGGTCAACTCTTGCAGCGATGTTTCCGGAAAGAATCGACAGGATTGTTATTGATGGAGTCATGAATCCGCATCAATATTACAACTCCTAGTATGTCTTTACCCCACCGAAACCTGTCAGACAAGCTAACAAATCCACAGTGACGTAGAAGTCTGGACAGACACAGACGCAGCATTCGCCCAATTCATCAAAGAATGCATCGACGCCCCAGAAAAATGCACCCTAGCCACCCACAACTCAACAGCCACCTCCCTCGAGAAATCAATCTACCACCTCCTCGACACCCTCAAATACCACCCGATCGCATATGAAGGAACAATAATCGACCACGGCAGCATCAAAACGATTATCCGCACATCCCTCAACACCCCGGCCTCTTGGCCAACCCTCTCCGCGGCCTTGGACTCATTGCTCTCCGGAAATTTGACACAGTTCCTCGCTATTCAGACTTCTCTGAATCCACCATACGCTAGTGCGAACATGGACGAAGCTGTTTACGGGATCCATTGTGCGGACAAGAAACCCGGGAAACATACCTTTAATGAGGTGCTTCCCGCCGTCTCCGCTTTGAGTAATCAAAGTACCCTCATGGGACAGGCTGGTGTCCCTCTTGCTATGCTCGCTACCCAATGGAAACTCGAGGCCAAGGAGCGGTACACGGGAGACTTTTGCGCTAAAACAAAGCATCCCATGCTCGTCATCGGTAACACATATGACCCTACGACGCCGTTGAGGTCTGCGAGGAATATCAGTGAGAGCTTTGAGGGGAGTATTGTGTTGGAACATGGGGGATATGGCGTATGTTATCCTTCCCTTGTTGATATGCTATCGCATTTCTGAAGTTAATGGATTTGACGTGACAGCACTGCACCCTACAACATGGCTCCGTCTGCACAGGAAACGCGATCCAGAACTACTTCAACGACGGTACCTTGCCCAAGGCCGGGACGGTTTGTGAGGCGGCGTATCCTCCGTTTGCGAATATGACATGGAACGATGTTCTGCCAAAGCTTGGTTCAAATAAGACGGCGAATTGAGTCTTTGAAGGTCGACTACGAGGTCAACGGGGTGCTATGAATTTTAGGAGTTTTGTCTATGGTGGAAGAGGTTGTTTCGGAGGGATCGGGAGGACTTCTCAATAGAAATTGTCGGAGGGGGTAAAGGATTCTGTTGATGTTTAATCAGTAGCTACATATTTGTACCATGATATACTGGGATAATTTTCTTGGATCTAGTGAATGCATAATCTGACGACTTGAAGTTGCATCGTTTCAAACCCTCATAGATAAACACCCAAGACTCTTGCACTTCTCAATGCTTGTTTGAAAGATCTGTGCAGTCAGTTGCCAGGATAGAAAGAAGCAAACATGAGCATACTTCTTCCTATCTCCCCGAACCGCTGGGCAAACCCTCACTTATCTCTGCAAAGCCTTTGGACATTTCGTGCCTTGAGGAGGCGTCTTTCAAAAGATTGGATTTAAATGCAGGCCCTCTCTCGAACTTTGTGGATACAGAAGCTGGCGTGGCGGGGCTGATTGAGGGAATTCAAGGCCTACTCACCGACCCACCATCGCTGTATATCGATCTGAAAGGTATCAATCTTTCACGACACGGCAGCATTTCAATCCTGCAAGTCTTTGTTCTCCCGCTTGACAAAGCCTATTTGATCGATATTCGCACTCTCAAGGAAAAGGCTTTCTTGCAACCGGCTTCTAACGGCGGTCAAACTCTCCTTGGTGTACTGGAATCGCCCCAGATCCCCAAGGTCTTCTTTGATGTTCGCAATGACTCAGACGCCCTCTTCAGTCATTTAAATGTTGAGCTTGCCGGGGTCATTGACCTTCAGTTGATGGAGCTGGCAGCTCGGAATTTCTCGAGGAAACACGTCAAAAGGGTTGGCAAAATGCATCGAGAGAGATGCTCCCATCACGACTCTCGAAATACGAAGTTGGAAAGAATCAAAGGAGAAAGGGCTGAAGCTCTTCGAGCCAGAACGTGGAGGAAGTCATGAAATATTCAACCTACGCCCGTTTCCTAACGATGTCCTCGATTATTGTGTGCAGATGTCCGCTTCCTGCCTAAGCTATGACGCCATTACCATCAAAAAAATGTCCCCATTCTGGGAGAAAATGGTTGCGACGGAGGTTACGAATAGAATAATGCTCTCCCAAACAGCCACCTATTATGGCAAGGGAAAATGGAAAACTCTAGCGCCTGTGGGCTGGGCGTAATTTCACGACCGTCTTTATGATTTGGGGGATTTGTACCTGCTGTTCTTGATTGGAGAAATATACATTCAAAACCTTTATATTTTTCATGCTCCTTGACTCCAGAGTTGCTTCCTGCGACCTGAACTAACATCAGGCGAAGCTGGTTGGCGAAATTTGACGAGTTCTTCCTAGCCTGTGATATAAACAATACTTCTAAGCATGAAGATGTGGCTATTTGCTACCGGTCACTCAGTCCATGTGCCACCTACGGGCAACATTCTTAGTTCAGGATCGTGGTGTACGCCCACATGTCAAGAATTCCGCGAAGTCATTCTTAGCATTAACTATGGTTCGAGAAACGAGTAGACAATTTGGGAGAAGCAAGAGGTCTTCTGAGGCGCAAACGTGTCCCTCAAATATGGATCTCGCCCCACAGCATGACCGCCATCCCATATTAGCTGGGCGCACCTCCGGCACTACATCTTGCCTCCGGGTTGCCGAAAATTATCGCGAAGAATGACGACGGAGTGCTTCCAATATCCATCGGCTTCGACCATTCAAGTATAACCAGTAACTTGCTAAATATCACATCACCAATGATACCAAAATTCGAGAGGTACCTGAAGTCTCGGGGTGCTGATGATGCAAAAGTGCTTGAGGTCTTGCTAAACACTGGCTCCCAGGCGCACTTGTTGGGATGTTGTTTCCTTAAATATTCCCAATGAGGGCTGGAATATAGCTAGATAGGCAAGTCATACGGGCAAATTATGCCACATTATACCCCTTTTGATCTCCACTAGGACCAGCGCGCCTCCTACAAGGAATCAAATCTTGATTTACTTCAAAGCCTTTTCCCAGGTACTGGGTGAGTTTTGCTCGGTATTTCGCTGTCATTTTCAAAGTTCATTCATCCCCTACCTCCCGGCCCGTGGCTACTCAAGGTCGCCAGATTGGCATGCTTTATTACGGATAACTCCGAGGAATGCAGACAGCAGACCAGATGCACCTAAAATCGTCCAAGTTGGTTGAGTATTGAGTTGGCACCGGAGAGCGATTTATCTTGAACCGGAATCTCCATCATTGATATTCAGCACTGGCAAGTCGTGGTTGTCATCAACGGAAACTAATTCCCGGGGCATCCCAGCTAACGCAGGGCGGACCGACAGAGCTGAATACGGGATGCTTCAACTGGGTATTATCCTGAGGTTCCGGCTTCGGGACCCTCCTTGGAGACACCGAGTTGCTTACTCCGTCCGGCGAGGTGGTCATGAATTGGTCATAGAAGTTAGCCATACACATGTGGCCCTAGTGAAAAATGAGGATGGAATCCAATTCAAAAAATGAAAGTTTTACGTCAAGTAAATATTACAATTACATAAGCCGAGTGTGTGGGCCGGATAATCACATACCAACAATCCAATATCCGGGGAAAACTGGGGCAACCGGGGAAAATGTAGCTGTCACTGCCATCCGTACACATTCGCTCACTCACTCACAGCCGAGCATTCCCATCAAAATCAACTGATTCGGAATGCCGGTGAACCAATTTAGAAGGAATTTTAAGTTAAATACGAGCGATTAATGTATCCAGTCGGCCGGCCCATGGGGTCTCCGTATTAACGGTAGGAAGGGCCAAGATCCCGAAACATCCCGAAGGATCCTGGAGCTCCGTGCATTCACAAATCTGCCAAGCACTAGCACAATATTCGCCATTGGCGCTGTACTCCGTAAAACCTGTAACCTCTACCGACTACGGACCTTCGCCGAGTTCGCCGGGTTGAAACCGGGAAGTCGGGGGGAGTCATCCATCTCCATCGGTTCCTCGCTCTTGCGGGCTGGCAGGAGGAAGTAACTAGTCTGGGCCGGCACTTGGCGCTTGGCTGAACACGGGAAATACATACATCGAATTCTGACCTGAATAGGGTATATGGACGACATTCAAGCCAAATCTGAACCCTCCTCCGCAAACAGACCCGTGGGTTCTCCACTGCAAGATAGCATCTGACGGATCTTACTTGGTTGTTTGGACCAATAGGTTTGGTATAGGACACGGAACCTCTCCGGGCCCAAAGTTCCCGGCTTGGATAGGCCGGGCATTCGGCGGATTCGATTGGACCCGTGGTATGCAACTTCCGAAAATACTCCGGAGTACATATGTGGACCGGTTTCCTCGAAGCACTTTGCGGGGTCTGGGAGTGGAGACTGGGGATAGAGATGGGGTAGAGTAATTTCCACAAAACAGTTGGAATCGGCCCGTGGGGATTATTTACATATCCCACATTCCCTTTCACACTTTTGATTCCGGTTTAACCATATATGCCTTTTTTTCTTTCATCGTTTCCTTTCCCTTTTATTTGAGGCTCTAGCATATTCATTACTTTGATGGTGTCCTGACTGAATTCATCGATTATTATCAAAGACCCAATACTAGGTAATCATGAGTGATGCGGTGTCCACCCGCGATGAGGGCGGCAAGGGGTTCGCTGCAGTTACCCTCTCCCCGGCCGAAGTTGAGCGCGAGATCGAAGTCCAAGAGCAGCAAAGCCAGCAGTACATGGAAAATGAATCGGCGTACGACCGGATAGCCTTTTCCCGAATCTCATTCGGCGCGAGGAACACACGAGCCCTGGTCATTACCCTGGGCACCTTCGCGGCGTTCAGTGGAATGCTGAGCGGCCTGGACCAGTCCGTGATATCGGGTGCTCTTCCCGGAATCAGGAAGCATTTCATCGGCAGCGGCGAATGGGCAAGCATGGACGATCCGAAATTGGCCAACGATGTTTCTCTCATCTCCTCGTTGATGCCCTTGGGTGCAATGGCCGGTGCTTTGATGATGATGCCGCTCAACCACTTCCTCGGGCGCCGGAACTCGATCATCGTCTCGTGCATGTGGTACTCTCTGGGAGGCGGTCTCTGCGCTGGAGCACGGAGCGTGGGGATGTTGTTTGCCGGCCGCTTTATTCTCGGTATCGGCGTTGGTATCGAGGGTGGTTGTGTTGGGATCTATATTTCTGAATGTGTTCCGCCGGAGCTTCGCGGTAACCTGGTGTCGATCTACCAGCTGATGATCGCTTTCGGTGAGGTCATCGGCTATGCCACGGGTGCCATATTCTTCGATGTTCCCTCGGGCAGCTGGCGCTGGATGCTGGGTTCATCTGTCTTGTTCTCGACAATCTTGTGGGTTGGAATGTGCTTCCTGCCGGAGTCCCCGCGCTGGCTCGTGTCCAAGGGCAAGAACGGACGTGCATGGCAAGTGTGGAAGTCGCTGCGTGAAGTAACCGAACCTAAGAATCTGGAAGAGTACCTTGCCATGGAGATCACGGTCAAGAATGAGGTTGAACGGTCAAATAATGTGGCATGGTGGCGGCAGTACATGGAGGTGTGCCTCATTCCGCGCAACCGCCGCGCCCTCATCTACGCCTCTGCGATGATTTTCTTCGGCCAGATGACCGGTATCAACGCGGTCATGTACAACATGTCGAACCTCATGGCCAAAATGAACTTCGATGATCGTGAGTCCGTGCTCATGTCGATGGTCGGTGGCGGCGCCTTGTTCCTGGGTACCATCCCCGCGGTATTCACAATGGACAAGTTCGGTCGCCGCGTATGGGCACAGAACATCCTCGTCTTCATCGTAGGCCTGGTCCTCGTGGGCGTGGGCTACCTGTACACCAACAAGGGCGACGCCTTCTTCCAAGCAAACAAAGACACAGCATTGGGCCTCTTCTTCTCCGGAATGGTTCTCTACATGAGCTTCTTCGGCGCGTACTCGTGTCTAACATGGGTCGTCCCCGCAGAGAGCTTCGACTTCAACACCCGCAGCCAGGGCATGGCTATCTGCTCTACCTTCCTGTATCTCTGGTCGTTCATCGTGACCTACAACTTCGACCGCATGCAAGCTGCCATGACATACACGGGCCTGACGATCGGATTCTTCGGCGGTCTGGCACTTCTCGGTTTCTTCTACCAGCTGTTCTTCATGCCTGAGACCAAGGACAAGACGCTCGAGGAGATTGATGAGTTGTTTTTGATGCCGACGCGGAAGCTTGTCGGGCTCAACATGCGCAATATGGTCAACCACTGGCGCTGGATTTGTGGGGGAATGCACCCAGGGGAGAGCCGTGAGGCCCAAACAGGTAATACTGTCTCTGGCGATGCGGAGAAGCATGACGTCTCAGAAGCTCGAGTGGAAACGCTTTGAGAGGAGAAAGGCTTGGAAAAGGGTGGACTTTGCACGAACGGAAGGATTGAGAGTTTGGGTTATTCACGACCATGATATGTACATTGTAGATAAATAATATTCTTGTTGGAAAACAGTATAGTTCAATTAGTAGATTTGTTTTCATACACGTCTTTTGAGGCCTTATGTACTCTACATAACCACGAAACGTATGCCATTTGAAGACCTTTGTATTATAACTTGGATGCTAGCAGCCACATGACAGCCATCTTGGTCAATAGTCTGCCGGCTAATAGTTATGGGTTCGGAGGCCCTCTAGTTCTGTATATAAAGAAGAAGCCTCCAATGAGTCAACCAGCCTATGTGTTTCTCGAATATGTCAATTTGTTATTATTGTGACAATAGAAGACGGTGGTAAAAAGACATGCATCTGCTATACTGCATCGTAGCCCAGATTGCACGCAATAGACAAGACACTTGGACGAAGCGTGATAATCAACATGATTGATAGATCCTATGGTCCTGGTGAAGCTCCAAGGGAAACGACGCACAGCAAGTCCTTGTTTAGCTTCTCGATGTCCTTGTCGAGGTGCTTCATGTTCTGACCCCGAACAAAAGTCGACGGCATTGCGCAAGAACTGCAATATCTCCTATATCTCGCTGGCAGTGTAGTCGCCCCATTTTTTTTTTTTTTTTTGGCTCTCGGACTCGTAATGCACTTCACCATCCTTCAAATCTGACCAGTGAGTCTCAATTTCCGCATGGACTTGTGTCACAGTAGCAGTGGCAACGAACAAGCGCCGTCGCCTCTTTATGAAGGTTCCTGATATTCTGCAATATGAGAGACGCGACGCGGCGTACCGATTATCCTTTTTGCAGATCATCATCCTAGTGTAACTCACCTGCAGGCAAAAACACGCGTGGGTCAAATCAGGGTTGAATGTTGGTGTGCAGGCCGGTCTGAACTTCTATAAAGCCAACGGGAAGTCAAAATCTTCGGCGCGGAAGCCGAGGAGTAGCGAAGGCACTGGATGTGCAAGTTGAGAATCCGTAGTGTTCGCCGGCGTGGCTAGTTGCAAAGTATCTATCCAAGGTCCGGAAAACAGTTTCACAACTGCCGTCGACAAGAAATCTTGGGAGCTCCAGAAGAGCGGGGACGACCAATGCAGCCAGCGTGAGATTATCGGTGGATTTTTTGGAATGGGGGCGATGAGATCGTTGGCATCTTTCGTGGAAAGAGAAGTAGATCAACTCAGACAAGACGAAAGTATTGTTCGTCGGGGTGGAGGAGGTACGAGTGAATGAAAGTGCGATGGCCGCTTCCGCAGGCATATTGTTATTTCAACATACTACGAGTTACCAAGGCAGCACAGGACAGGCGAGAGATGTCTTTTGACGCAAGTATGAGGATATTTTACAGTTAGATGACCGCAGTAGCTGGATACGTTCACAATTCTGTACCTGGGGGTGGGGGGAGCTCTTTTATATTCGAGATCCCTAATGGGTTCGTTTTTGTTGAAATTTAATTGATGCCAATACATAAATCATAACAGTGCACGCTGAAAGTTGAACGCCATCAGATGCAACTCTTGCATACATTGATCCGGCAATGTAAAAACCCTAATGGAGATGGGAACATGAATCCAAATCCAAATGATATTCCATATAACCAGCGCTCACTCCTCCATAAGCGTCCACAAACTCGCACTCGGCTCTCTCCACGCCCGCGGTCTCTCAGAGTGACACCGCCGATGATGTCTCTTGCCCGCTAGTACATGCCCGTATCCATATCCATACCCGTATCCGTATCCGTATCCGCCATTTCTCATCTGCGATGTATTGACCGCTACAGTCGGCCGGTATACTGTAAGCGGTAGCGACGGTACCGCGTAGGAGACCATCATAGTATTCTCCCCAGTAGCGGTTCTGACTGTACTCGTTGTAGGCAGGACGAAAAGCGACCGCGCTTTGTCCAGAGGTGGTCGTGCGACTTGCCGTGAAGACGAAGCGCTCGTGGTATCGGTATTAGTAGTCGCGTTGGTCACAGGGATAGGTCCCTTGGGGATGAACCAGAATCGCTGCGCGAATGAGTGTCTAGGACGGACGATCCCGGCAGAGGCAGCATCGTCTTGGTCGTTGAGGTCTGTTGTGCCTAGGGGAACTGCGAATTGGTGATAGTTCAAAGGTGCATGGGGGGCTTGTGGTGTTGCTGGTACTGCGACTGGGGCTTGGACTGGGCCTTGGAAAATGGGGGTATAGTATCGCGGAGTCGAGTTTGCTGGTGAGCCACAGTAGGGCCATGTATGGCGGCGTCTATGGTGGAAGTGAGGCATATCAAGATATCGGGATTTAAAATCTATGCAGGAAAATAATCAGGGCAAGAGAACGATTAAAACAATCCTCCGTTTACCAAGCCAGAACCAAAATCTCCCGAAATGTCTCTCGGTCCGCAATCATGATGAAGCTAAACTGAAACCAAACCCGAAACGGATAACAGATCCAAGTGCTATTCTGGAGACAGGACGAGATCCTGGAGCAGGATATACCAGATATAATATAGGCGAAACAGTATCCCCAGCCAGCGCCCGATCTAGTCATGAGACCTGCATGTGCAAGGCGCACGCGTTGGTGCCCGGGTGACTTGGAAGGCATCTCAACAACGAACAGGCGATCGAACGGGAGTCGATCTGACGAATATCATTCCTCCCGACCAGAATGCATTTTTAATGAATGCTACCGGGATCCATAGGCTTCCGATCACCCGGGGAGGATAGTGCCCTGGATCGAGTCAGTGGCATCAATAGGAATGAGGGATATATATCCCCGAGTGGACAGCGAATAATGGCGGAGGGTGGGATCTGGATCAGCCGGTGTTGGCAATTAGCTTCATAAGTGACTTTGAGTATCAGCAGAGTCGATAGTGTAGGATAGTTGAAAGAGCAATGCGATGGATATAGTGATCGTATCAGACTGCTGCTCCCCGCGTCCGGGGATTTCAAATGGTCAGCGGACGGGGAAGTTATTCTATTGCATCACTTCATAAGGCTGTTCTGCATAAAAAGATCGAGTCTTCATCACGAGGTTACAAATGGATATTTGGGGGGCGAGATGGTTGTATTGTTCAGATTACATGGTAACAGACCATTGAAGGGAATGACCTTCAACAAAAACAGTCACGTGGTCTAATGGTTATGATATCTCGTTCACAACTTGAACTTTGATCCGAGATGGTTCCCGGTTCGATCCCGGGCGTGACTACTTTTTTTTAATATATATTTTTTTTGTTGTATTTTATTTTGTATTCCATAGTAAATAACTAGAGAGAATTGAGCGATTAATTGAACTCTGCAAACCAAGGGAAACGCAGTCGAAACCACGGTTCAGGTAGCTGTTTACTTTAAACCGGTTCTGCCTCAGGCTGCCACTACCAGGGGTTGAAGTGTCCACCACTTGTCGAGATCGCATCCTTCTCTTTCGCAAACATCGCAGACTACTCTGTACAAGTGCCTATCTACCATAGAGTAAATTCTCAACATGGAGACCGTCCCCTTCACGCTCGACCTCCCAACATGCCTGTGCACGGCATTCGCACTGTCCATGATGCCAATTGCTTACTTCTTCAGCACGGCCTTGATCCCCTCCACCCAAAAGCGCAACCGCTTCCTCTTCTTCTGGCACGCCTACGACGCCCTCACCCACCTCTTCGTTGAAGGCTCCTTCCTCTACGAATGTTTCACCAGCTACGTCTCTGTCCCCGCTGGCCTTAACCGTGAACCCTTCTTCCTCGGCCAGAAGGACCGCGTCTACGGCGCTGCATATGGTACTGGTCCCAGCGCACGCTTGTGGCAGGAATACGCAAAGGCGGATTTCCGCTGGGCGACCGCGGACGCTAATGTGATTGCGCTGGAGCTTCTGACGGTGTTCCTGGGCGGACCGGCTGCTATTTACATTTGTTATCTGTTGTGGAAGTCGTCGAGTAGCCGAACCACGGTTTCGTCGCATGGTGCGGCTAAGGCAAAGCTGTGGCTTGTTGCGCCGGCGTTGGCGACTGCTGAGTTGTATGGGGGCTGGATGACGTTTGCGCCGGAGTGGCTTACGGGCAGCTCGCAGTTGGAGACTGGGAATGCGGTTTACTTGTGGTTTTATTTGTTCTTCTTCAACACTCTGTGGGTGTGGATTCCGGGTTGGATTTTGTGGGAATCTGCTAAGGAGCTTCGCGCTGCGTTTGTGACGGCTGAGAGTGACGAGCGCAAGAGCCAGTAATGATAGAACGAGATACGGGATACCTGGACATAACTTGGACATAATTGGGAAAAGTATTGAGGACGTATCTTGTGTTGAATGGAGATATCGTCATGTGTGACTTCACTCAGCCATCCCGCGATATCTCCATGCGACGCGACCAGGGTAATGACGAATGTTTTTTTTTTTTTTTTTTTTTTTTTTTTTTCCTTCTATTTTCCTTCTATTTTCTGTCTAATGCGATTCGTACTCGTTTAGTAGATCGTAAGCCTCGCAACCAGCCGGAATGGAAAAAAATGTGCCTTACTGCGCCACTGTACGAAACTTCGGGATGGCGATGACGGATGATCACGGGGCGGCTCATTGATATAAAAATCGCCTCCCTCTTCTTTCTTGCACCTTACTTTTGTCTCTCCCTATCCAAGCAATTGCATACTGTACTGCATACACTATCATAATGTCTTACAACGCGTACCCTCCTCCTAACCGTGAGTTCATCATCAACCTACAAGAAAATCTATATCACTAACAAAACAATGCCAGAACCGTACGGCCATCCTCCCCCGCAAGGCTTCCCCGGCCAACCCCCCTATCCCCAGCAACAGCCTGGTTTCAGCAGCCCCCCTCCACAGGGCTACTATCCCCCGCCGCAAGGCCAATTTGGCCATCCCCCTCCCCAAGCCGGTTACGGCGCACCACCACAAGCACCCTACCCCCCAGGTCCCGGCTTCCACGCCCCCTCGCCACAGCCTCCCTTCGGCGGCGGTCCCGGATACCCCCAACATGGAGGACCAGGACCAGCCCCAGGCCCCTACGGTGCACCACCCGCCCCAGCCGGTCCAAGCCACTTTGCGCCGTCGCCAATGCCCTACGGTCCTCCTCCGATGCCCTCCCCCGGCTACAGCCCTGGTCAGATGGCACCCGGTGACTTCCGCCAACAAGCAGATCTCCTGCGCAAAGCGATGAAGGGCTTCGGAACGGATGAAAAAACACTCATTCAGGTCCTCGCGAAACTCGACCCGCTGCAATCCGCCGCCGTTTGCTCAACATACGCATCGCACATTAAGCGCGACCTGCACAAGGACGTCAAGTCCGAGACAAGCAGCTACCTCCGCCAGGGTTTACTAGCCGTCATCGACGGACCGCTCATGCACGACGTCGTGCTCGCACGCGAAGCAGTCGACGGTATCGGTACAAAGGAATGGCTCCTCAACGAGGTCGTCCTGGGCCGATCGAACGCAGACCTCAACGCGATTAAAACCGCCTACGAACGCACATACCGCTGCTCCCTGCAGAAGGACGTAGAAGGCGACTTATCATTCAAGACAGCCACGCTCTTCGCCAACGTCCTCCGCGCAAACCGCCACGAGGAATCCACCCCGATCAACCCGCAACTCGTGCACGATGAGGCAAAGACCATCCACAACGCCACCGCCGCACGCATGGTAAACAACGTCGACGAAGTCTGCGGGATCTTCGCACGGTCATCAGACAACGAAATCCGCGCGATAAACCGCGCCTTCACAGACCGGTACCACACTTCCCTCGAGAAACACCTCGAGAGCCAGTTCTCAGGACACATGAAAGACGCACTGCTGCATATGCTGCAGACCGCTCTGGATCCTGCTATGCGCGACGCCGTCCTTATGGAAGATTGCATGAAGGGCATGGGAACCAAAGATGAGAAGTTGGTTGTGAGGGCTGTGAGGGTGCATTGGAATCGGGCGCATTTGGACCAGGTCAAGGGGGCTTATCGGCATAAGTATAAGACGGAGTTGGCTGCTAGAGTGCGCGGGGAGACGAGTGGGGATTATGGACGGTTGATGGTTGCGTTGGTGGAGTAACGCTTCTTTCTTTGGCTTTCATTATTACTTCCATTGTTAATTTTTTATCTTGTATTTATGGGTCGGTTTTGTCTTTGGTGATACCATCAGTTGCGGCTAAGGACTACTTTTATGAAGAATGATTACTATTTTTATTCCATTGAAGCATCATATAATAGCATCGTATCGTATCATATAAATAATCATAACTCATCATTAAGACGGGTATGCAACCAACCAATCCCCATAATATAACAAACTAAACAACCTCCCCCAAAACCCTAACATGACTTCCCGGAAACAACCCCGTAATCCCCGCATAACACCCCCAAAACCAATCATCATTAATATTCTCCCCCTCCGTGATCTCCGCGCCCCGCGGAAACATCAGTTCATCTTCGACGCCATCCTCGGGATACCACGACCACAGCGCGTGCGCGATGACGCCTACGCCGCCGTCTGGTGGGAAGCGGCGGTTGTTGGATTGGACTGGGGATGGGGGTGCGGGTGCGGGTTCGGTGGAAGGGTTGTTGGGGTTGTTCCATGGGGTTCGGGTGCGAGAGGCTTTTTTGCGTCGTTCAGGGCCTTCCTCCCAGCTCCAGTCGCCGGTTCCTACTTCGGGGATTGGTGTCGCGTTACTGGTAGCGGCGGCAGAAGCAGCAGCAACAGCAGAAGAAGAAGCGTGTACTGAAGACACCGATGAAGACTGATAATTAACATGTTCATCCTTCAACGCCCACCCACCAACAAGATTCCGCGCAACAACCCTCCTCTGTCCCTCCTCGTGCTCTTCAAAGCCCACCACAACCATTCGATGACCCTTGACGCAGCGCCGCCAACCATTATGGCAATTATCTTTACTGATTTTGCCCGTCGCACCGATTTTCAAGTAGCAGTTTGCACAGATGTCGTAGTCGCCATCGTTGCAGACGAGGCAGTGGAAGCGCGTTGTGGAAGCCGGGATGGGATGTGTACAGATGTCGCAGTTTGTGGCGAAGGAGAGGATCTTGAAGGTTTCGTTTGGTTCTGATGCCGTGCCGGGTGTATCTGTATCTGAGATGTGACATATCGGTAGAAGGGCGTGGGTGCAGCATTTTCCTTGGTTGACGCAGGTGTTGCAGAAGCCCCAGTCTCCTTCGTTGCATTCGTCGCATTTCCAGAAAGTTTCGTTGGCTTCTGAGCTGCAGATGTCGCAGAAGAGGCCGGTTTGTAGCCTGTGTGCGGGATCGTCGCTGGCTATTTGTCTGTCGTCGGGAGTTGTGGCCCGACGGGGTCTTGCAGAGGGACGCTGGTATTTTGACGATATAAAAATATGGGGAGTTCCGATTTCCGGAATTGGCTCGTTGTTGGACATTGCGAGGATTCTTTCGAAGTTGGTGTGTGCTGATAGGCCAAACCCAGCCCAGTTCTGGCAGCCTCGTCCCGTGCGATAGCAGCGGAGACAGAGGTGGTAGTCTCCGTCATTGCACTGAGTGCAAGTTTTGTGGAGTTCGTATTGGATGTCCGGTTTCCCGCATCCGTTACAAATAATCGAAGGCTCAACGTAAGAGGGTGGGGCAGCATTTGATCGGGAAGATGCTCTGGGGCGACTGTGACTCACTGGCCCATTGACATGAGGAACCACCGATAGAGCGGACTGGGAAGGAGTTTGTGGTGCATTCGATAGTGGAGATGCAACCGTGGGCGAGTTCGTCAAACGGGTTACTGAAGAACCACGTTCTCGGGTCCCTTGAGTCCATACATGTGGTGATCCTCGTCCAGACTCCGTTGCGCGTCTTCTTCTTGTCGACGGCTCTGGCGCCCTGGTGGCTGCCTGAGCTGCACGGGGACGTTCGGGTGTCATGTCACTGGACGATCTTGAAGCTGGCCGTAAATTCGCCTCGGACGAGGATGCTGGATGGGCGGGACTAGGTGACGTCCTCCGACGACCGCTCCCTTGCTCAGACGCACCTCTCTGGTGGGTCGACGGTCCTGGACGAGTCACAAGAGGATCAAGCAAGTATGGTCTGGACACTGGAGGGCCTCTCGAGGAGTCGTGAGGTGGCGGTCCAGTTGTAGGTCGCTGCACTGAATGCGATCTAGCACGAGGACGGCCGGACGAATGCGATGCTTCTCTCTCTTGTCGCTGCCGTGAGCGAGAGCGTAGTCTGTGTCTCCGACGATATGCGTCGGCAATACGCTCGCTCAGCTCCTCCTCCTGCCCGGGCCCAAGATTATCCAGATCAATATCGTCCAGCAACCCCTCCTCCAAAATCTGTCGCAGAATCTCTTCCTCCATAGTCTCAGCATCCGATAAACTGAGGAGAGACCTCAGACTAGACTGGTGCTCAATCCGTCTAGATTGCTCTGCTGCTTCCGCTGTCTGTCGAGCCGCGCGCTCATGAGCTTGCCTCCGTGTCGACCGATCATCATCCTGCCGCCGCCGCGAACGACCATCATCCCTTCGCGAATCGTGATCCGACCGCTCTGCACGACGAGCTCTCGACGAGTGTGGCGCCCGATGACGTTGCTCCCTCGTCCGCGACCGCCCTTCTTGAAGACTCAGCTGTCGCACCTCATCCAGCACCCGTCCATCCTCCTCATCCTCCTCCGTATCATCCCCAGGAAACACCGAATCCCCCGGTTTATACTTCTGCGCAATTTCCTCCTTTTCCTCCACAGACTTCGCCTGGCTAGGATTCGACGCCAGAACAATATCCAGCAGCGTAGTCACAGTGGCGTTAGGCCGGGTTTCACGAACGGTGGCGCGACATGAGGGACAGGTGAATTTTGGGGTGGATCTGGATGACCGGCGTCGGGTACCTTGAACGAAGAACCATTCTTTCAAACATGAGCCACAGAAGGTGTGAAGGCAGTCGAGGAGAGTGAGAGGTTGGTACAGCAGGTCCGTACAGATCTGGACCAAGCGGGGGAGTTAGCGATCGCTGTGATTCTCAGATAGATTGTAGGTACTTACCGAGCAAGTGAGTTCATTTTCGAGGTCCCCCAAACCGGGGCCTGCGTGTGCTTCACCCGACATGAGGCATTCGAGAGACCATGAACCGTGGTTGAGGTTGAGATCGAGTTGTGTCGAAAACCATGGACGAAGCGCTGCTGGTGGCGGGCAGAACTGAAACCGGAATGGATGAGTAAGCATATAGAAACCGACTAACTAACTAGTTATTATTAGTTACAAAGGGAAAAGAAGGAACAGCATCTATTTATATCCAGAAAGCAAGTGATATTGAAAGAGAATAGAATAAGCAGATCTAATAATTCGTACATAGAAATCGAACGGCTAATACTAGCAAGAAAGGGTCCGGCTATTGACCACATCCTGTCCTTAACAATAATATGCATACTGCATCCTCGTACAAGTACCTCATGATCTCCCGATCGGCGAACGGCTCCAAAGAATAGTTAAGCCATAGGCAGGTAGGTAACATATCAATTATATCTACTTTAATCCCTTCTTGCACGCAGGACAGAAACGCTGCTTTATCCAACGTTGCCCATGTCACGGAGAGAGAAGACAGGCTATATAGTTACAATTTCTCCCCCAAGAGGAACTACCGCCCAAGATGCCCATTCATTTTGTCTTTTATATGTCCCAAGGCCCCACCATGCTTATGCTCGGAAGACTTGTCTTTCTTATCGTCTGAGTCTTTCTTCTGATCCTTGGATTTGTCGGTTTTATCTTTACCGGACTTCTTACCGGAGCCATCTGATATCTGTTAGCCCGATGAAGGCTCAGAATGAAAATAGACCAGCACATACCGTTCTTTGCCTCTTCATCAAAGTCATATTTCGTTGTTGGGGCCGGTGACTGGGGCCCTTCAAGTGCCTCCTTGCTCACTTTGGGGTGCTTGGATCCGCCGTTGCCAATGCCATTGCCTGATTTGGCTTCTCCGGATTGCTGCTCAGACTTTTCCTTTCCTTCGTTGTTGTCGTGCTCGTCGTTGCTCTCTTCCTGTTCCTTCACTTTGTCTTTCCCATCATCGTTTTCTCGTTCATAATCGCGTCCCTGGCTCTTGTTTTGATTGCTCTCCTCGTTGCTGTTTTGACTATCTTTGCCCCCTTCCTTCTTGCTTTGGATATCGTTCTTTGCCTCGCTGTTATCCTGGGTATAATCGGTCTGCGGGGTTTGTGTCAGGTCGGAACTCTGGGCTTGAACACCCTCGTCGTGTGGGCTCATTTCTGCTGTAGTAAGAGGTGTAGTCGGACTTTGCGGTAGTATGTCACTTGTTTATCGCACTGGCAATGAGTTTTGTGTTTGGATTTTGTTGGATTATTCTACATCCCATACCCCTAGGGGTATATATAGTTTACTTTTATGATGCAAATATCCGTAAACTGGTTTTGACAAGGGTTAGCGTGATGACATCACATCAAGGAAAACCGAGATGATTAAGGGTTATGACGTTACTAGAGAGAAAATGTTCATTTAGACTGGTTTAATACGAGATATGTATGCAACCAGACAGCATGACTCAGTTCGTAGAGGATAACTGTCCCAAGCGCAGAGCAAGTTGATGTTATGAGATGAACATCTAGTCTAACCATTATCTCTGCATAATGCTAAACCACATCTCAAGTCCTAGCAGTAGTTACCCTTGCACCATCATCCCCAGACTCCCAGCAATCTCGATATCGAAGTCTTGTACGCAACATCTGCGCCCGTTCCCTACCGAGCTTTTCTTCTACCGCATACGCCAAATCACAACTCCCTCTAATTACACCCAATCGCGTACCAGACCTCCTCTGTTGCTGAGAGCTCAAGACTCGAGGCCTTCGCATAGTCAGATGATGCATAGTGAGCAAGCCCAGGCACCAGACTGTGTGCAGGGACACGGTCATCGTCAGGAAACTTTCCGAGAATCCCCGGGCATAGGTATCCTTGCCTATGCACTGGATTCGGCTGGATGTGTCAGACATGAAATCTTCCTCGCAGTATACGCCGCCATCGTAGACCTGGCATGGCAGTTTGATTTTTAATCGTGGCTGGAAAGAGGTCAGGTTGTACGTTGTCTCGTTGATAATCAATGGATCGATACTCGGGTCACAGTATGACTCTCTTACGCCGATGCTTGGACAATAATAGAAAAAGTACGTGTCGGTAAATGTACGAGAGAACAGATGAGTGATTAGACCAACACGAAGAGTGAGCATCTGGAAGAGAGACACAAACATACAGTTCTGAAGAGACTTGTAGATCTGCTCATCATCCGATTTGAAAATAACTTGGTTAGGCTGCAGCCCAATGCGATCTCCATCTGCCACACGCGCAGCCGGTTGTTCTGACCAGCGCAGAGTAAAATCGTACCACGGCATGAGGGCCTTATCGTCCATCTTAACATACGGCGCGCTCAAAGCATATACCCCGTCATGACGCTCATGACCGTCGGAAAAAACAGCACCCACAGCAACGATACGCCCATAGTGATAAACCATGCTTTTTTTCTCTGCGCCGTGGAAAACAGATCGCGACCGAGCATCCACAGTCCCCAGGCAGTAGGACCACTAAGGGATAGCGACACAAAGGTATCGTACACCATTGAGTCTTTCTCCAGCAGCATATGCAGAACCTCGTAGAAAACCTGCGAGAGCACATACAAGAGAAGCGCCTGTCCGCCCCGCCCGACAATAATATCCCATACAATGTCGATGGCCTTGGCTACGGTGAAGGAGTAATTCCCAAACACCATATTGACGGTGTAGAATTTGGAGAAGATGTCATTGAGTGGGATTGAATGGTCGATGACGCTTGTCGCTGTACCATTTAGGCCTGGGACATGGTCAAAATTTGGGAAGAGGGGGGTTTGATTTTCAGGGCGGTTGGTGAGGCGATTTCGGTAACTGCACATAGAGTGCGACTGTATATCAATAGTGTCGATGAATACAAACCAGGCAACGAGTGGGCCGAAGATGAGAATTGCGAGCACAGATTTATTGAATACCGACAGAACATGTTGGTTAACTTGCACCTTTTGACAACCATAGCTGGCCATATTGAATGAGGAATTCAAATGACTGTCCAGTAATTGCGTGACACTAAACCTGATATAAATGTTAGACCAAGGACGATCTCTACTTAGTCTAGCCCAGCAGGGATTAGTAGTTCCAAGAGGCGCAGTTGGTGGCAGTGAGCAAGCGCCCGAGGAATAGTTACTGGGCACGGATTCAGATGTTCGTTATATTACTAGGAATCATTTATATAACCCCCTTTGGATTTGGCAATTTTGCCTTGACAATCTTGTGGCAGGTCTCGGCATCAACAATCCCATCCAAGGCCCGGTATTCAGGCCGTGAGTACAGTTCGAGGACTTTTTCCGAGCAGTATTCAACGTCAATAAAGAAAGCCCACGCAAACCGAAATGGTATGCGCCACTGCCACCAGATAAAACCATCATCACGGATCCTATGCTCCCCGGGTATCGTAGAGTCCCTCTCGGGGTCTTCACGGTTCTTGTCCCAGAGGGATTTCTTCCTGCCATGATACAGAACCAACGCAGACTGGCTAGCAGCTTCACCATCTAAGATAGCAAACCATCTTTGTTCGAGAAAACAACCCCCTCTTCCCTCTGCAAAAAGTCGCTGGACGAAATGGTGGATCTCATCATCACTTTGGTCCCTGAAACCCGTCTCAAAGGCCTCAATCGGAGGATCGGTCCCGTAGAGATCGATAACCTCTTGAGTAGGGCAGCGGATCAAGGAAAACATGTTTGTAGCGTCCTTTGGCCGAGTGGATTCTTCAATGAGACGATTTAGTACCTGCGATGGAGAAAGATGGTTAGTTTTGTCCTTTTTCTGCTGGTAGTAGGCTCTCTCACATACACTTGCCGGCACGTCAGCCGTGCAAAATATCGGGATGACTGACATGATGGAATGACTTTCGTGATATGAAGCCAGGTGTTGGGGAGTTTGAGGTATACAGAGTAACTCCAGAGAAGCGATTTGTTTTAAGAGTCGGTAGAGGAGGCAGTGCAAGCGGCACTGGCAGTGGAGAGCATGAGCCTCAGGCGTAGCAAGGATGATTACCTATGGTTGTCTTGCGTGGTTTTGCATTATCTCTAACAGATACTTAGCCCTTACTGCAATGCTCTCATACATGGCAGCAAACAAGATCAACAGGAGATTTGCAAAGACAAGGGAAAGGGCGTGCTGGGTCTATGAGGATTCTATGTGGCTGAGCATGCCTGCAAATGGGATGGTTTGATGTATCAACCCGCTGGCAAAAATGCTTAGTGTAGATGTCTGAATAACACGTTGTCAATTCTTCGTTGCTAGTTGCAGTTTTTCTAGAAGCTATATCTTGCAAGAACTCATGAGAAATATGGTGTGTCCTTGACGGACTCAAGCATAACGATCTATTGGCAGACTATCCGGCGAAATACTACCATGAAAAGAAAGAAGAGAAACGGAAGGATGCTTGCGGAGAAATAATTACGGTATACTCGCTTTAAACCCACCGTGATGACTCGGTGCCTTGCGCCGCAGGTAGGGCTTTGCTTCCCTATAACGTAGTGACTTGGCATTCCTATATAAAAATATTTACTACCGTGGTTAGAACATTGCGTCCTTTATATTCCAAAGTATCTAAACCAGGACCTTGTACAGAGTAGTTGGCACCCATATACATATTTAAACTGTAGATAATGCAGGAGTGTAGTATCTTAAGCTTCCTGGACCTAGTTTCTTACTGCATAACACCGAGGAAAGAGGTACTTCGTGTATGTACTCTAATACTCCAGACTGCGTAGACATTTCTTACAATGAAGTGGGTCTGATCTCAGGAGATTTCGGAGATAGCAATGATGACACGGATCTAACTGGAGATAACAGATCAATGACGTATTTCAAGAAAGAAGGAGGAGAAATAAATAAAAATAACCCGTTAAAAAACAACCATTTTACAGCTCCATTCACTCCTATAATACTCATCACGCGTTGTTCTTGACATTTGCAATAACGTGCAATAGCTCGAGATGCCGGGGTAATGACCCTATCCCCCACATACGAGGCCAATAATGCTGGTCCTCATCACTAATCTTGAGCCCGTATTCTCATAGAATTGACGAGTGGTGTCATTCATGGCATTGTAAGCTCTGTACACTTTATCCGGGTCCTTGCAGCAATCGAGCGGGCCTTGATTTCGTCATGTTCAACTGTAGGAGAGAACATTTTGTGATATCATTTTGAATTTTTAAGTGTTCGTGGGTGTTTGGCACTTCTCATCCCTGATGGGATGGTCTCCATTGCTAAAGCATCGGTGATATGTACATAATTAATATGCTCGTCTAATTTCGATATCGAATTCCACTTTATTCAAAATCTTCATTATACCACTCGAATTATTGTACAATCCCTATTGCCAAATCATTGAAACCTGAGAGCCTGACTCAGTAATGAGAATTAACCACAACAGGATAGAGATCAACGCTATTACTTCGTCAGGAACTAGGGTGATAGACCACGAAAACCAGCAGCACAGGATATACAACACGCGGAATGAGATATTAGGATATGTGTATAAAGGCAACGATGTACATAGCGACTACCATTACGGCGGCTTACCCGGCTGCCCCGCAGGACCTGCCGCCACTCGGCCTATAGGGCTGACAGATGCGTGTATGAATAATAATAATGACTTCAGCTTGGCTTGACATTATTGCTCGATGTGTATGGATTTGACAGGGATTCAATATAGACGTTACAGACCTTATCACAACAGTCTCATGTGATGATGCGGGGAGTCAAGGCAGAATCATTGGATGATAAGCTATGATGAGAATGCGAAGAAGGAACAAGGATTAGGTTGATACTAGAAACGGATAAACCAATGTAGCGGTTAAACTCTGTGTCGGGGAAGTCAGGGAGCCGATTATCCGGATTGCACGAGGCTATAGGCGAGGAATTTAAATTACACGAAAGAGGATGACATTGACATCTATAGACACCATAGACGATAGAATGTGTGCTTGACTATCTAAAGCATATGGCTACTACGGTGTCCGAATATGAGGAATCTGTCGGGCTCGGTAATCGGGCCGACTATTAATCCACCTTGACTTTCATCATTTATGACTCCGACCATGGCCAGCGATCCGTCTCTGTACCTAGATTATACCTCCTTTGACCCCGTGGATATTACACTCCTACTCCTCCTGCGAAGTGTCATACCATTGTACTATGAGCTATTCTTCACACTATCTACCACCAACCCAGGCTACAGTTTGAACTCTTGTTGGATATAGGTAGGATACACCTATTCCTTAGGTCCGGCGCTCGCCTAGTCTGTCAGCACACATTCAGTTAACGCACCACTGCCTAACACAGTACATAACTTGCATTGCATTGGCGGACATAGCAACATGAAGACTGAAGATGGGGACACAGTCACACTCCTAGTCACTAGTGTAGTTAACAGGGTTAAACAGTTCATAGAGGGAGCTGTGATTATGTCTATGACTCTCTTTATCACTGATGCTTTTGAAGGGATCTTGTTTATGCAGGTTGATCATCATTCCATGCTTCATTATGTGATATTCATGTTGTTTTATATGTCTATTTCTTTCTTGTACTACAAGTACAAGCCAATGTAGATATATCTGTCACGGGCTCGGAATAGTAGATATTAACGAACTGAATTCCTATCTAAACTATTGTAGCCATCGACGAGAATATCGAATCTGGGGAAAAAAGAGAAAAGGAAATCTATCTAGAGGAAGAAGGGATTTTATAGGCGTTTATTTGACATCACTAATGTCTTTTCTGGCGTATTGATGTCGTTTGTCTGTGTCAGTTGTTGACGCAGCATCGAGCCGTCAAAATATCAGCATTTTGTAAAGGGCTAGGCCCTGCTAGGTGCCTCGAGACGTTGAGACATCTCTTGGTTGAAGCTATCCAGGAAGCGAGTCTAGGGACGAACGAGATTACATGACCTTCTGACTACAAGTGGCCACCTATTTACCTCAGGCGGCCACCACACTCCATATGTCCTTTCTTCAACAAGCAAGTTGACTTCCTCCCCCCCATTTTTCCCCGACATTAAATAGCAACTGCTACAACTACTACTACAACTACTACTACAACTACTACTACAACTACTAACGTCTAGTTATAGATAACCCGGCTTCAGCCCATGACAGGAAGACAGGCAGATGCTGAGGCGCAGTGCTGTGGCCTTCATGATGGGCAATTTCATGGTGGATACTGGACAGGTTAAAATTGTATGTGGCACCTAGCAACTGAGCATGAAAAATTGATACCCTTGTTCTATAATTTTTTAAAAGTCCTGTGGGATGCAAAGGAGTGTATGTACATTACTGAGGTATGTACTGTTTATGCTTTCTCAGATCCTTGCACAGGAGTGTAAGTGCGAGGATGATGGGAACCAGCTTTTCCATGTGCCCCAAGTTGTTTGTTTTGAAAGGCCCAACTTCAAAAGATCGTCATGAAAGACTCCGGGTCAGTTTCGTCAAACGCCCCTTCCCCTCTCAGATACGAGAAATACTTGCTTCCGTATCTGGCGAAATTCGAAAAAATTTCGTTCCTATCTTGTAGCACCTGAAAACGGCTTTTTGCCGTGTTAGCTTTTATCCCTGGTAGCTTTCTAAAGACCGGTGATTTCCGTATACGTACCGGCCAATAGGTTCTGGAGGCTCGTTTGGATGTTCCAAAATCCAGGCCGCAAGCGCTGTGTTGACAATTTGCTCGTCAATAGACTTTGGGAATGTCTCATTCGGTATCCAAGCTGGAGAATCTGGTGACCCCCATTGATAAGAGATGGGAGAGTCCGTGGGGGACGGGGTTTTCGGCAGCTCATCTGGACCGTTGGGTGGCTCTCTTGCATCTTTCAATTTGAGTGCCAGTAGCTTTTTCACGCCATTCGATCCGGTTGGCAGCGACTTGCTTGCATTGGCATCTGCCTTCAATTTGGTTGGCGACTGGTCTAGCTCCTCTATGAGGGCCCTTCTTTGAGCCCGCGACCGAGTGTGATTTGCGGGGGAAGAAATGATAGACTCGCTGACTTCCTTGCTCTCAACCTTTGCAGCGTTGTCTTGGTAAAGCTTTGCCAGGAAAAAGTTTCCTTCTTTTTGATTTCTTTCACGCCCGTCTTCAAAGCTGTCGCAGTATATCTTCCATGAATCGTACTCGCGCAACGTATGATTCGCCTCATCAATGAACTTTTGGTCCAAGCCGAATTTCTTAGGGTCAAGATGATCTATATCTATTTTATTTCGTACGACGCGAAGGGACAGCCAGTCGGTCGAAACTAAGCCAAATCGCGTACTCTGGCTTATGACTTCTAATCACAGATTAATGGAAATTATGCGACAGGGATACATTCGTCGGTACAGTAGTCTACAATATATTCTTGATCTCTGGTAGAGTGGCTGCACTATTGAGCCGCGATCGATTTTGAAAGTGGGGTCCCGAATCCGCTCCACTGATCTCCCAAACCTTGTCTTTTACGACTATGTATGTAAGCGTTTTAAGCATGGATCAGCACATGGTCCACTACCGTGTATTGCTGTAAATCCTTACGCCGTGTATCATACCGTACATCGTAGAATATAAGGGATGATCAATTAAGTGAATCGCAGACTGACAAAAACATCAATCAAATAATGGTTCCTGCTCGGCGGGATATATGCTGCTTAGGTAGATATTCTGTAGCAGTTAGCCGCGAGCCAGAGTATGGTTACCGTCTCTGGGGTAAAGCAAAATAAATCTATGAGGTCTCGATCAATTCTATTTGGAGCACAAAGTTAACACTATTCTCTTAGGTCTTAATGGGATGCTAGTTCCTCGCGGTTCGACTTCCCCCCGAGGTCGCTAACTGAATGGCCCACCAAACGAGGCATGGAAAGGAAGACTGGAAGACCCTACCGACAAGTCAGGGCAAATGATCAAAATATGCGGATAGCGAGAGCCAGATCCTTATTCCAGGGGCCTGTTTATTGAGGACGTTTATGAGTGATCCGTCTTGAACACACGTTCAGAGCCCAGCCACAGAATCAGTAGTGGCGGAACAGCACAGCCGCTGAGGAGCCCACCGGTCAAGTGATGGTAAACGGAAACCAGGGAGCGAAAACAGAATCCATGATCGGTCATCGGAATGTAACCATATCATAAACACTACAGGGTTAACCGTTATTGTGGGCCTTATGTCGTGCGATGGGCCGGTGAATGGACTTTCTCCCCGGCCTGTCAACCTCACAATCTTGCGGTCCACATGAAACGGTGATGGACCAACTCATTTCTCCTTGGTTGGGTTCCTACTGCCGGAGACCTTTAAAAGCTCGCGTTGTCCACCTGAAGTGGCCATTAGTTTTGAACAAAGAGTCGTTTCAGACCCGCAAAAGGCGACTTCAAGTTTTAAAGAAACAGATATCAATAGGTAAAAGATGGTTTGTGACAGCCAACAAGTTGTCTTTTGGGGCAATTATTCTCTGCGGGAGAAGACTCTGCAGCTTTGTGAGTACTATCAGCCCTGTTTAGACTTTCAACCTAACGCTGAGCTAACGCGATTACCAGCCACAATCACAGATGGACTGCTCAGAATCTCGTGGACCTGCTCTCACACATATCAGAGATCTTCCCTGAAGCTGTCAGAACCTTCCAATCTCTTGATTCTCCGGTGAGAACCATTTTGTCACGGAGCTCAACCAGGTTAACGGAACATCAACTCATGTGTTCTACCTAGGTAGCTATCAACGAGAATAATTGACATGAGGAAGGAAGAAAGGAGGTAACGCCATATTTACCAACAAAGCAACAAAGCAAACAACACCTCACGTGATAACCAGCCAACGTGACCAGACCGTCACACATTTTAGCTGGTGAAGAATGTTTGCCAGAATTAGGCCTTTACCAGGTTTCCACTGAGATTGATTCGTACATTGAAACATTGCATCTATAGGAAAGAGCATTAACTCTCAGCATATAAAGGCGGAATGGCCCAAGGTGTATAGCACGAGCCTCAAGAGGGAGATAACAGGCGCTCTCTGAATACTTATGGAGTAGTATATAAGTTTTATTATTGAATACGAAATTTCATCCTTCTACTGAGCAATCAGGTTGAACGCTCCCGGATTTCGGCATAGTCCATTCCTAGCACAAGGATGAGCTATGCATAAGGGAACCAGGCAAGATAAAAAGGGATTGAAATTGTTATCTAAACCGCCTCAGCGGGGCTTTGACTACGACTCATCAAGTTATAGCGGCTGATAATAAACTCCTTTATCAAGGAAGGGTATTGACTCCAAGTTTGACAGACTCCCAAGGCTGATTACGGCTTATCAAACCCCACTCTTTGCTCTGTTCTGCGAGCGCCCCTCTGCGTCACATTTCTGCCCTAATCATGCCGATCCCATATGCCATTTATGCGGTTGGAACACCCAGATGACAACGAATTTGCGTCCGGGAGGAACAAATCCAATAGCATAAATGCCTCACCGGCGATTCCGTTGGTTATTTTCGCGACAGTCACCAGTCACATTCCCGCAGAATACAGTTCTGTAAAGTCTGGAACCAAACCTCACTGCCAAATTGATGATTGGTTAGAGCTCTGTCATCGAATTTCCGTTCTGCTGAGCTCCGTGACACACTACTGTGGAAAGGACAACACTACAAGAACCCAGTCTGAGCTTCATATTTGTTTTTATATGGAGTCTGATCCGGGGCCTTTATTATGGCGGCCAAGCCTTTGTTTTCATTAAAGCTTTCCGAACTAGGTGAATATAATGGGTTTTCTGCTGCCTGCCCATAGTTCCTCTTGATATCTGGTCTAGATTTACACTGGAAGGGCCTGGTGTCTATTACGATAGCTAATTATTGAACGTATATTATAATAATATTATTCTCAGTGCATGTACGGTCGATTTCAGCAGTCAAATGACTTCCATGGCCATCAAGAATAAGCATCCGAAATCTTCCAACCGCACGGCTAGTAGTAAGAGGAATGAAGTGGTTAATAAGCCGATCCATTCCAATCTTATCTGTAGTCCATCCATTATCACTGATATTGATTCTCCAGTCATCTAGAAGACTCTCAAACCAGCCTTCTTGAAAGTATTTTGTTGCCTTGAAAATCACATATGAAGGCAGAGCCCATCCAGTAGAGTTAACTGCCTCAATTGCAGTTACCCATTCTCGATTGTCAGGCTGTAATAGATATTGTCGATTACGTTAACTATGAGGACCTTGAAATCGACGCCGAAAATGACAGCATTTGACGCTAGAAACGGCTGGCTTTCCATCCGTAACTTGGACAGCGAGCCGCCGCCGAACCGCCCCCATCCAAAACCGCCACTATTCTGCGTCCCTGCCGAGGTGATGGTACTTTCTATCGGAGTGGAGAAGCCAATAACCTTGGAAATACAAGATATCCTTAGTCATCCATATTGGGCACCTATAATCACAGGCCTGCCTCCTATTTAAGTACATGTAGTACATTCCCTCACCAGTTGACTGACCCCACTTTTGTCCGCTCACCTACCTTTCTTCTCTTACCTCATAAAGGCCTCGCCCAAATTAGGCCAGAAAGCAAGGTTGATAATAAGAATGGAAAATGATGGGGAGAAAATGGAGGGGGACCGAGTATCCCTCAAGCGAAGCAGTGTGCTCTCCTTCCCTTCCACTAACACATAAGAGGTGTGAGCTATACTGACATTTCTTTGACGACTAGGAATGGACTTCGAAGACGATGAGTCTCCAATGGTTGGACACAGCCTTACTTGAAAATGTGCATGGATGCCGCTTGCATAACCATCGACTTCTAGTATCCCCGTCCAACTGTCTGATAAGCCATACCTATATTGAGGGCTTTTTATTCTAGATGTCCAACATTTTGTTTGCTCACTCTCTGCTGAACAGGAACTGATCTGCTTCTTTTTTCTTTTAGGGGTTTATCCTTTCTATTTTGGGACATACTTTTGGTGTAGTGGGGGAACCTCCGCGATTGGCTGACAACTGTCCAACGTCAGCCCCAAAGAATCGCCGCAGAGCTGTCGCTGCCCTCAAAAAAAAAAAAATTATCATACGGGTGATGGACAGTTGTCAACCAAGTGCGGAGGTTCCCTACCAGGGTGGTGTGTATGTACCCTGTATGCGAACACCGCGGCCAATATGGCGCCGGCGAAAGATCGCTTAATCGGACCGCCGACTGTTCTACCGAATCAGGCAGTCAGGCCATTAAAACCTCATCACAAGGCATAATGTATACCCGTTTCTCAAGCTAGCGTCTTGGTGGTGGGGCCGGAATACGAGGTAGGGCTCGTTGTCATTGGGCTTGACCTGCGATTATCGCGAACTAGCTATGCACGCATGGGGAACCTGTCGGCTAAAACGAGTCTCAAATCCGAGTATACTGGTAACTCGAAAAAGTAAAATTCCAAATGGGCGTTAATAAAAGGCCAGTGCGGTGCACCCCCTCTTTTTGAGGTGGTACTTCTGTTTGTTTTCTCAGTCCGCTCGTCTCAAGATTCTGCTTGTTTGCGACGACAGTGAAAGAATGGCTGGTAAACACTTGAGTCTCCTTCTGGCCCTGGGTTCGCTTGCCGTTGGCAGTGCGCAGTCCAACCAGGGCTGCCGGTGTTTCCCTGGCGATGAATGCTGGCCGTCGACGAACATCTGGGATCAATTCAACCAGACTGTTGATGGACGCTTGATTGCCACGGTCCCTCTCGCCACCCCGTGCCATGCTCCAAACTATGATGCTGCAATTTGTAACAAACTACGAGACCAATGGACAGACCCGGAGCTGCAGTATGCCACCCCCCCCTTACCCCAGTATCTGTGAGAAAGAGAGAGAGAGAGAGAGAAATCACTAAAAATGTAGCTATACTACTTCGTCGTCGATTATGCAATCGTTTTTCACCAATGGCACCTGTGACCCTTTCCATGCGGTGTCGAAGCCGTGTACTTTGGGTACCATGGTCAACTATGCGGTGAACGTGAGCAAGCCGGAACATGTCATGGAAACGATGCATTTCGTGAAGAAGCACAACATCCGTCTGGTTATTCGCAACACTGGCCACAGCTATTATGGAGGTTCCACCGGCGCAGGAGCCGTAGCCATCTGGACGCATAACCTCAAAGACATCGAGGTGCTGCGCAACTACAACAGCGCTGCGTACTCCGGATCTGCACTGAAGATGGGCGCCGGAGTGCAGGGGTTCGAGGCGTACAACTTCGCGCACGACAACAAGCTCGATGTCATCAGTGGTGAGTGTGAGTCCGTTGGTATCGCAGGCGGATACACACAGGGCGGCGGCCATTCGGCGCTGGCATCGCGGTATGGTTTGGGAGCAGACCAGACGCTCGAATGGGAGGTCATCGATGGCCAGGGACGGTTCCTCGTTGCCCGACCCGACAATGAGAACGCAGACCTGTACTGGGCGTTGAGCGGTGGTGGTGGCGGCACCTATGGGGTTGTCTGGTCCCTGACAGCGAAAGCGCACCCAGCAGTCCCAGTCTCAGGGTTCAACTTGACGATCAGCACGACGGACAACAAAAACATGTCAACAGAGACCTTTGACCACATCGTGGAGCTGTACAATCAGTTAGTGCCGAGTCTAGTCGACGCGGGAATCATGAGCCTCTTGTTCCTGTTTAACAGCTCGTTCGCCCTCACCCCCGTGACGGCGCCCAACATCCCCGTGGCCCAGCTGGTGCAGATGATGAAGCCGTTAACCAACGCTCTGGACAAGGAAGGCGTGCACTACACCTCCAGCGCGCAGCAATTCGACACCTACCTGGACTCGTTCCGCAACATGATGCCCGTCATCGAAGTAGCCGTCGACCAGTTTGGCGGGTACCTCATCCCTCGATTCGTGGTTGAAGACAAGAAGCAGCCCGGCAGCAACAAGGCCCTAACAAAGGCCTTCCGAGACATGCTTAACGACGGCGGGTCAATAGCCCTCGTAGGGCTGAACGTGTCGCGCGAGACTTCAGGCCCGGACAGCCCGAACGCCGTGCTCCCCGCCTGGCGAGACACGATCTACCACGCTCTGGTCCAGAAACCGTGGGATAGTAACCCCGCCGCGCTGCCCAGGATGCTGAAGGACCAGCGCACGATGACGGACGAGTACGTCGCGCCTCTGCAGAGACTTGCGCCGGAGTCGGGGGCGTATCTCAACGAGGCGGATTTCAGGCAGAAGGACTTTAAAAAGGTCTTCTTCGGGGCGAACTATGACAAGTTGAAGACGATCAAGGGTGTTTATGATCCGTATGATCTGTTTTATGTTCTTAAGGGTGTTGGGTCGGATGAGTGGACTCAGTTGCACGATGGGAGGTTATGCAGGGCTTAGAATACAAGTATACAAGTATATTGCTATATAACTTGAAAATAAAGTAACAATTTCATTGGTCAGTCATGATACAGTTGATAACGGTCGATAAATCTATTTCTTCAAGTCCAAGAGGTTGATACTCTTAGGACGCTCAATAGGCAGACCCAAAGCACGGTCCCAGACCAACTGAGCCAACGGACCCAACGCACGACTGACACCAAAGGTAACAGTGTACATAGTACAGCGGCTGATGGAACCCATAGTGATGGAAGAGCACACCAGAGGCAGCATCAACGTTAGGATGAGGGTTCTTCGTCTTGCCATGCTCCGTGAGCACACCAGGGGCGATTTCAGAGTTCTTCTTGACAAGCTGGAAGACCGGGTTAGCCAGCACATCAGGCCGGGTGTCAGCAAAGTCCATGAGGGCTTCAAAGCGCGGGTCAGGCTTGCGCAGCACGCCGTGGCCATAGGCGGGAACCACACGGCCGGACTTGAGCGTGTCCCACAGGTAAGTGCGGACGTCCTCGTCAGTGAACTTGGTGCCAATTTTGTCCTGCATGGCTAGGATCCAGCGCAGGACTTCCTGGGCGGCGAGACCGTGCAAGGGCCCGCGAGACCGAGCAGTCCGGCGCTGTAGCTGAGGAAGGGGTCACTGAGGGCGCTGCCGACCAGGTGCATGGCGTGTGCGGAGACGTTGCCGCCTTCGTGGTCGCCGTGCAGAGCCAGGAACTGACACAGCTTCAGGGTCTTGGAGTCCAAAATCCTAAATCTTGAGGTGGGCCCAAGTCGTCAAGCAGTATATCTCCACTCTGGGGTATTTGAATCTTTCACAGTTCCATGGGTCAAAGCCATGAACACTTCTTATGATAGCGATCCAATCGTGATCGAGGAGGCTGTTGAGGATATTTTTGGTTATGTGTGCCAATATCTGTATGTTGGAGATTACTTCATCCCCTTGCCAGACGATGTTGTTCCTTATCATATTGTTGAAGAACAGCAATATGAGCAAGACGATATCCTTACATTGAAGGGCAATATTTTTGAAAACTCGGCATCAGTCAAAAAGCTAGCGGATTATACTGTGAGGGGGCTTCAACCACGGCCCGCTCTTCCATCAAACGGCCACTGTTCTCACCATTTTTGGAACTACAGCAGAGCATTGCTTGCCCATGCTCAGCTAAGCATTTTTGCCAAACAATCTGGATTGGAAGAGCTCCATGATGTAAGCCTCTGCAAGCTTTTGTACACGCTTCATGATTTTCCTTTTCATAAAAAAAGGGTTGGAGACATTATACAGCTGGTACGCTTTGTGTTTGAAAGTGACTCTGAAGTGTGTCAGAATCTTCGAGCATTGACGCTCGATTATGTGACTCTGCATATAAAGCAATTATTCCATGATGAAGAGTTCCAGCTACTTTTACAGGAAACACCTTCACTGGACACGCTTGTGCTGAAAAACCTCTGTGACTTGCTATGAATGTCTTTTTTTTCTTCTTCTTTTCTTTTTCTTTCTTATTTTGGTTCTAGTATGAGCCTTGCTTTTTGTAATTTTAGAGTCATCCATCTAGATCCATTTGTTAAATTTATTAAGTATATACAAAGCTCTTTTCCTTAAATCTGAAGAGGAATGAAGACAGTATTCAGTGAACCTGGATACAGAGATTTAGTTGGGAATCGACTCACTTGTTTGAGCGCTTCAATAGACACAGCTGAGGAAACTGTGGAAAGAAACCTAAATGACAACAGTTCCTGGGAATCACTCGGTACCAGGACAAAGATTCCCGGGAACCATCTATTTCCGGGAGCCATTCGATCCTAGGACAACAGTCCCTGTTTCGACAGCCAACGGCTTCCATGCTGTATGATGAGCTCTGTAAACAACTCCTGAGTATATATACAATTGGAGCATAGATATAACTAGTGCATAACTTCTTGGCCACGACTGAAACTAAGATTGATTGGACTTGAGTAAACGCGGGCCATGGATATAAGGATTTATAGCCTATACGGTCGCCTATCTATACTAGAGCGAGGTGGGTTGATTAAAAGCCGGCAAGGCCACGAACCATGCGACAGGCATTCAAGACGGTTACCAAGACAGCGACAGACGTCTTGCGCCAGAAGGAAAGGGTGCGCTATCAAGTGTTCCGAGTCACATGTCTGCGGGCAATGGATAGGTGGCTAGGTATTGTTGGCCGTGGGCTACGTTCCAATGATCGTGGACACTGTGCTTCAGGCTGCGGCTAGCAGTCTCGACTGGACCGCGAACCGTGGATTACGGTCCAGGCCAGCCCATGCTCCACCAACTGGTGGCCCTGCTGGCTTACTAACTGCAGGGGCCAGGAGTCATGTGCTGATGGTCCCAATGGGGTAATAGTCCAACAACCAAAAGCCTTCATTATGAAATCTAGCTAACTGGGTTTAGCTTCTTGATGACATTTGGCCTGCTTTCCCTGCTCGGCTCCCAGCGCCCGTGAGACTGACACCACCGCCTCCTCATCAACAACCAACTCGTCTCCGAACGCTATAAGAATGGTGTTGGTCCCATCCTCAATGGCCGCATCGAAGCACTGCGTGGGGGGAATTGTGCGGAGACTCTTGTCATAGAATATAGCCATCCGATCTCGCGCGTCCTTCTTAGCCATTTGCTCCACTGGGGGCGGATCAGACTGGTCGACCACCAGCTCGTGGACCACCGTGTCCCATTCGCCGCTCCCGCTGCGAGTCTTGAAAATGATCGTGACACTCTCAGACGCAGTTCCTGGTGTACGGCGTTGTACTGCGCCGGCTTTCGCCGGCTTTCCTACAGGGACATGAGGTCTGAGCCGTGGCCTAGTCCTGATGTCCGAGACAGGCGTGCTCGCCGACGCATTAGGCTCAATGTCTACACCAGGGGTCGTCATGCCAGCTCGCAGAATCCTTTCTCGGTTATCAGTTTCTGGTCCAGTAGCAACACGGATGCTTTCAGGCTGCGACTCAGCAGTCCCTTCTACCCTCCCCATGGGTTCGAGCCCGGCAACAACTTCAGGGAGCCGGTCCTTTGATCTTGGATCTTGATCAAGATGAAATTGAGGCTGTACCATCATCTTCACCGCCGCCTCTATGATTGTCCTGGCACGTGCCTGAGCGACCTGGCCCTGCGTATATTTCTTGGTCTTCCTAATCCCTAAAGGTCGGGAGCCGTTATGCCTGGAGATACGCCGGCCATGGGACGAAGTCGCTGTCTTTTGGGTTACGTGTTTTATGCGACTGTCTGCGGGTTCCGCCGCTGCGGGCCCGTCAGCTCGCTCAAAAGACGGATATGGCTGGGTTTCTCCATTCGCTCGTTGTTCTCCCGCAGGGAGCTCTTGGATGTCCTTCGGTGGCCCCGGGGGCAACGATACGCTTTCTATCGCTTCTCCTGTCTGAGGCCCGCTTTCTGGGTGTTGTATTTGTGGTGCATCTTCTGATATCGCTTCCAACAGCGGCACATGGGACGATTGCTCGGTAGCAGGCAGAGCCTCTTCGCTCTCTGTCGGTTGCTGGACTGGGGTGAAATCGATTTGCGTAACCCGTTTGGAAGGTCGCTCATTCTGTGAGGTCTTTTCTCTAGCTTTCCCCTGATTTACTGATGATAGTCTTGCTGTTTCCCTTCGGTGTTTTCGGAGACGCGGACCCGTTCCGCCCGTCCTTGGGTCTGCTTAGCCTTTTCCCTGGTGGCTTTAATTCCCCGTGGCCGGGAGAGTAGCCCTCGACGTTTCTTAGATCGGTTCTCTTTTGCTTGCTGTGCAAGCGGCGAAGCTTTATTTACCCCATGTCTCTGCGTTATTTGGGCTTGAGAGGTTGTTGGTTCAGCCGCTTGAATACCCGAAGCAGTAACAGGCGACAAAGTTCCTTCTTCTTCTGCCCGTGCTCGTGTATCGCCACTTACGCGCCTGGATGGCATTTGACCTCCTCACGACTCTGGCCAGGAGGAGGGCCGATATTGCTTCCTATTCAGGATGTTCGTACACGTTGGAATTCGACCTTTCTAATGCTCCGACGCGCTAGACGTTTACGGTCAATCTTTGAAAGATTTTGTTCTGAATACAATGGCACGCATCAATTCCAACTTGATGACGAAGAATGGCGACAGATCAATTATTTTCTTTACTTGACCCAACCATTCTTCCATTTTAAAACTATGCTTTCAATGACTAAGAATGTAACTGTTCATACTATGTTCAATATCTACAACAGACTCTTTATCCATTTCGAGAAATCCATCAGCCAACTCAAATAAAAAAGAGTTCCTTGGAAACAGTCAATGCTCTGTGCACTTGAGGCAGGCAAAAACAAGCTTTCATTCTATTACAGTAAGACTGAACAAATGCATGGAAGCTATTATGCAATTGCTACAATTCTTGCGCCAACACATAAGCTTCAATTCTTCTTAAGTAACGAGTGGGGAGACAATTCACAGGATTAGCGTGAAATTTATCGCAACACCCTTCAAGAGTATCTTGAGCCATATAAACGGCGACTATCAGACAGCCAGCTATCTTCCACCTATCAATCACCTACAATGCATAATTCAGAGCTTCATTCCTTTATTACAGAGGATGTTTCTCAAAGGTTAATATCTGGTGAGACTGACGAGCTTGAAAGATATTTAGGAAGTGGTATGTATGATTCCTATTATACTTCTATTAATTGCTAATCAATTGATACCCTAAGAACCCTTACAGTACATCCTCTTAATTTCTGGGGAGATCATGAACATGAGTTTCTCATTCTTGCAAGCGCTGCATAGGATATCCTTTCTATTCCTGCAACTGGCACTGGTGTTGAGTGTCACGGGCTCGGAATAGTAGATATTAACGAACTGAATTCCTATCTAAACTATTGTAGCCATCGACGAGAATATTGAATCTGGGGAAAAAAGAGAAAAGGAAATCTATCTAGAGGAAGAAGGGATTTTATAGGCGTTTGTTTGACATCACTAATGTCTTTTCTGGCGTATTGATGTCGTTTGTCTGTGTCAGTTGTTGACGCAGCGTCGAGCCGTCACATTGAACGAATTTTCAACTCTGCACAGGACGTCTGCCACCATCAACAAGGATCACTAAAGTCAACAACAACTCGGGATTTGATGATGTTCAAGTGCGCAACTGGGTTTGATGATGCAGCCCAAGCATGGACCTACACCCCTGGTGCCCCCTTCCCTGATTCCGACATGGATCTCAGAGTGGATAAAAACCATCTCTTAGGAAGAACTAGTGACACTTGCGGTTGGCCATTGCCAAACCAGCTCTGGTCAGGCGATTCAAATCTATGGGCGCAAGAACACGGTAGGTGTCAGTGAAGCAAATGACATTAAGCCTTTGGATCCAAATCAACATGACCATGATGCAAAGCAATTGCACATAACCACTACATTGCAACCAAATCATCGTTGTGACTGCACCAAGGTCTTATGCCACACAGGTCAAAGGACAAGGAGTGAACAATACTCTTGGTATGCCTCCAACATGGAGGGCTCTTGTGCGGGATGAATTCCACCATGACAAAAGCAGGAACCAAACAGTGCGACTGTCTGAGGAGATCGCCCACAACCAGAAAAGTGCACCTAGCACATGGCTACTTCCAGGAACGCCCTCTGAGAGGGGTCTGGCTGATGTTACCCATTGGTTAAACGCTCTTGTTGTTGAGACCTGGGAGAACAATGAAATGTTCTCACTTGCTCTGCCTAAAAACTTCAAGGAATTGTCCAGTCAGGTTACTACAATTCTGAATAAAAATGACAATCAGAGTGTCACGGGCTCGGAATAGAAGATAATAACGAACTGAATTCCTATCTTGACTATTGTAGCCATCAACGAGAATATCGAATCTGGGAAGGAAAAAGGAGAGGAAATCTATCTGGCGAGTGCAGTCTCTATATAAGCCTTTGTGCGATGCGGCTTGAGCCCTTGTTTGTCCATATTGCTTGTATGGCATCTTTTGGCATGTTGGCAATGTTTGTCTGGTCGTTGAGCCGTCACACAGAGTGGTTATGAGAACAGATTCCTGGAGTCCGCTGCAGCAAAGTTTGGATCCATCATGTCAAGGCTCATGATCCACCGTGTGACAGAGAGTCTTTGGTTTGATCAACCCATAGTGGAATTACCCCCAAACAGACATTTGGATGTTCGTTTGTCACTCAATGCAAAACATATCAAGGGCATTAAGGCACTGGAGAAACAGGCACTAGCAGAGACAAAAGATTCATATCATAAAAAGCTCCTTAACTGGAGAAGGAGTGGGTGCAAGGGAAATGTGCCAGTGCTAAGACTGCAGCAGTTCCTTCAGTGTGCCCATCAGGTGCAACAGTTGATGGTTTTCCCAGGTTTGCTTGAGCTGATGAACGCACATAATCTTCGCCTCACAGAGGACGAAATGAACAGCAATAGTGCATCCATATATGATATAATTGACATAAACACACTCATCTGACCCAGCCCCAAGATTAAATGGCTTGGTCAGTTGCTTGACAAGATGCAAGGCAGTGTTAACTGCCACAACAGACCAGAGAAACTTCTCATACTGTCATCATTCCTGGTAACCATGCAACTCATAAATCAGGTATGCCTATCATCCAGAAGTCATGCAAAAATACACCCAATAGAAACTAATCAATGTCTGTTATTAGTGGCTACAGGCCAAGGGACATCGCACTGCAGTGCTCACGTCAAGGATGACAACTATTGAAAGACAGCAAATGATTGACTCATTTAATACAAATACACCCGTTACTACCTCAGACAGAGAGATGCAGACACTGAGTCCCAACATGATCATAAGTCCATTCTCATTGATTGAAGTTGGATACACATGTGTGCGGGGATTTCGCCTCGTGTTGATAGGGCCCAAGTGACTTCACTTGGAAGAGTCAAGCAATGGCTCACATTCGACAGATTGGACAGCGCAATGCAGTTACATATACATACTGACTAATCTGCGAGAATGTGGACATCAAGCAAGGCATGGTGTAGAGACAGGCAACGCGAGACAAGTTCAACTGGATGTCGATGGAGATTCGTGAAGATGTTGAGAGGGAACGCTCGCGAAGACTGGGCGTCAATGCCTATGCCTGATGAAAGATACAATGTATCATAACAGATACTGCACTCAGTAGTATAATATGAAACTGGTTATGGATGAGGGGATCTAGAAATACTTATGTAATGAATCCCTTCCTGTAACTAACTAGTTACGAGTGTGAAACGGATAAACCAATGTAGCGGTTAAACTCCGTGTCGGGGAAGTCGGGGAGTCGATTATCCGGACTGCACGAGGCTATCACTAAAGAGGATGACATTGACATCTATAGACACCATAGACGATAGAATGAGTGCTTGGCTATCTTAAGCGCATGGCTACGGTGTCCGTATATGAGGAATCTGTCGGCCTCGGTAATCGGACCGACTATTAATCCACCTTGACTTTCATCAGAGTGCCAAGACTGCGTGACCGCCCACGTGACCACCCGCGTAATTCACTCCGCCTGGACGGCGCGATATTCTGCCACCGCAAAAGCCGGCCCAAACGCGGGCAGGAAAGCAGCCCTTCATAACGCCCTTTTTCGCAGCCGCTTCCCGCCAATCACCGTGTGCCATTGCTTTCCAGATCAACTGTTTTCCTCCTCGCTTAGTCAAATACAGCAAAAAAGGAACCGTCAAATCACGTTTCTCCGCCCGACACACCTATTTAAACAGTTCTTTTGCCCCCGTTTTCTTCTCTTTTCCTTCCCCTCTTTCTATCGTCTTTTTTAGCAACCGACGCGTCACGTCCATCACCACTTTTTCATCCCGAAAGTGGTTTTCTATCTCAATCTAAAAAAATTTATACTCCTTTTTCATCTCTAAACACTCGACAATATGTCTGGACGTAAGTTCTTCTTGCCTTGTGTCGTCGGTGGTGGTGTCGCGTCTGTGGTGGTTACCTTCACGTGATGTCGTTATTGGTGCCTCAGGCCACCACGACCATACCATCACTACGACACCTTGCGTCTACTCGTCTTGCTTCAGTACTAACAATCTACTACAGGCGGCAAAGGTGGCAAGGGTCTCGGCAAGGGCGGAGCCAAGCGTCACCGCAAGATCTTACGTGACAACATCCAGGGTATCACCAAGCCCGCTATCCGCCGTCTCGCTCGCCGTGGTGGTGTCAAGCGTATCTCCGCCATGATCTACGAAGAAACCCGTGGTGTCCTCAAGACCTTCCTCGAATCCGTTATCCGTGACGCCGTCACCTACACCGAACACGCCAAGCGTAAGACCGTCACCTCATTGGATGTGGTTTACGCTCTCAAGCGCCAGGGCCGTACCCTGTACGGTTTCGGTGGTTAAGCTGCTGTTTACCGATTGATATTGTTTGCGTGCTTGGGTTTCGATTTCGATTTCGTGATGGGTATATCTCGGGGTTTATGGTTTATACGGTTAACTGGGTCATGGAGTATCAAGGATGCGGGTATTTCTAATGCGCTACGGATTTATCTACCTTTGTTTTACTGTCAGTGTGAATAGCACTTGATGGGTTCAGAATTAGAGTGGAATTGACTTCCACGACTTCATGAATTGTGCCATTGTCCAGCATTCGTAGACAAATTGATCCGTAGCCTATAGTCCTGTAGATACCCGCTCCGAATGTCGAGTATCCCCTCGAGCCGCATCACATGCCTATCAGTTACCAATGACGTCATTTCCCAATTATCTCCGATGTGACAGAATCAAGACCACCCATCCCTTATCATTCTGATTTCTCCTTCCAGCTGTATCGATGAGAGACGATTTGAATCAAATTTGTCTAATGTGATTGTGTTTGTTCTACTCAGATCGATAAGTGCACCTCACTGGGAACTACCACTCCTGTCCTACTACCGGTACTACCCTCATAATACACCGTCGATTCCTTCCATCTGATTATGATCCTACAGACGATAAAGAACACGCAGATCAGCCTGCAGTGAGCGAAATGGCAGAGTATCAGCTTTCATACGAATCAGAATTGGTATCCTATACCCTTACTTCGTCTAACCCGCTTGACTTTGGCATTCATCTACTCGATACTGACATCTCATCTCTCTCCAGGACACCTTCCAATTATACTACCGATACAATGAACCGCCCAAAGAAGACTGGCGCACCGTAGCCCTACGAGGTCCCGCTCTGCCAGCTCTTGGAAATGCCCTAGCCGGCGCCATGGGCTCCGCCGTATCCAACGTCGCAACATACCCGTTAAGCGTGATCGTGGCAAGGTTACAAACCCAGAAGCAGAACCGCGCAAACAAGTCAGACAACGACGAGAAAGAAGATAAGGAGGATGATGAGGAAGACACGAGCATTATCAGCGCGGCAAAAGAGATCTACCAGAAAGGCGGGATCAAGGCATTCTACCCCGGTCTCGCGCAGGACACGGCCAAAACGGTAGCGGATAATTTCCTGTTTTTCCTGGCGTATTCGTTCTTCCGACAGCGACGGATCAGGGCTAGATTCGGTGCGCAGCGTGCAAGGAGGCATGCTAGTGTCGTTCTTCCGGTATTAGATGAGTTAACTATTGGGGTTCTTGCAGGGTCGTTTTCGAAGTTGTTCACGACGCCGTTGGCGAATATCGTTACGAGGAAGCAAACTGCGGCGTCGAGTAAGAATACGAGGGAGATTGCAGCACAGATCAGATCTGAAAAGGGCATCAAGGGGTTCTGGTCGGGGTATTCGGCTACGTTGATTCTCACGCTTAATCCGTCGATTACGTTCTTCTTGAACGAGTTCCTGAAGTATACCTTCCTGTCCCGGGAGAAGCGCTCGAAACCATCGCCAGCTACAACTTTCCTGCTTGCCGCTCTGAGTAAAGCAGCCGCCTCGTCGATTACATATCCGTTCTCGATGGCCAAGACCAGAGCCCAGGTATCCGGCAACACTGGCACCAGCAATGAAAAGACCACCGACAAACAAAGCACGCTTCTCACACTCCTTACACCCCAAATCCTCAGAAACGTCATCTCAATCGCCCGCATAGAAGGTCCCACAGCCCTCTACTCCGGCCTCCCCGGCGAAGTCTTCAAAGGCTTCTTCTCGCACGGCTTCACCATGCTCGCCAAGGACGCTGTCTACTCCCTCATTGTAAAATCGTACTACCTCCTCCTCCTCGTCCTCCGCAAATATCCTACCCCAGAAGAACTCCTCGAGCGCGCACGCGAACAAATGGAAGAATACGCCGAGGTTGCGCGTGAGGGTGCGAAGGACTTCGCGGAGAAGGCTAAGAATGGTGCTGAAGATATTGTTGAGAAAGCTAAGAACGGTGCTGAGGAGATTCTGGAGTCGCAGCCGGGACATGTTGCTGTTGATGGGAGTTCGTATGCTACGCCGGGGGGTATTGAGGCGTCGTCTGGGCTTCCGAATGAGACGGCTGAGTTGGTGGGGGATTATGTGGGAAGTGATGAGTGATTTGTTTGATTTTATATGTTTTTTTTTTTTTTTTTTTTTTTTTTTTTTTTTTTTTTTTTT